TTAGATTTCGGCCTGATTTGGCCTGATCAGGATGGCTGTCTGATCAGATTGCTTATCAAACACGTTAGTGGTGTGGAGTTTGACCTGGCCTTTGGCGGCCTTTGACGCGGGATTTGATGGACCGGAAACACGCGCACGGGAGCGTCGGGTCGCTGCCGATGTGGGTGACTAAGGCCACGAAAGTCTACATGACCTAACCATCCTCATGACAGCGAATTCTTGCCCGGACCGAATCATGCGAGCGCCCTCTTGTGCACGATCCCGCCGGTAGTCGACCCGACGCGCAAGATGAACAACGACGCCTTTCGCAAACTGGTGTCCAGCACACCCGCTCGACAGGATGATGCGACCAAGCCCTCGAAGCCAGCCGCGCTGGGCGCGAAGAGGAACGCATTTGTACCCATGACTCCAAGCCCTGGGAAGGCAGCAAGCAACGATGATTTCGCTCGCCAAGTTCGCGAACAGCACGCGCAAATGAGACCTCCCAAAAAGTACAAATCCTCTGCTCCCAAGGGAAGCAAATTTGGCGCGGGATACGTGGACAGAGCAAAGGCGAGACAGGAAGCTTCAGATGATCAAGACGACAAGGCAGAGCGTATCAAGGCTCTGGAGGAGCAGGCGAAGCTAGGCACAATCTCATGGGGGACATTCGAGGCGCTGAGAGATCAGATCACAGGAGGTGATGTCTCGAGTACGCATCTGGTCAAAGGTCTTGACAGGCAGTTGCTGGAGCGCGTGAGACGTGGCGAGGACGTGCTGGGACTCGGAAAGAAATCTGGCGCGGACGATGCGCCGGTCGATGTGGACGATGAACTGGAGAAACTAGGAGAGAAGGAAATCGCATTGGTGAAGAAGGAGCAGGCAGAGAAAAAAGGAGTGAAGGCCGTCGAACCCATAGCAGGGAAGAAGCGAACACGAGACGAGTTGCTTGCAGAGCTCAAGGCCCAACGCAAGGCGGCGGCCGAAGCCAAAGCGGCCAGCGCTCCCAAGCTGGATGGTCGATGGAAGAAGATTGGCGAGCAATCCAAACCAAAGGTGGAGATCGACCACAAGGGCCGTGAAGTCGTCACAGTTGTTCAGGAAGACGGGACTGTGAAGAAAATGGTTAAGAAGGTTGCGTCGAACGGAACTACAGCGGACATGCCTGACATCAGTAAGCATGTGCTTGGTGCGGACGTTGCTGTTCCAGTGCAAAAACCCGCGGACGCGGACGAGGAGAGCGATGAGGATATTTTCGCAGGAGCAGGAACAGAGTACGACCCGCTTGGACAGGAAGACGAGGACGAGGACGAGGACAGCGATGACGAAGGCGATAGCGAAGGCGTTGCAGAGCCCGCGCGTAAAAACGATGCCCCGAAAGAGTCTGACGACGAAGGTGAAGTCTCAGAAGAGCCTGTGGACGAGCAACAACCGAAGACGCAATCTGTTGTATCAACGACCGCGAAGGCTACCAGGAACTATTTTGGCGACAGCTCCAAGCAAACTGAAGAGGAAGCTGCGAAAGACCGCTTCAAAGGCATCGAGAATGTGCTCAAGAAAGCGGCAAATCTTGCGGCCGATAAGACTGGCTCTGATGACGAAGACGATGATCCAGCCACTCGTGAAGAGCGCGAAGCACGGAAAGCAAAGCGGGCTCGCATGCTGGCACAGCAGGATCGCGATCTCGAGGATATGGACCTCGGCTTTGGAGGCAGTCGTGGCGAAGACGAAGAGGACGCTCTCGATGCCAAGGTGAAACTGGCAGAGTGGAAGGGTGGTAAGGCAGCTGGCGATGACGGCTGGGAAGAAGACGATGGGAAGCGTGGCGACAAGAAGAAGCGCAAGCCGAAGAAGAGGAAGGGTGATGTCAACAACGCCGCGGACATCTTCAGGGTGATTGAAGGCAGAAAGGCGAAGGAGAACAAATGAGCTATGCTTACCCACGACATAAGGAACGAATCTGACCTTCTCATAGGCCAAGAATGTCGACCATTCTACACTCGACACAAAGTCACGTGCTCCATCACTTTGTCACTGCAAGACTGCAACGAGCACGTTCGCAGTCTCTGTTGTGGCCAGCCATTTTGCGACAACGGTCAAGTCCTTCACAAGCGTTTCAGCTCGTTCGAACAATGTTTCGCGCTTGCAGCAGCACTGTGTGATCCATTGGGCGTTAAGCGCCGAGCTGGATGTCGAAAGCGGATTGCCGGAGCTCCACATCAAGCCCACAACCACACTTGCGCGCTTCGCTCTGCGGTTCCTCTATCCTGACCGTCGTTCAAAGCGAACATGAAACAGCATGCTGCATGATTGCCAAAAATGTAGTCTTGTCGTTGCTGTATTAAGCAACAGCAACGCCGCACACTTGCAGCCCACGCGTCTAACGCTGCAGTGCCGCACAGCGCAGAGGTTTGGTCCTGTATATACTTCAGAGAGTACATCTCACGGTAAGTCGACTCTTCATTGCGACTCATCACTGTCTTTCCTTATCATTGTCGGCTGTCATTCCCGCTGCAAAACATCCAAAATATTGGCGCTGGCGCTGTAATTGTAATCACATCACATAAAAGCATTTCCACTTCTCGAGAAACATGACAGAAGAACACCGCGGTCTCGACCTCACCTACCTCGAACACGCCATTCGCACACGAAGGATGGACGTCATACGACACGCTGCAGACTCTACGCGTAATACTGGAACGCTAGCAGCCAGATCTGCTCCAGCTTGCTACGAATTACAAAATCACGAAATCGTCATCTCACGCGCGACGCTCATTGCGGTCGTCGTACTCTGTTCGATTCTCACAATTTCCAGCATCGTGCTCTTCTCGGTGCTGCTTTGTCGAAAATGGCGTCGAAGCCGAGAAAGTCGGAATGCCGAAGTCTGGGGTCGACAGTCTTTTTATCGTCATCAGGACAATAGACGCGTGTCTCTGGCGAGGAAGGATGTGGATGATGAGTTCAGTCGGCAATACCGTGGAGTGTTGGGGACTGTGGTTGAGACCCAGGAGCTAGGTGCTGAATCCGTGGCGATAGAACGGGGAACGAGGGTAGAGGCTTGGGACGATGAGAAGGAGAAATTGAGACCCAAGTTTGTCGATGTGGAGCTTGATCTGGAGAGCGGATATGATGAGGGCGTGACGAGAAAGTTTGAGGTCGTGGCTGGGAAGGTGAGACCCAAGGGGTCGGACGGTGGTGCTCGGGCATCGACAATGAGCAGAGTCAGTCTGTTCTGGTCTGAAGCGGTTGGTGTTTGGATGCCGAAGAGATTGGACAAGTGAGGCGGTGAGCATGACAGGAAGTCTATCGCAAGAGGACGAGCTGGCAGTCGCTCCCTTTGACATGCTTTACGAGAGCCCTGTGTGTATCCTGGGTATTCCAGATCACTGATCAACTCCCGTCCGCGGAAGTGTCACGTAGGAGGCTTATCAGCCATGCAGAACAACGCTACCAGTCAACATACTTTCCCATTCCCAGCTGAGCATATGGCATGCCAAGTTTCTTGACAGCCTCATCTCCAGCGTCAGAACGACCTTCCGTAGCGTGCTATCTGATAAGAGCAAGTTTTCTTTTGCCAGCGCATCACGGGGAGCTTCGCTATCAGTGCTCGCACGACTCTTGTCTTCGCTCCGCCAATTGAATTTGATGCTTCCGTCGAGCTATCAGCCAGTTTGTGTTGTGACTCTCCTCGACCCCATCGTCTAAGCAAGTTATCTGCATAACGACCCTGCATGCTTTCGTGGCGTTGTGTTGACAGCTCACGGGCAGTCGACGTGGCGGTGGCACTGCACCTTGTCACTCGGCAGTCCAACGACTTCTTCCGTCTCCACGCTGCTGAGTGACATTTCGAATGAGTTTAAACTTTCCTGTGGCTCTCCCGGTGCGCATGTTCCCGGTGCGCATGCATGCTTTTCTTCACCTCACCTCAAGGCTGCATTGTACCTATCTTTGAAGACATCGGCAAGGTGACCGAACATCTCCACATTTCAGAGCCATGTCTGCTCCCGTCTCATTGGGAGATGCGACAGCGCACGTCAGCTTCGGCAGCTGTGATAATCAGCACTACACCCGCGCTCTGCATGGGATGCGGCGTCAACTCAATCAATTTCAGACGATGGACCTGTAAATACCCATGCTCTTTTGCTCTGACCGCTTCTTTGAACACTGTCGCAATCGTACGCTCACGTGAGAATGGCAAGAAGATGAATTTGTTCACGCTGAACAACATCTCTGCGCGCTGAACATACCGTGTGGATGAATACCACGTGGCGCAGTAGCGTATGTACGCGAGTTCGGGCAAGCAATTGCCTGTTCGAGTACGGTGCGCTACCTAGATGCCAGAAATACGAGATGAGATTCGGATTGCCCGAATCGTACTTGCTGAGACTTGCCGAGAGCTCTGATGTTCATGAAAAGCTGCGCTGAGAAATCTGACCCCTGTCAGCGATCATCCTTTCGACTTGGCCCTGAACACAATCAATATATGCGAAGGGCATGGTTCTCTGATGAACTGGACTTGGCGTTCGACAGATATCAAAGAAATCCATGTCGAGGGCCGAAGCGATGCATATCATCGGATCCGCCGATCCACTTGCAAAAAAGGTCCGATCGTACCTCCATTTTTCTGCGCGATGCCTCGCAATCTCATCAGGATCGTGGTCCACAGTCCCTGATGATGATGAATGGAGCTGCTGGTAGCTCTCAATTTGGTCGGCGGGACAAATATTGAATGTCCGTTCGTTCGGTGCTGCCCTGCCCCAGACGCCCCGATCTTTAGGCTAGTTCCGGAACCCCCTTGCAATCAATCACAAAGGCGCAAGGATGTTTTGACGTCGTCGACTTCACCTTCCCTCTTCGCGTTACCTACCGAGACCTACTTCACACCCTGTAAAGTGATGGTGAGCCAAGCCTAGCAAATGGGACAGCTGCGTTCTTGTGCGGCAGGTCTCGGCTTTGAAAGGCATGGATGAGGCTGTATATTGGTGTTCAGCTTGAAGATAGGGCGCATCCGCGTGACCGAAAGACTTTATAGAAGCTCATTTCGTACAGCGGTGACACGGACTCATACCCCGCTGGTGACGGAAAGTCGAACGAGACTTTGTCAGCTTGTGATGGATGTCAAGTGTGCTGAGCCAAATCTTGCTCAAACGCTCGTGCGGACTGCGGACGCGAGGCTTTGATGCCGGCTTCCATGAGCAAGGACAAGGAGTGCGCCTGCTCTGCGGATCGATCGCAGCACTTCCGCTCAATAGGTTGCCAGGCTCGAGTGAAAATACGAAAGTAAAGACCATTTGCATGCCTCTGACTGGCACGAATATGATGTAGAAATGCAAGGCCTACGAATCTGTCAGTCAATGATGCTTTCTCAAGTCGCATCGGTACCTGCATGACGCGCACGCTCGTGCAGGCAGCTCTTGCTGCACAAGTGAAGACATCACAGTGGTGTACTCAATAACACTAGCGTCACAGAAAGGGCTCCGTTTAACATCGCAGACTGGACTTCACCGAGTTCCCGTGCCATACACGGGCTTTTCCAGGATCTTCATCCTCGCTCACAATACGAGGACGAGCAGATGTGAGTTGTCAAAAGCCACAAATGCTGATGATGATGCAGACGACAACACCCCAAACAACAAACCCCCACGAGAAGAGCTGAAGTCCAAACGAGCTTTTCCAGTCCCACGCTCTCGGTTTCAAACCAACCAAACCTTCCTGCTCTTAGTCGAGCACGGGATATGCACAAGACGAGATGCTCGACATAATAGGTCACCACCCGTCTGTGCACGCTAACACCGGATCGGAGGAATCCTTTGCCGCTTCTCATCAGTGCAGTACGATCACGTTGAAAACACGTAGAAGACGCATATATAGGAAGATAATAGCAAGCGGTCGGTGATGGAAGAAAACCCACCCTCGCGAGCGTCCGCGAGATATCTAAGCACCCAAAACCCCGAACACTTCACAACAACTATTAAGCGAATCCACAGCCCGGATAAGACCAAAGCGCAACGCGACGGTCCCAAACTCAAAACCACTAAACCGCACTCGCCAAACCAGACCACCAAAGCCGAAGCAGCAATCAAGACTTGCGAAACCACATGATGCACATCTTGTTGCTGCCCAACTCCAAGCTGGCGGACCAACTAGCGAGATAGATTAAACATTAGCTGGCGAGTGCCAAAAGCATTATCCCCATCAAGCAAAGACGAGAACTCTGATAAATCAAAAGTGGCACACCGGCTGTAAAGCTCCCCGAGAAAGTTGGATTTTGTGGCGTCGTTCTTAGTGCTCGTGCCGTGAGGGGACCAACAAGTGTGCCCGCTGCCGCGACGACAATCATCACCAGACTGCTTTTTACCGTGCCGTGGCAGCAATGAGCCTATGTTCAGGCCCGCGCTGTTGGGTCGTATGGTGTAGCGAAGGAAGGCGAGAGGCGAGGACGGCAGAGCGTGGTTCCCGTAGCTCTTGGTGATCAAGCCTAGGGCTTATGATTACACTATCAATGGAGAGAACTCCAATGACGAGGTGCCTGTAGAAAAGAAGGAAGCAGGAGCATGAGACGAACATTGACGTGAGCATTGTTTGTTATATTCGCCTATGCGGAACAGGAACAGAGGCTTGGGAATACTGTACACGTCTTCTTCTTCTCGTAACTGTACAATAAACGGGCTGCTGCTTACTTCTAAGTCGCGTTTGCAACAATTCAACCACCCCTGTGATAGATAGCCTAAAAGACAAAGACTGCCTCTCCCCGGACATTGGCGATGAGCCTGGTATACGCAAGAACCAATGCTGCAAAAAAAAAGTCGAACAACAACGCTAGCCTCCCAGAATGCATGTATGTGTTGACAGAGATCGATCGGTGGAATAATTGCTGCTGCAATGCGTCGCGATGAGTCGGCAGTGATGGTGCTGGACAAATGTGACGCCAGATCATCGTGTGAGTGGATTAGACCGCCAATGGCTGATATGCCGCCACGCGGTTCAAAGATGCGATTATCGGCTCGGAGTCGCTGTCCTGTACGTTACAAGCCATCGGAGCGCCTGGACGACTACGGGCTACAAGCGGATGTGTAGTATCGCAATCAGCCTAGTCTCATCTGGTTGTATTGATGAGACTGTCCTGGAAGGAGTTCTCGGCGCTTGTCGGGTCCAACATATTATACTCGATCCCCTCGTTTCGATAGTGAGGCTTCATATCTTCTTCAAGAGGGAACAAAGTCCTGTTGAACTTCTCAAGGATCCCACAATCGGCGGCGCAGGTGGGCGAGATTGGCGCCAGATGGCGTAGAAACCTGATGGTACGCTCCAAGAGTGACTTGAATCTATCGCGAGGCACGAGTGGATCAATGTATTTGCTGTTGAATGCTGCAGAGAGCACCAACATGTTTCCGAATTGTCTAAGAATAGTCAGTTTGGCGGGTAAGCTGATGAAAGCATGGATACGTACGCATGTGCTGTGCCGTGAATGTTCGTTACAATCAGGCGAGTGTGCTTGGTAATGCCATCGAACGCGATTGTGCTTTGCATGGCAGCATCAATGCAACGCTTCGCTGCTATCCAGATTTCGCGATCTCCCAGCTGCTGGATCGCCCGGAACAGGTGAATGTCAGCCTTGTCACGAGGGTTGCCATAGCCATCCTTCGCGGCCTCCTCAATCGAGAGGTGATCCTTCAACAGTGGCATCACATGCAAACAATAGTCCAGGAACGGCCTGTTGATGACATATCGTGCTCCCCAATATTTTGCGCGTAGACGCGCAGACAGAATGTCTGATGGCGGAGGATCGTCGTCGTTCCATTTCAAAGGATCCGGGAGGCCTTCCCTCCAATGCTCCAGGATCGATTCGTGGCTCTTCAGCATCTCCTGCACCTCCGCGAGTGGTTGATCGAGCGAAGCTTTGCCGTACATCTCTCGGTGCACTTGGTTCAACCTGCGTCGCAAGAAGAGTTGGGCTGAGTAGTAGATCAGCATGTTGTCGTGATCCTCCATGCGTCCGTCAGGATCAAGCCCAACATATGTCTCGTCGTCATTGACTTTGTGCGGCATTAAGAGCAGGTGCTCAATCGCTTGGATTCCACTGGCGGGCAGTCGTAGCTCAGCAAGAATATCACTCTCGAGCTGCAGGCACGTCCAAGACGCAAGCACAATCAGACTTTGTCGCGTATCCTTAATGCGCGCTTGCGACCGAATGTACTGAGATCGAACACCACCATAATCCTCCCAGTAGTTGTCATTGTATAGCTTGTACCGGTCCAGAAGGATCAGAATTGCGCGGCCTGCCATTGTGATCCAGCTCATGCTCTCTTTGACTCGCGCAAGCTGTCCTTTGTACAGACCAGCGAGAAGAAACATTTGAGCGTGTACCAGGTCGTTGCCATCGCCTTGATCGCCCAGTATTTCGGCTGCTCGGGCATAGTAGGCGAGACCTGGAATGACATCCAGATTGCGAGGGCCGGGGGCGCTCGGAGATCCGTCTACGGAGGAGCGTCTGCTGCGAGAGTCTTGCACGCGCATGTTGGCCTCAGATGGTGGCGTTGGTTGAGTCGTGGGGGTTGACTTCGGAGACATGGGGGAAGGTTTGATGTTCGCCGACACTGGTGAGCTGGCAGAGAATCCTCGCGACCCAGAGATTTGGTGGGAGACGACCGTGTTTGCCTGCAGCTTACTGTTAGGAACTGGAGATGGCAAAGGCTCCTTGTGCAGGCATATTTTGCCTAGCGCCAGAACGAGGTAGATGATGGCATTTCCGGGCGATCTCTCGGTCGCAACATCTCGTGCCACGTCCGAGTCGGCACCTGTAGTGACACCAACGTTGTTTGGACCAGACCCGTTTGATCGTTGTCGTTTGAGCGGACGCTCGTGGGGATAGTTGTCGTTTCCAACGGCAAAGGTCGCTCGCGGCCGTCCGCTGCTGTACTTCTTGATAAATGCATCAAACATCTTGCGAAGTCGTCGCTTGTCCAGGAAAGGATGCATGATGTGGATGTTCTTCATGTAGCTATCATAGAGCTGGTTGATTGTTGCTGCATCCAGATCGACGTGACCGTTGGCTTTCAGACCACCGGCACCGTAGGGTTCCGAACGCCCACCAGTGCTTCCAGGCGTCGTAGGGAAACCTGTACCCCAGACACCTTCCGATGGAGTAGAAACTAGGACAAGGTCGCCGCTCTCGTCGCTTCGGGCTGGGCTCGCAGGACCGCCAGCTTGAGTGCCGTCATATTCGTCAATGCCTTCACCTCGAGTCCACAGTCGCAGGACTCCACGATCCTCAGCTTCCATGACATATCCGTCGTTGTGCTCAACGCCAGCTGTCTTGAGAAGCGGACGAACGCTCGGCCACAACAGCAGCAACTTATGCGGAGCTGTGCGGTGGTCCTCGAGGTCAGGTTTGCGCGATCGCGGTGCGTTTTCGTCGTCCGGAAGCGGTTCTTGTTCTGCACCAGCGATCGTATGACCGACATGGTTGGACTGCGAATTGTTTTGCGTGTTCTGTTCCACGCGACGCAGCCTCGCCTCGAATTGATCGATTTTCGTCGTCAATTCGGCGAGTCCTTGTGAATGTGTTTCCATGTAGCTAAGAAGCTTCTCCATGTTCTTATCCGTCCTGCATGAGCCGTTAGCATTAGTGAAAAGGAAAGCGCCACCAAAACAACGACTTACTTTGCGGGCGGGGTATCGCGATATTGACATGAAAGATTGTTCTCCTTGCAAAAAGAGCACGGATTGCCTTCGTCGCACTTTTGTTTCCGCTGCCGGCATTGCTCACATGCCTGTCGCGAGTCAGCAAAGTCAACACAACAAAACGCGTTTTTGAATCGACAAGGAACGCACCTGAGTGGCACGCATCTGTTTGCGCTTGGGACCATAATTCATGTTTGCTGTAGGCCCATAGCTAGGTGGCCCATTGTACATGGGCTGACCAGGTGGTGGGTATGAGTGGTGCTGGTCCACCATTGGGGTCATCGCGTATTGAGGGTGCTGTTCATGATGTCCGTGGGACGGTGGTGGAGCAGGCAAGCCATGATGGGGCACGCCATTCGTGGGCGGATACCCATGATGCGCTCCATGATCCATGGGTTGTGGTGCTGGCGGTGGCGGTTGCGCACCGTCGTGCCCCGATGGGTGAGGGAAATGCGCGGGGCCTGTGGGCGTAGCAGGCGTGCGCTGCTGGCCCGAATCGTGCGAGTATGATCTGTTCACGTTGGTCGGCGCCGGAGTGGCATGGCCGGAACGATTGTAGGTGTGGTCTGGCTGATACTGCACTTGTCCTTCGCGTTGCTGCTCGTGTGGGGGCTGCGAAGAGCTGTGACGAAAGGGCGGGAGACTCGACGACTGCTCGGAGCTTGGGGGTGGAGGCGCGTAGGCCGTGGGCTGAATGGGAGGGAGCTGCTGCGGGTGCTGTTGCTGCTGCTGCTGCGGAGGATAGGACTGCGGCGGAGGGGCTCCAGGTTGCGCAGGCGGTGGAGGATATGGCTGTTGTTGCTGTTGTTGCGGCGGTGGAGGCGGCGGCGGTTGATGCTGCTGCTGCTGGGCAGGATGAGGGTGGTGCTGCTGCGAGGGAGGGCCAGGCTGCGCGTAGTGCGGCGGTGGGCGAGAGTCGTGACTAGGAGGAGGGTGTTGGCCGTAAGGCGTCGGTCCTCTCCTGTATGGATCCATAACACGCAAGGTCTCGAGCCATGCGTCGGTTGGCTCGCGGGCACGGGGATGAGCGTGCGCAGAGAGGCTCAGAGCGACATGGCCGAGCCAAGGTGATTATTCTGCGCGCAAGGGTGCTGCGATGGCAGAGTGAGCATGAACCTAACGGTCGTCCTTCCCGAGGACAGTGCCACCCGGGCTTAGTGTCTGATGGAGTTGTGAGTTTAGTCCCGACTCAGATGCGCCCAGCAAAGTCAAATTGGAAGTCAAAAGCGCCCCAGGTGATGATAGGACGAAAGGCTCTCGCGCCAACCCGGCTCTCGTGCTGCTAGTGTGCTGTGCCTGGGAGGCGGCGGCGGCGGCGACGGAGACTGACAGATGGACGGCAGGCAGACAGGAGACGGTGAGGATGCTGCTTGCTCGGGTGTGCGACCACGCGCCAGGTCAGCGCAGCAACACGCAGCAGCCCGCAGTGGCACGGCAAAACAGCGCTGGCGTGAGGTGTGAAAATGCCATGCATGCAGATGCGATCTGACCTGGGGGGCTTCCCGCAGCAGCAGCACCAGCGGGTCCGCATCGCTGCCACAGAAAGTGGAGTAGCCCTCGCAGGCGATAAACAGCACCCAGCGCCTCCGAACGAAGCTCCTCCGTGCCGTCGTCACCTGCAAACCACAAACCAGGCCAAACCGACAATCGCCATGACCCTACGTCAGAACGGATCGCAGGGGCTGCTACGTGGCCGTGCTCGACATGCCCTGTCTATTCGTGATTGATATCGGGCTTGAACAACGTCCATACCGCGAGGCAGCAAAGCAAAGGCGAAGTTGACCGCAGTGTTGACCGCAAGTGACCACGCGCGCATGAATCAGGAAGCTTTCCTTCACCGGGCGATCGCAAAAGGTACCCCCATCCTACTCAGATCTGGCCGAAACGCACGATGAATCTGCCGACGATGCACGCAACACCATTGTCATTTCATCGCCCTGCAATACTCGTCTGTCGCCGGATGCCGTCGGTACACCGCAACCTCGCCTTAACCTCGCCCAATATTTCGCACTCAGGATAGCTGGTTGACAGCTATCGGCAAGCCGATCCTGCTGGGAACTTGCTGGTGACAATGCGCAGTGCAGGGTTCCGCGTCGAATGCCAAGCTACGGCATCTTCTCAAAGAGCGTGAAGACCGTTCATACAGTATTATCTCCTATCATTCCGTGCGGTGCTGCCTCTGCTTTGCCACTGTCAGCCTCGAGTCTCGACATACCGGCCGAAGCGAGGCGAGCGTGCTTGGAAGCGCGCTCCAAATCGGAACCTGGTAGTGAGGCGAGCACTGCAGTCCGTCTCCACTGCGACCGCCTTCGAGATGAGCGCAGCGCAGTACAACAATCATCATTGTTCCGTCTGACCCTGAACCGATCGTCACACCAAAAGATCCGACCCGCATTGTCGTCGAATGCAACCTTCGACTTTGGGACATGATGCGCGCGCTTGCTGCCGTGTTGACAGGCCTCATACCACTAAACATTCCCACGACCTGGAAACTGGTCGTTAGCCTCTTTCGGCGTGTCTAACATGGGAGGCGCCGCCCACGTGGTTCGCAAATGCATTGATGATGTTCATTTGGCTGCCAGCCGTGGTGCCCGTGTTGGGCGGCAGAATTGATTTGATCAAAGCCTTGCCACGGGGCAACGGCCATGTGTCGATTAGCCTTGATTCTAGAAGCAGCTTGTTGTTGTTCTCCCGCGCTCTTGGCCACGCTGGGAGTGTCCCTTTCCCTCTGAGATTCCCCTCACCAGATGCAGCAGCAGCAGCAGCTGCGCTACGACGTGCGGTCATGGCGATAGCCCACTTCGGTGTGCAACCCGACGTACACCGCATGTTATTCAACGTCGCGAGATGCGCGTGACACCAGTAACGCAAGCCGCGCTGGCGCTGTCATTATTGACCTCAACGTCCTTTGGTCGCACTGCACCAGCCCAATGACACCGACATGCCACTGACATGCCAGCGCTTGCACCTGCACCTGCACATCCTCATTTTGCCAAATACGAAGCCTGATTAGGGAGCTGCGATGGAGCGCATCATTGCGTGATTAGCCACTGATGAGCACCTGGCTGGCGCTCATGTTGCTGCCCAACCCACCCCCGTACTGCAAGTATTTGCGGAAGCGCATCATTACAAGAGCACTGTGCGAACGAGATTAACGGTGACAAGCACGTTCACAATAGACGCGGCATGCCCCTTTGCGGTCTGCGAAGTGCGAAGGACGTCTTTGCGCCACCAGACGCCCACATCCCACATGCGCCCTGATGGCCGGGTCGAGCCACGTGCGAAGGCGTTCCATCGTTCGCAACGGCGTCTTTGCAAGCGGTCACCGGGCAGTCTACACCGCATCGTCGTATGCGCGCTCTTCTTGCGACTGCGCAGCGCAACTTGACGACGCACTCGCGGCCCAGACTCTTCTCTCGGCGTAGCATCGTGGCTCTGTCGGCAGCCGTGGTCTCGAACTCAAAGCAACAGCTGTTTTAACGAGCTTACCTTCGAGGCTTCGACGAGAGTGCGTGCGGAACAAGCTCGATGCAAGTCAAACGGGATCGCATGCTATCAACGCCCTCACATGATCGTAAAGTCATGCGGTCGTGCTCTAACTTTCGCGTACATGCACCGAAAATGGATTCCATGGAGTCAGCCTTATGGAATACTCAGCGACTTATCACCTGGACGCACCGTTCTTTGCGTGGCGACTGAAACGCATACGGTGCTATCGGAGTGTCAAAGTTCAAGAACAACCTGCTTGAACGTGACCTCGACCGAGTAATGGACCACGATATCCTCAACTTTAAGGTCACGCGCATTCTGCTAGGTTCAATTCTTGGCCATCTTTGGATAGCATTGAGTCGGGCGGCCTCGAAATCTCGTTATGCCTAGGACCACTTCTCTGTTAGGGCGCGCCGCCTCATCACCTTGCGCGTGCTGCTGCTTCGACGAGATGGATTCGACCAACCGCGGGTTGCGAGGATAGAGAGCAAGGCCATGGATCTGGGACTGTATGTCTCTGTCCTGGCCACAACCGGCACAGCTAAAACTTGCTAGCCCGCGATCAAGAACGGCATCATATCGGACTTCTCTCCTTAACATCGGAAGCAAGCCGTTTTCGATGTTGCCCCATGGGCAATACACGGCCGAACGTGGCTGTTGCTCTCGAGCTGATCCTAGAAATGATCAATTCGAGTTCCGGCGACTGCAAATTTGAGATGCTTGACTGATGACACCGCGTCTTGCCCCTCATCTCGCGCAGCGACTGATCACCATGATGAGCACCGCCCACTGGATTAGCGGCCTATATGTGGCGAGTCCATCGACAGCCTCGCGTTACATCTGCTCACACACACTTCCGACAATGCGAGCGAGCGGTCCAATGTTTATCTTCATAATTACAGATTCAGGTCCAAAGAGGCCGCGGCCATGTTGCGAAGCCAAGTTTTTCTGCTGCTGATCCCGAATGCTAATAAACGTTATCAGACTAGAGTTGCACTGTGAGGAAAGAACATCCGACCCGACGCGGTTCGGCAAGTAGCACGTTGTCGACTTGCCACGCATTTGGCCGAGCGGCGTGCCGGTCCTTGTGCCGTGCAAGCGTGCGACAGCGCGATGCGGCACCGCAAAGGTCGGCGATCATCAATTCAATCAGCAACACGACGGTATCGAAAGTACAGCAACAACATGCATGGTAGTGCTGATGAGAAACTGGAATTCCAAGCTGCCAGCCAATGGAAGAATTTCTCGCCAGAAGTTGGCTGGACGTCCCTAGTTCTCAAGCATGCGACTGCAGGCCTTGTACTTTGCTATGCAGAGTTGAACTCTCGCATGCCGTTGCTCCGAGACTACTCTGTGCTCCTCTCGCCGCAGTGTCAACCAAGGTCACAACCTGGTGTATTGAGCAAGACCTGTCAAGCTCACATGCCTTCCACGGGGTTGAGGCAAAGCTTGAACGCGTCTTACAGAGTTCCCCGCAACGCGACATGTCGCACACTCGCTTGGTTCCAAAAGGTCTTCATTTTATCGCCACGCAGGACCTGCGATGGAAATGTTACGGAAACAAATCACACGGTCACGCGGTCCGAGCACGACACTCTAGACCACTGCAGTCGGTGAACGGAACACCGATGGCAGGATTTCATCACAATCTGCGCCTCCAGGATGCATTCATGTCCTCCGCCACCAACAGTAGTAGGAGGTAGGTAAGGGCCCAAAATACATCGCTCTGAATGGCGCGGCCAGCTTCCCCAAAACAGTCATTGCGAGTTGGATTTGTCGCTACCAAGATTTCCAGAAATCCATCCCGCCGCACAGGAACGTCAGCATGATCTATAATATCTCGCTAACAGACTTCGGAACGCCGCAAAACAATTACAATTGTAGTAGACTTCGAATGACTTGCAGCATCTTATATTGCGAAAGGAAGCCGTTAATAATGAGCAGGATCTTCCGTGCAGTAGTAGCACGATACTGACGAAGATGCACGCCACTAGGAAGTAGTTTGTGGTCCTTGACTCTTCTCACTTTACGGCTCCTTGGGCAGCAGTACAGCAGAAGGCGTGTGCATCATGGGGAGAACAACCACGTAGCCGCGCTGCAGTGGGGAAAGAGGCGCGTTTGCAAGCGCCCAACCAGGGAATTACCAACGTCTCCTATCATTAACAGCACCGCAAACATGAAACGCAGATGTTCCCTTCTCTCCTTTCCCCGCGAATATCACTGTTTGTTTCTTACCCCTCATCACGACACATGTCATGGGTTTGCACACCTGATCACAATGCCATGGCACCGCCTCGGCTTCGCGAGAACAATGCGGCGAGACGATGAGAGAGTGAGGAGAAGGGCGGTCAGAGGCACGCTATACCCTAGATGGCATGTGTGCCTGACGATCGTGTATGGCTGGACCAATACCCAATTGCCCACCACACCACTTCGTGCTTTAATACGTATGGCCACGCAACTTTGACATTCAGTGCCTTGCCCAAGTGGGCATAGCAAAAGAAAAGATGTAATCGAGTACGAACGAACGAAATACGTGATTGCCAGTGGGATGATCACATGACGATTGTTTGCATGTGTAGGCAGAATCGAGAAGGCTTGCTTGCTGCTCACCGCATGTATGACAACGACGAACTATGATCGACTAACTACTCATGTGGCATGATGAGGTGCTTGCTTGCCACGGCTTGCTGGCGTTGATAACGAGCATACCTCCTACCACGACCGCATTGAAGCCCAAGCGTCTCCCTGTTGGCGCAGGGCTGAGCTGAGTCCTGCTTGCTGCGCTGTCAAAACGGACATGCGCGATAGAGTAGAGCCTCACGATGACTTGCCTCAACGCGCTTGCGCCTACGCCTGCGCTTGTATGCACGATGGACGTGGCACAAGGTGGTTGGTGTCCTGCAGTGAAAGCATACCGCTACGCCGTAAGTCCTAATTTGCCACACAAGAACTATTTCAAGATTTCTTGTTTGCGGCTTGCGGCTGGATTTGAATTTGTTCGTTCTGGTTTGTGGTGGCGTTTTCTACCAATTGTAGTGCGATGCATGCGGTCCATCATCATCCCTCGTGGCCGCCGTCGCCGCTTTGCAGGGACTTTCGAGCTGTGGACTGCAGCAACTCATTGATCCTCTTAAACCCTCCGATTCGAATTGATTGGAGATCGTGTTCAGACAGGCTCAGTGCCATCTTGACGCTCCTGTTGTCGATGGGCGAATCATTCAGACTTGTCCATGTTTTGCCGCTGCTATACGTCGCCTCACCGGCCGGTGCTGCAGCCTCATCATATTCATCCGGCAGTGATGTTGGCGTTGCCGAGATACCCGTTCGGTCGGAGTCGAATTCGGCATGGTCTCCTTCGGCATCTACAAGCCCTGCAGGTGGCATACCGACCGCTGACTCGTCAATAAGGACTGGAACCTTGACTATGTCAACAGGCGGTGACTTTAGCCACGAATCTCGAACGGCGAGCCCGAGTACCAGCGCAACCTTCCTGTCGACGCTGTTGCCAACAATTTTCATGCGTTCCGTCGATAAGCCTACTAGGACTTCGTGATCTGGGTAGCCTTGTGCTCTACGGCATTCCATAATAGTAAGGACGCGGTGTTGATTCCAGTGTACAGCTTGTCCATTCATGCCGTCTCCGACCGACAACTTTGTAAGTATGGTCGGGAATGGTCTGTCGGGAAACACACGACGGAATGACTTGCTCCCGGGTCCACACTTGATCTGGTTCTTACCGTATGAAAAGTTTAAGGGCTCGCCTCGAACTAGACCAGCCTGGGCTGCTTGTACAAGAGACATGCCGAATGGTCGCTGAGGCACAACAGCCATACGAGTCCTGTTGGTGGCCGTCTCTTCAGTAGCGGTACGGTGGTCAGGGTGGCTCGGACAAAGAAATGGCTGCCCGTCATGGATTATAGGTAGATCCATGACCGAGTCTTCCGCGCTGACCTGAGCGAAAGGTGTATACGCATCCTCTCGCCGGGAGCCAAAGGGCTTTCCATTCGAGCACCGCCCTAAGTTTCCTCGTCGCTCCAGGTGTGCTGGTCGCCGGTGTGTGTATTCAGGTTGTTCTAGTACAGCACAGGTCGGTGCTGTAGCAATTATGAACACCCGTGATCGAGCCTGTGAACTGCCATAGTAATATGCGTCCATCAAGAATTGTTGCACTTGGTACCCAAGTCCGACCAGAGCCGCAATCATCTGCGAGAACACATTCTGCTCCCCTAGGCCCTTTACATTGTTCGTCATTGCTACAACGTTTTCAAGCACAAGGTACCGAGGCGCGTAGAGGTCCACGTACGATATAACTGAGGCAACCATCGATGCATTCTGTCTCGAACGGTCACTTTGCTGGTCCCGTTGCATTCTTGAAAAGCCTTGACACGGCGAACCAGCCGATATAATGTCGACTGTGCCGGGCTGTGCCACGAGGTCACATTTTCTCGACATCATTGCGAGCTCGAGGTACTCGTTGACCGAGCCGAGATAGTATGCAGTCCTGTCCGGTTCTGGGTCGTTCGCTCGATAGCTATACAACGCCTTCTCGGCCAGATCCACTGCGTAGCGGAACTGCACTGCACCACCCTCTTCTAACCCACGGTCGAACGTTCCGCCGCCACAGAAGATCCCGAGGCCGGTAAGCTTCGTCTTGGAGCTGCTGTTCTGAGGGCCCCAGGATTCATTGAGCAACGGCAACTCCGCGGTACTCGAGTCTCTTGCGATGAAGAAGTAGTCGCCAGTGCCGTCTCGATCGTAGGGCGTAGGTACATTATCACGATCGAATATCCTGATATGGCATGGACGCACAATGTCATCTTTCGGTCTCAGAAATTCCTCGTCGGTAACAATCAATTCGTTCGGTCGCGCTTTCGCATCCTGTTCCGCTCTGACAGCGTATCCTAGCCTTCGCAATAGCACGCGGTCTCGGCCTCCCTCGCTCGAAAGGTCGACAATAATAGCTGGCTCGCAGTTCCGTCCAAGATTGTCTTGCTCTTTGTCGACGAGAACAGCGTCGCCAATCTTGTACTGTACTACGGATCTGTCGATGTAGTCATCCTGGTGACAGCAGCAAAAGTGGTGTCTTTCTAGCGTAACGAAATCATACTGGTTCAGCTCCGGTACAGTGCGGAACGTTCGCCTTACGAAGAAGCCACTCTGAACCGAGTTTGGATCTGCAACAAACCAAGAGACTTCTGCTTTGCCCACGACATCTTCAATATCGTCGAGGTATAGAGCCTCTTGCTTCCCGCATCCACAATTGTCCGAGAGGAAAAGTTCCTGTTTGTAGGGATAGAAAGCATTTCCAATCGTGGTGTCTTCTGGCTGGTACAGCCAGATAACATCGAGTCGTCTGCTGTCTTTGCGATCCTTCCAGATGCGTTGCACATACGCATACCAGAAGTCAGCGTTCGACAGCTTCCAATCGCCGGTCTTGTCAGCAGGTACTGCTACGACATCCCCAGCTCGCACGTCTGTAACCTTTCTCAAGGGCTGCGCCTCGATTAGCTCTTGAGCAGGGAAACTCTCGCTGCAAAGAGGAGACAAGCCAAGACTGGCCTTGCGGGTATTCACGCGCTCGCGCAAGCCGTCCTCGGCGATTCTGGGCACACCCAGCATATCCGCGAAATACATCTTTTGGAAGCATGCGTATGCAAACGGCGTGACGACAGTCTTCCCTGTGTAATTCACGGGCTGCGTGGGTATCGCTCTAAGTCTTTCAGGATGAACTTCTCCCCACAATGGATTGTTACATAGTGCTGTTCGCTCCGAGGTATTCGCTGACTGGCGGTCGATATCCCAGCATTCTTTCCAGAGAAATTCGACATTGACTGCAAGCAAGGTTCGGAAATCCAGAAGCTGTATGCGCTTGTGCCAAGCTTGAAAGACTGCGTTGTCGCTGTGCGCGGCTTGTAGCCACGACCAAAAGTCGGAGCGGAAATGCGCGATTGTCACATCCTCGTGGTCGCACATATAGTCGATGAAATAGTCGGTAAATTGCGCAAGCATAAGGAAAGGCGTGTAGAAGCGCCGATACTCTACAGCAGGCCGACCAAGCTTGTAGTAGAATTGTTGATCCTTGGCGATCCTCGACTGTATGCATATACGGTCCGTCCATGACCGCGAATCGTCGCCATACTCGAGAGTGAGGACATCGAAGGGGATGTCTTTTACGAATATTCTCATGTTGCCGAAGGACAAGGTACCGGCGAAATGAAACTCGCTCTTCCGCGCCATCGTGAGTTTCTCCAACGTAACAAGCTCATTCGCGTGCCATGCGATACTTGGTAGCTGATAAACCGTGAAGTCGTCCAGCGTGAAGTAGGTATACTCCGGTCGCACATCTCGTGTAGGAGGATATGCTTCGTGGAATGCGATCTGCAAAGACCTTACAGCTCTGTGTTCTGGACTCGCCTCCAGCTCGGAACCTCGATACATCCAATGAGGGTAAGCTGAAGTGCTCGGATGCATAAAAAGCTTTCTGGCTTCCGCTCTGGCTGCTTCATCGTCGCTCACTTCACACTTCAACTTCTTGGGTTGAGCTGGCGCGATCCAATTCGTGTCCTCGTCACTAGACGTAGCAGCACTGTCCTGGTAGCTCCCGGTCCTACCTTCATTGTCGGTGACTGGCGTTAAGGTGCCATTCACGATGCGCACAGCTTCCTTCCGAAGCTCTTCTGAATGCCATTGCGTCAAACGCCTCCTCTTCTTCGGTCGTATCGGCACTCCAAGTGCGATTTCATCCTCGTCATCCTCCTCTTCCATCTCGAGGATCAGGCTTGTATTGCGCCTCTGTGTCGTGGCTGTCGACTCTGGGTCATCGCGCTCGTACTGCGTCGCATGCTCTTGCGAATGCGCTCCAGATCGCGTGTTGTTCGGCATTTTCCATCTGATTTACGTGCGTGCGCGCGTGTAGTAGCTGTTATTGATGGGAATAGAAATCTGTCTGTGAGTTCTGCTTGGTAATATGTGTTCGAGGTGCAACTGAGGTGCATGAAGTAAAATAATCAGCCCTCACCTTGGGGCGCGGCGACAGTCAAGTGCGGTGGTGGTGCGGAGTCGGAGTCGAGTCTAAACGCGAACCAGCCACCAGATTGACACGCCATTGTCAGCCCTATTGTTGCGCCAGTAATGCGATGCCAGACCACCTGCCACTGTTGAAGTCGAGATGAAGCAATCGCGTCCAGTGTGCGTGAGAGTGCTCAGTTGCAATGGCTTTGAGATGATGGAGGCAGAAGGGAAGAACGTGAACGTTGTGGGTTGGGAGCATGACGTTTCATTTCACGTTCCATGCTCTTAGCGTGGTTGCCGGCACGTGCACTGCTTTCGCTCACTTGACTTTTTGCCTTGCCTTCACATTTCGCACTTCAAGTTCCAATGCTGGTGTAAGTTTTCGTGAGCTTATTCAATTGCTTCAGGAATGAGACCTTTGACGTGAAGATTCTGTTCGGAAGCCACTCTCGACATGAAAGGTGCCGTTTTGAGTCGCAATGACCGGAGAAAGAACCTTGGATGTAGCTTCTCAGCCATAGCCAATGAATATGGCAAGCAAGACGCTTTGCCCCAGTTCTACAGCATACAATACACATCCCATACACCATCATCCGTAATATCGTCGGTACAGTTGATCCGTTCTTGCCAGCGTTTCAATTGATCAATCATCCACCCACTTCCCATCTCGATGCAAGAAGTCAGACCCAAACGCCTCGCTGAAACCACGCGAATGCGAACAAGCTCAATGATACTCGTCTCATTGATCCACATCCCAACCTTTCCTTTCCTTCGTGTTGCTTTCTGCGATCACTCGCGGCACACTCTCGCTGCTGATGGCGATTCTGATCGGACTCCTCAAGGGAACTCCAAAATCATCTTCGCCATCGTCGCTCAGATCCTCTGCTTCTGTGTCGAAGTCATGCTCAATATCACTGTCATCTAGGTCAAAGGATCCTGGCACATGCTTAGGCATGCCAGCTGGACTTTCAAATAACAATGCCTTGGGGAAAGCGCCTTTCGCAAATCGGGCTGCAATCTTGAGCATAATAGCGACAAGATTCACAGGAGGTCCAAGAAACGTTGAAGCTGCTCTCCGCACAAGGGCAGTAGCCATTGCCTGCTCTTTCTCAGACTTAGTCTGTGAGCGGCGTGACAGCGAACGTAGCGAACTGCTCGACGCTGAGGAAATCGCAGACAGCCTTGTCGTCTCTCTTTGAATTGGTACGAAACCTGTGGTACCCCCAATGTCTCTCCGCGCCTGAATCCTAGCCTGTATCGCCGCGTATGGGTCCGATTCCGACGATGCAACGCGAGTCAAGTGAGTTCCCATAGGGATGCTCTCCAAGACTTCGACAGGAGCATCCGTTGCACTCAATGTCTGCTCGCTAGACGACACAGAAGTGCCAGATACATCCGGAGCACATGCCTCTTGCGCTAGAGGCGCGTGGAGATCATCCATTGTGCCGTGCAGAAGGCTGTCGCCATCGTGTGATAGCTCTGGTAGCGAGACGATGTTCCCAGATCCTGTAGCGACCGGTACCTCAGCCTCATCTTTGCCGAACGAACCATCTCCATGAGCGGTGACAAATGCTGCGTCACCTGCCGCGTCTTCGAGAACCGCTGAGTCGGATGGAGTTGAGGTGCCATCCGGGTGTACGGTGTCGTCGTCGAGGCCGAGCTTTGTTTCTGATTGGTCGGGGTCAGCGGCGTTGCTTTCCGAGCCCTGAAGTTTTTGGAATCCTTCTTGAAGAACGACGGGTTTGCCCGCGACATCGTTATCGGTGAGCGTAGGATGATGTATAATAGATTGCGACGTAGCAGAATTTGGAAGAGATTCTCGAAGGATCGTCCCACGTGAGGGCTCAAAATCAAAACTCACATTGGAGTCTGGAGGAGAAGGGGGCATGTCCGTGGGAATTGATTGGAAGGACCGGCGATCATTAGCATCGTCCTCTTCCAATCCTCCTTGTGACTGGGATATAGGTATTGGCGATGCTTGGGTATTTGACATACCGCCCACGGACGGGTCGTGGAGAAGCACTGGCGAGCGCGCGGGGGCAGCTCCTGGTCGAGTGGGAGACGTACCAGCCCCTCGAGGCGATGTCTCTCGCGATGCTGGTCCTTGCGAAGGTGTTGGAAATCCATTTTTCGTTGGCGTGGAGCGCAGTCTCGAGGGCGGTGTAGATTGCAGTGAGAGCATTTGGGCTGGAGCGGTGACAGACCGCAGTTCAATTCCTCTGGCTCGATCTTTGACTGTTGGTTTTCTCTCGAAGGGCTTTGTGACTGGGAGAGCCCTGACCGTATCTGCGCCCTCGTCTGTGTGTTCTGTAGACGAGCCTGAGCTGCCTTCCTCATCCGAGGCCGTGACGCTCCCCGATCCTGACCCTTCACTTGGGCGGTCCTGTTCAGGTGTCCAGCCCTCAGGTTTCCAGCTGTATGCCTTGTCGAGTCTCCATTTCTTCGCCGGGCCATCGGTCCTTCGCCTTCGCCTTCTCGGCCTAGGCTCTTCCTCCTCTGGTATGTCTACGCTGAAAGTCCTCGCGAATGGGCACGCCGTCCTTTCATAGAATAGCACCTTCTGCAATGTAATTTTGAACTCCTCCACCCTTTCGAGGTCCTCAGGTGTGTCTCCAGGTAGTTCGATGCGGTAATAGGTATCTGGCAGTACGCGCATAGCGAATTTGCTCACTCCGTCCACGCACCAGCAATTGCTCCTCGGGAGAATGGCATGCAATAGGGAACCCGAATGTAGAAATGATACAGAGCCTGGAACGCGGTATATCTCGAGAGGTCCCGCCGCCATTGTCTTCTCTGTCGATGTTGCCCATGGCAGTGTGCCATTTCGATTGCTGCCCGGACTGTATGTCCCAGAGCTACTCGGCCGCCCTGTTGTACTGCTCGTGAACTTGACAATCTTGCTCGTCGGATGTGTGAACAGCGTTTCGACACCCTCCGTGGCGCCGATGTCTGCCGCGGTCGAGGGGCGTTTCGAGGCGCTGGCGGAGAAGGATCGGTTCAGCGCTGCCTTGCGCGTGGGCTGCTCAGGCGTTCTCGGGACAGTCGTCGACATTCTGGCGGCACTCCAGGCATCGGGGTCGTCGTTGGCGTTAGGAGCAGTTGCCGTTGCACCCTCCCTCTCGCGAGAGGAGCCCTGCGGGTTGAGACGCGATTCTTGGTAGCGGGCGACGTTGGGCGATGATCATTTGGCGCGCTCCAGAAGTGTCGACCCGTCCGTCCTTCAGTCGGCCTCTATACACGCTGCACGTTGCGATGCTCGCACGACAGGAGCATGTTGATGCATGGATAGTGCAGTGCATCCGCAGCCTGCACTCGGGCCTGTTCACATGCGCGACGCGGGAATGGTCGATCCCTGCGTCGGCGTGCGTCATTGGTCTACAGGCCATGCACGAAGAGATTGGACTTCTTTGATCACACACGATGCTATTCTTGCTGCTGACAACCACGAGGAACTCGAGGCAGAGCCCTTATCGCCATCTCTACTCGCCCTGGCAACTCGGGTAGGCCGAGTACGTGATACAATCCCCACAAGCAGTGGAGACTGCCTTCCATCGACCAGCTCCTCGACGCCGTGCTCGTTGCAAAGATCTGGTCTGTGCTGGGCCGCGGACAACCTGCACAGCTCAAAATAGCCAACAGACCTGGGAAGGCAGCGTGGACTTGAGGAAAACACTTACTTGTATAGCGAAGAGCGAGATCAGGAACCAGGCACATCGCGTCAGATTGTTACGCAGCACCACGACGCGCAGCAAACACGTCATCGTTCCAGCTCCAGCTTCCTCAAAACTTGTCGCATGCTCACCTCCACAGCTCTTCCAACACCGACTCATGAAATTAGCGACACGATGAGCAACTCCGGCTCATTCGGCAGCTTCGAGCTGAACAGCATCGTGCGAGGCGCCCAATTGACCGTGGTCGGCGCCAACAGAGCTCTCCAGAACCCAAGCTTGTTCACCAGCGAGCTCTACAAACAGGCGGCTTTGGCTGTGGTAGCTGGGCTGGCAATCAGGCTACTCGTGGCCATACCAGTATGAACGTTGCTGTCAAGGTCAAAGGAGCAGCGCTGATATTGCTCAGACGATCGGCATCCGCGTGCTTCTCCAATTCCTCGGCCTCTTCATCGACCTCTCCGAAACGACCTGGGATGCGGATATCATCGATGGCATCTCCTTCATCGAGAACTCCGTTCTACAGATCCCGTTCTTCCTCATGACCTTCATCCGTCAGCTGAGCCCAGCAATGGACCACTTGTTCATGGAGAGTCTGCAATGGGTTGACCAGACGTACATTCAAAAGCACAAAACCGATGACCCATCGCAGCTAAGAGCTATGTACTATCCGAACTTGAGGATATATAACCAACAAGCCCCTTCGGCGCAAAAGAAGGAACCATACCAGGCACTAAAAGCATTCTGCTTCAGATTCGGCAAGAAGGCGGCTGTGTCGTTGGGAGTGTACCTGCTTTCTCTCCTACCTTACGTGGGAAGATTTGTACTTCCAGCGGCGTCTTTCTATACTTTCAACAAGGCTGTAGGACTGCCGCCTGCTTTGCTAATTTTTGGAAGTTCAATCTTTTTGCCGAAGCGCTACCTGGTCATGTTCTTGCAGAGCTACTTCTCCAGCAGAACGCTCATGCGCGAATTGGTAAGCCTCCCTCCTCGCAGCTCGCTACACGTGGTTCACTGATAGTTCCCCCAGCTCGACCCATATTTCTCACGAGTTCGCTACACGCCTGAGCAGAAGAAGCAGTGGTTCCGCGACCGAGAAGGTGTGCTCTTCGGCTTCGCGTTCGCCTTTGTCTCTTTCCTCAAGATCCCACTTCTTGGTGTGCTCATTTATGGCATCGCCGAAGCTTCTACAGCATACCTCGTTACCAAAATCACCGAGCCACCGCCAGAGCCACAGCGAATTGAAGAGTTCAAGAAGGAGGACATCCACTGGAAGAACAAGCATGAGTTTGTCAGCCTGCCGCTCGACGCAATCGACAAACTAAACACGACACTGAAAGAGAAGAGACACAGTGCAACAGAATCGGAGGTAAAGGCAGGACGTCAGTTTTCGTGAGAACGAGTCGCTGTATGCATCACGAACTCCAGGACCTTATAACAAACGAGCAATCGCGATGAACTCCTGTCACCAATCTCTAAGGTTGTGGTGCAAGCTTCGTGAACGCTGGCTATACACAGCGAAAGTGACTCAGCAATGACTCCCTCGAAAGCCAAATTACGCAAAGACACGAAGCAGCACAGCATAGCCATGCCTTGGCCCAAAATGTTCGCTCCAATCCCAATGGCGGGTTTACTTCGGCTCTCGCCATGTGTTCATCGTGACCGAGTTTGGCAGCTGGCTAAGCTCGCAGCTCCATATGCGCCCCGCAAGCAAGAGCTCTTGATGACAGCACAATTGCCAACTGATGAACTGAGCACCCTATTAATGGAGCTCTTATCAGCCATCTTGTCAGGAAGGCCAGCCGCGGCCATGAGAGAGGCGCGGCCGTGTTCCCGGCGGACAGGCATCTTATCTGTCGATGGTCTTGTTGTCCAATGCCGCGACCCCGCTCCAGATCTTGGGAGACGAGCACAGTGCAAATAGGTGGATTGATAAACGACGTTGCTGCTCCCCAATTCTTTTCATCGTCTTGTCTCCACTATCCAGCTCTTTTTCAACCCCGATAAATACACATTAACAAGTTTGCCCGAAAGCAATAGTCATCATGGGCAGGGAAGGCTTGAGATACGCAGCAAAGGTAGAGCTCGACAAAGATGCGGGCACGCTTCCTTATTTGCATGTAAGTCAACTAGGGTAACACCAGTGACCGTGATGTCCACAGCTAATCCGGAGCTGTTGTAGAACCGATGGCATCCTGACAGTACGTAAGCCACGAAAATCATAACTCCACCTCACTTCGCCTAACAAACATCTACCAGTCCCAACCATTGGCGACATCAAAGATGGAGAAACCGTCAAAATCGAATGCGTCGACTGGACTGGAGGACAAATCGGAAACAACGATTCGGCCGATGACATGCGAGATGTCGATTTGACCAAGATTCATTATTTGACTGGACCTTTCAATGTTGAGAATGCTGAGCCGGGTGATATTCTCGTGGTGGATATTCAGGATGTGCAGCCTTTGGAGCATCAGCCTTGGGGGTTTACTGGGGTTTTTGCGAAGGAGAATGGTGGAGTGAGTATTCCATACATCATACCATGACAATGGTTGGGTGGTATGGTGATGAGAATGATCGTACTGACATGGAAGTGCAGGGTTTCCTCGATGAGATTTATCCCAAGCCCGCTAAAGCGATCTGGGATTTCGAAGGCATTAATTGTTCTTCTAGACACATTCCCGGAGTCCGTTTCGCTGGCCTGATCCATCCTGGCATTCTGGGTTGCGCTCCATCGCAAGAGGTCCTCGAGCTGTGGAATAAGCGTGAGGGCGAGTTGATCTCTGCTTGCAGCCACATGAACCGCGATGTCGCCAAGCCTCCCGAGCCGGTCAATGTCCATGTCGGCACAGGAGACGACAAAATTAAAGAGAAGGTCGGCAGGGAAGGAGCGCGAACCATCCCAGGTAGACCCGAACATGGAGGAAATTGTGATATCAAGAACTTGAGTCGAGGATCGAAAGTTTACCTTCCTGTGCATGTCAAGGGAGCTAAATTCTCGGTCGGTGATTTGCATTTCTCTCAGGGTGATGGGGAGATCAGCTTTTGCGGGTAAGAAGACCTCTTTGAGCATTCAGACCATCGACGAATCCGATCGATAGAACTAACATCCCTTCCCAGAGCCATCGAAATGGCCGGCGTAATAACCATAAAATTCTCCGTCATGAAAAACGGCCTCTCACGCCTCGGCACCAAATCCCCAATCTACATCCCCGGTCCCGTCGAACCACAATTCGGTCCCGGACGATACATCTACTTCGAAGGGTTTTCCGTCGACGAAAATGGCAAACAACACTATTTAGATGCCACAGTCGCCTATCGTCAAACTTGTCTGCGAGTGATCGAATATCTTCGAAGATACGGATATGATGATTATCAGATTTATTTGTTGTTGTCTTGTGCTCCTGTACAAGGACATATTGCGGGGATTGTGGATATTCCGAATGCGTGTACGACGTTGGGGCTGCCGATTGATATTTTTGATTTTGATATTCGGCCGGAGGCGGAGGTTGTGAAGAGGGATTTGGGGGCTTGTGCAAAGGCCAGTTCTTGAGGTGGGGAGTGCAGAGTAATTGTGCGAATGACGGGGCAAGTACTTGTGAAGGATTCCATTTTTGCAGTACGTTTGAACTTCGAGGATGGGTACGCAGCTATGCAATGTATTGGATGGGCGAACAGCAGTGCTCTGTCCTTTTCGTCAACATCGAGCCTTCATGTCCAATTCAGTTGTCGAGTCAGATATCAACTCTTCTTCTAAATTCAGAAAGGCTTTACTGCCTGACAGGAATGAATGTATATTCTGGCGAGCGTCCCTAGCTGATACGCGGTTGAACTACAACAGGATGGCACATCGTCCGTCATTTCGTTCTTCCTTGTGATACATACCAACTGAAAGGCTGTGTTGAAGGACTAAACTAGGAAGTCGAAACGAGCGAGCCGTGAGCTGATCACATTTCCAGCACCGCGTGACGCGAAGCCTTCATTTGAAACCGAGTCAGAGCTCTTTCGTGGCGATCGCTCGCTCGAGTATTTTGCCCGCAGCCCACTTGTAGTGGACGCAGCGTTGACAATCAGCCATATAGTCTTCTGGATCTCGACATGACTTCGGGCAAGCACGACCTGATTGCCACTGGACAATGTTGAGAAGAGCCGGGACCACAAATGAGACCATCTCAGAGGCAATAAACTGGCATTGTATCTGCCTTTACGTATATCTGCCAATACCCATCGATGTATGGATCAAAATGGCAGGCGAGCAAGGCTACCAAAAAGTAACATCCCTTATACTTCATTCGCCCTTTGCGCTCCAGATCACTCCTGACAATCTGCATGCTTCATCTGCTCGTGTTTGTGTGTAGTACCATCGTTCCAGTTCCTTGCTTCGCGCGTTCGTGAAGTCTTCTGTCTATCATAGCAGTAATCATGTTCTCCGCTCGTTTGAGCTTCGATCGTTGTCGCCTGTTCTAGTGTCTGCTCCAGCGCAGCTCTCGTCTGGACAAACCCAAACATGCATGGCTGTGTTCCATACAAGTCGATACAGCACTCTATCTTGGCGAGGCTCGGGCATGGGAGGACCTTTTCGCTCGCGCATTTTCTTCGTATTTCCTCGGCGACCAAAAGAATGCTGTATGCCTGGCAAGGAGGCTCCATGAGCCCGACCGAGCACCCGACCGCGTCTCAGGTTTTCGAATTCTCCAATCTTCTTCGTATTAACTCTTGCAAAATCAGTAGTTCCTTGCGTTGTTCAGCAGAGAGCTCGGTAGTCTGCTCGCTTGCTGGTGGTGACGGTGGCGCCACCGAAGGTGCAGACTTGGTCTTCTCGGCGTCCTCGGCCGCCATGATTTCCTCAACCACGGCAGAGGGGGCTTCAGCCTGTGAGGAATTTATTAGTTGCTGCTGACGTCATGTAGGAAGGCTGAAGAGTCAGTTGGTGAGGACTTACGATCAGAGCACCAACGAGATTCTGCACCTGGTCTTCACCCAGTCCCAGATCTTTATTCTCTCTCGCGAGTTGTGCGAGGTTGAGTGCGACTTGCTGTTCGTTGAAGGGGCGCTTCGCGAAATTGGCTTGTGCCAGCGTGCTGGGCGTGTCGTTAGGGATGTTGGCTCTGCGCCGCTTGTATGCCCGCTCGTCGCGAAGTTCTTGTACGCGCGTACTATGCCAATGTCAGTCATGATTCAATTATCTGGATGTGGGTACCTTACTCCTTGACTTTGTCGATGAAATCAAGCTTGATGCCATGGGCAGGCAGCTTGTACACCATCGGCCCATCGTCGTGGTCGTAGAAATCCGAGTCAGATGCATCGGACTCATCCTCAAGCACCTCAATAATGCCGTTATTGCGATGTCCGCGAGTAAGAGCGGTGTCAGCGACGACCGGATTTTTCGGCTTTCGGACATGGATTCTGCGACGGTTGGAAGTTTGGGCGTCCACCTCTCTGCGTCGCTGCAGCGACGAGACGTCGACTTTGCGCAGCTCCTGGTCGACATGTAGTGGGCACATCCAGTCATGCACCTTCTTCCCATTCTGATTGAGCGCAGGGGGGTTCGCAAGAGGTGGATTCAGACAGTCCAAATGCCAGTGCTGTTGGCAGTGATCGCAGGTCACGATGGCGCGCTTCGTGCCGGCAATCTGTTGAGAAGAGTGCCCGCATTGGTAGCACAGTACAAGATTGCCTTTGCTGTCGCGCAGTCTGTGATAATCAGGCTGATCATCAGAGTACCCAGGTCGATTACTGTGAGAATGATGTCAGCCGCATCCTAAGACGATAATTTGACAAGGTGGACTTACCGTGTCGGCTTGCCACTCAAGGCATCTGCAAAAGCGCCATTGCGATCTGCACTGACACCCTCGAAATAGTTCTTGATGGGCTCCGGCAAGTCGAAGGTCTTGGGATTGGACTTCTTGAGGCCAGCAAGCAGTGGCGCAAACAGGCCGGTTGGGGCTTTCTTCTCTGGGTAATCGGCAGAAATCGGTTTTCTCGCAACGCAGATGTAGCAGTACCATGGCTCGTCGAGTTCCTTTGCTTCCTCGCTGAGCGGCGGATCTAGACAGGTGAAGTGGAACGACCGGTCGCACCCATCGCAGCAAAGGAGAAAGCCGGAACCGCCACAGGCTGAGCAGAAGTCGTTGTTCTCGGATCGCTGCGGTTCAGATGTCAGATTCAACTTCTTGTCGAATGCAGGAAGCATATAAAGTAGCGGCGACGATGAGAGGTGACGTTGCGGGAGATGCATGGAGTGTTTCGGTGATGTGCAGGAGAGAGTTGTGTGGAAGCGAGAGTAAAGGGTTTAGCGCATCGCCTTGCGCGTTGTCTTACCATTTCGTTGTCATCATCCCCGATTGGACTGTTTCTCCCTGCGCCACCAGCGCCAGAAATGCCACTGTGGGCTGCCAACTGTCGCTTCTCTGGTCTGTACATAGATTGTTGAGTCAGTATGTGTGCTCGTGCAATAATGACTGAAGTGGTGCTGCTGTTTGCATGCCCCACTCTGCAGATTTGAAATTTTGACTGGGACGAAGATGGGAGAGACTGCCCGATCAGTCGCGTCGCATTCTTCAACGCATGCGGGTAGTGCAGCAGTCGTTGAGCCACGCTTCCGTTGGTGTGGGCAAAAAAGGAGATGATAGTGACTTACGACTGCTTGGTCTTCGCTCTCTTCCCTGTGAGCTTCGGCACCGGCTTGTTAAACCTGGGTGTACTTTGCCTGGAGTTTACTGGTGACAAGTCAGACAATGGCGAGTCAATGTCGTTGGACACTGCTCGGCTTCCTCGAGCACTTGCTGCGCGGTTGCCGTGTAACTCCAACCGGAGCGATGGTGGTGCGAGAGCCCCATCTTTTACACGGTGCAAGCGTGACCGTGGTTGCGACAGAGCAGGGCGGATACTGCTTTCTTGGTACTCGAAATCGCGTTCGATGCCCTCCCTGAGCCTCTGCTTTTTGGCGGCCAGAGCACGCTCGCCCTCATCATCGAAGGCGTCCGCAGAGGACCGTTTGACGGCATTACTGGGGGCTGCCAAAGAGCCACGCTCTGCAGCATGGTCCTTACCTTGGAGGCCGTTGACTCTCGACGAGGGTCCGGCAAAGCTGCTGGTCGGCCGAGCTGGCGAGTTGACCTCTTCCTCGCCGTCATCTTCATTCGAGGTAAGCGATGTGAGCGACGAGTCACTACCAACGCTACCCGAGCGCTTCCTCGGTGAGATTGACATCTTGCCGTTGCCTGAACGACGCCGGCTGGGATCTTTCATGGGCGACTTGACTTTGAGAGAGATTTTGGGCTTCATTGGTTCGAGGTATTCGGTAGATGGCACTGCAGTAGAAGCTTCAGGTGCTGTCGAGGAGTGTGCAGGCTGCAGAGTGAGACTTTTGGCGGGTGAATAGGCGGCCGCTCGAGCCTGCTGTGTTTCGGTTGGTTTTGCTGCGGCTTGCCGTGCCTTGTTCTTGGCGTCCTTCAGCTTCTTTTTGGCAGCGCGTACATAATCCTGGAACTCGGTATTTTGAGCTTGCGTGGCATTTTGTGTCAAGATAGCCTCAAGTAGGACGCGAAGATTCTTGTCCAGTTGGCTTTGTTCGTAAATTTCGTTGACAGCATCCGCGAGGTCGGGCTTGCCGACCTCGATTGCACGTGCTTTGGCGGCTTCAACCACTCGCTTGAGCTTATCGACATCGTACGCATATTGTGGTACTCGATGAGTCGTAGCGGCAGCGGCCTTCTTCCTGGTCGCGCCAGCAGAGGGGGGCGCTGGGGCAGGAGTAGCAGATTCTGAGGGTTCACTCTTTCGCTTCACAGCTCGCGGTCGCGCAGATCGCTCTTTCTTCTTGCCATGCTTCCCAGGCGCGTAGTCATCGTCCTTTTCGTCATCAACCACGATCGGACGCGAAGGCGCCGGGTCCGTAGGCTGCGGTGTGCTGGCTCCTGGTGCTGGTGTCCCTTCAGGAGTGCTCTGCACGTCTCCGCCTACAGCGGCAGAGCTTCGCCCCAGTACAGATTTACGTGCCCCTTCTCCTTTCACTCTCTGCTTGACCTTTGTATTGGGCAACTCGCCTAGTGGTTGCATGTGCTCCAGCACGCCGTATGGCGCCGCGCCATGATCTTCGTACGAGGCCTTGGGCGCAGCGAGCGACGGCTCTACCCAGCGGTCCATAAAGGTCTTCTCCTTCGCCCTGTCATGGGGCGCGACCTTGCTTGAATTACTGCCGCTGCGTTGTGTGGAGGGGTTGCGCTCGACTTGAGGTGTGGCAGATGCCGTGCTGGGCATTGTTTTCAGATCGGACTGCTCGGCCACGGCCAGTGGTATGCACTCGTCACTGCAAGCATGTTAGCGACGTGCACCAGATCAAATACACGAATCTGCATTCGCAAGTACCCTGGACGATGCGGCCGTTGCGAGGTGTTGCAAGACACACGCTACGCGATTCTTCGCGTGAACTAGGAGTCGAAGTTCGATAACCAAGGAGAGTTGCACGGCCGCTCGGGCCACCTTGCACGCGTTTGACCGAACACACACGACACAATACGAAGTATGTAACGTGCTCAAATGATCACTTGATAGTGCTCAGTAGAGGGACAGAGAATGCGATGCAAAACTTTGTGCAGTCGCGTGTGACAATAGCAGCTGTTGTAATGCCGACTCCGTTACCCAAAATCACACAGGGTGGATTCGAAGCACCCTCGGGATGAGACATTACATCAGACGGACTACGCATCACTTTATTGCAGGCTCTCGCCACCACGATGCAGCTAAGTCTGGGTTTTCCATTTGTTTTCTGTACAGGCAGGCCGAGATGACTGTATGTCTGCTATCTCACGAGCACTGCTTGGAGTTGCCTCGCCCCCCTTGGTGGCGATTTGTCATCTTATCTCAAGTGCTCGGTGACTCGACCATCGCTGCAGCGTCTGCCTAGTCGGCATACCTCACGGTCTCCGGTTCCACCCATCAACGCAAAGATGGCTGCAGACGAGCGCTTACTCTTCATCATCGCTGCTCTCCTCCTCCGACTCCTCTTCCTCCTCTTCGGCCTTTGGTGCAGCCGCCTTCTTGGCCATCTTCTTCTTCTTGCTCTTTGGCTTCTTAGCCTTGGTGCTGTTCTTGTTCAGGGGCAGCTCCAAGATCTTCAGAACTTCCTCATCCGTGATCTTTTTATCAGATTGCCACTGCGAGATATCCACAGCTGGAGGTGCTGACAGCTTCTGCACACCATTCTTGGTGATGGCTACATTAAAGTCAGCAAATGCACTTTGACAATGATTTGTACCTCGGACCGTCCAGACGTCAGTCCTTTTTACTCACCGACAGTCTCGAATAGACGGCTCACTGGCTCGCCATCCGTAGAGCCTGCAGGCTCGTATGCGCGAACAACACCACCGCGGACGCACTCAATCACACCGACCTTGGCGTCCTTCTCACTGTCAAGCTGGCGCAAGCTGAATGGGAATGTGCCGAATTTCTTCTGGATCTCCGAAAGAGTGGCCCTCGAGCTGGGTCGCTTCAGTCCGTAGGTGGTAGCAGTCCTGCGATGCAGTGTCGTCCTCTTTGGCAAGCTCTTGACTTTGCCGTTTCCAGTGCTCACGCCGATCTCCAGGCCCCAGACTTCACCGACCTCCGCAAGGCCCTCTCCCTTCACGCCCTCGCCCGGTGCCAGGATGATCTTCTTCTTGCCCTCAATCTCGTTGCGATCGAAGAGCCAGCATGTCGTGTTCTCCACCAGATTGCAGTCATAGCTCTTGACAACCTTCTCGAGCAGCTGTGTGATCTTTGCCTGACTGTATGGCTTCTGCGATTGTGCCTTCTTTTGCTCTTCCTCCGTGCCTGTAGCGACCAGTCCGGGTGGAGCAACGAGACGAAGCAGCAGCTCGTTCGCGTAGTGAGTTGCCAGTGCGAGGTCGGCTTGCCGTCCGGATAGAGTCTTCTCGGAATCTCCCTTGGCTCGTGCAAAGACTGTGTCGCAGACAATGGCACCGAAGCCGTCGATTTGAGCACCAAGCTGAATCTTGACCGGCTCGCCCGCCTTCAGTGTGGTTTCGGCCTCCTCGGCGTCTGAGACAAGGGGCGTGTATGGAGTGACATAGTCGCTGGGCGAGACGGTGACTGGGTGCGAGATGCCTTTTGCGATCTTTTTGCCCTTGTAGACCTTTGCGATCTCCTCGTCCAGAAGTTTGTCACCTCGTTGACAGAGCTCAACGACCTTGGCACCCTCCGTGATCCATCCTGCAGCATGTCAGCTCGAAGTACTCGAGGCAGCTGCTGGCAGTACTGACCCGAAACAGCCTCGAGGACTTTCTGGCCGATCTGCGCCGCAGTTTTATACTTGGTGAGCCTGTGATTCGGTCAGTGGCTGTCGATTGGCAGAGTTCCATTGGGCACGCGCTCACGTGTCGGGGTTGTTGAGCGAGTAGTCTGCAAAGTGTGTCAGTCATGGATAGACGAGATTGGTGCCATGTGCTTCGGCATTGCGCGACTCACCAACAGCAGCCGCTTCCGCCATTGTAAAGACCGTGCGTTGCTTGATTTGTGATTGGGAGAGAAATTGTTATCGGCTACACGAAACGTAGAAGAGCAGAGCAATATCAGCTTCGAAGTGGGAGTCAGTCCGTGCCCCGCCAAATGAGCAAGCCAAGAAACTGAAAGTCCCCACCATGCTGTGCATGCGAGCATCAACTACGCACGCACACTCTCCGCGCTGTGGACTCGAACTGCAGCATGAGCGGTCAAGGGGTGAACTGCGGGACTTTAGCACAGCTGGGAGATGGCTGCTGCGCTGCCTACAATGCAGCAAGTGAAGCTCGCTCAACGATGTGGATCATCCAACTCTTCAATTGACTTTGGACACCAAACAGACAGGGGCAGTCCAGCAGCACGTCGATGCGCCGCTGCGTGTGCTGCGGCGATTGGGGAGAAGCAGGAAACGGAAAGCACCGAGACGTGCTCACGCGTTGAGTGTCAATGGTCTCAGGCAGCCCGGACGGCATCGTAGCAACCAGCAGCAGCAGGAGAGTGTGAGGTGCGATGCAGAACTATTCTCGCGCAAAACAATCGGTCGGCACTGTCGCAGGGCAGGATCAGAGTCTCGATGCTGGTAGACTCTTCTCGACAGAAAAGGCACACGCGCGCGCTCATGCGTCTGTTGCGTGTTCGCGGCTTGTCTGCGGGCCGCGTGAAACTCTCGCCCGCGCTCTTTCTTGTGACATGCTGTGACTTCATCTTGCCAGCGCCAGCGCCAGTGCGATGCCAACATAACCGCGCGAACACTGCCTGCGCGGATGCCATTGCGCGTGCTTCTTCTCTCGTTCGCGGCAAACCTGCTTGTTCCTGCTTGACATTTCTCCTGCGGCTCGTCGCTTTTTTTTTTCTTGTTTGTGTAACCACCACCTGCGTGCTGCAGCAGCCCTCCCGCGCAAATCGCCGTTTCGAGCCTTCACTTCACTTTCGCGCATAGCAAACAACTTGAGCTCCAAGCGCCAGGCAACCAAATCGCCAGGCAGCAACGCGTGAGTCGACTGTTTTTCATCAACATCAATTTTGTGCCGCCAGCACCTAGACACTGCCAACACCCATTCCCGGACCACGCGAGCACCCGAACCACGTCCACACCTGGACCACGCCGGACCTACCACTTGCCATTCGCCATTCGCCGTTCGACAGTTGCCAATTGCCAGTTGCCAACTGCCACTGCCGTGTCGTGTCGGCCGCCATCCCGCGGCCGACTGCTGGAGTTTCGAGTTTTGTGCTGTTCACGTCTAAGAACGACTGCTGACTCGAGCCATGCAGCAGTGGGAGCAATTCGAGCGCGAGCTCGTGAAACGCGGCTGGCGAATGTCGCCCATCACTCGTCCAACCGCCGAGAGGCAGGACAGCACGCTGCCTGCCCACCTCCGTGAAGACGTCACGAGCATTCCAGTCACTCCAACTGTCAGCAACGAGGCCTACGTACCCCCAAGCACAGGCTCGGCACTCACGCGCGACCCGCCCACCCACGTCCTCGAAGCCATTGGCGCTGCCGGACAACAAGAGTATTTCTCGGATCGACCGGGGCCATCGACGGACCCGAACTCAGCTCAACGAGCCACCGATGGAGCCAAGAATGGAGAAGACATTCTCCGCCGTCTGAGTCTCACTGGACCGACTTCCACGACCGACTATGATAGTATCGACCCTCGCACCGCTCACCCTAGCTTGGGCCTGACTGGCAACATCATCAGCGCAAATTTTGCCGTGCCCTACAAGGTCGGCTACACCACTTCAGGGGAATGGGTGAGACACGTAGTCGAGGTCTGTCGTGAGATTATGACTGACATCAAAGCAGGAGCTCCAGCAGAGAAGAGGTACATCCGCTCTCTTCGACTCGTTCTCGTGGCTCGCGTCCGAGAAGTCTCCTTGGAAGCACACCCTAGTCGGCTGGACTGGAGAAATTGATCGAGTGATCCGCCGTAAGGATGACGATCATTCTGCAGGGACCAATGGAATCACTTCGATGGACTCGGTCCCACTCAGCAAGCAGTCCGCTCCCATACCAGTCAACAAGGGCGAGAAATCTCCGCAGCCAACCGAACTCTCGGAATTGCATGTGCCCTTGGCCGACAGACGCAAGCTCGAGAGGAAGCTCGCGGCGGAATCTGGCGGCCATGTCTCTCCTGTCTGGTTGTGGGACGACATTGACGACAACGAAGTAGCAACCTTCCGGAACCAAGCTCGATGGAGGCGGTACGCAGAACACGAGCTATTCACGTTGTTCCACTACAAGCAGAATGAGCCCAGCGACGGTCGAGCTCTTCGGAAGACTTGGGCGGACTATTGCCTGCTCAACAAGACTTTCGCAGATCACATTGTCAGCATCTACACTCCTGGCGACATCATCCTGATTCACGACTATCACCTGCTGCTTCTGCCAAGCTTGTTGAGGCAACGCCTGCCAAACGTCTACATTGGCTTCTTCCTACACGTACCGTTCCCCAGTAGTGAATACTACAGGTGCCTGACTCGCCGCAAGGAAATACTTGAGGGAGTTCTTGGCTCCAACATGATTGGCTTCCAGGCATACAGTTATGCTCGCCACTTCTCCTCTTGCTGCACGCGCATCCTTTCATTTGCATCTTCATCTGCCGGCGTGGATGCATACGGAGCTCATGTGCCAGTGGATGTGTTCCCCATCGGAATCAACGCGGAAGCCACGATCAAGGCTGCGTTCGAGTCTCCCGGGGTCGAAACCAAAATACAATCGCTTCGCGAACAGTACCACGGGAAGCAGATCATCGTCGGGCGCGATCGTCTTGACACAGTCCGAGGTGTTGCACAAAAGCTGCAAGCGTTCGAGATATTTCTTGAACGCCATCCGGACATGCACGACAAGGTTGTCCTCATCCAGGTCACGAGCCCCACTAGCATTGAGGATCGCGATGACAAAGGTGACAAGACTGCCAACAAGATCTCTGAGTTGGTCGCGAGAATCAACGGAACGTATGGATCGTTGAGTTTCACGCCAGTTCAGCACTATCCCCAGTATCTCTCAGAGGAAGAGTATTTCGCATTGCTTCGTATTGCCGACCTGGGCTTGATCACGAGTGTCCGCGATGGCATGAACACGACAGCTCTCGAATACGTTGCTTGTCAGCGCGACAACCACGGTCCTCTGATAATCTCTGAGTTCTCTGGTACGGCTGGCAGTCTGGCTGATGCCATTCACATCAACCCATGGGATCTTGGAGGCACGGCGGACGAGATTTACGCCGCGTTGCAAATGGGTCGAGAGGAGCGAGAGCAGAAGCACCAACTGCTGAATCAGCATGTGACAACCAACACGGTGCAATACTGGACCTCGAGCTACATCAAGCGTCTGCTGACGAACCTTGCTTCTTACGATCAATCATTCGTAACCCCAGTTCTCGACCGCGCAAAGCTGTTGCAACGGTATCGCAATTCATCAAGACGTCTGTTCATGTTCGATTATGACGGTACCCTGACACCAATCGTCAATGACCCGAACTCAGCGATCCCATCAGATAGAGTCATCCGATCGCTGAAGACACTTGCTTCGGACCCTAAGAATCAGGTCTGGATTATCAGCGGCCGCGACCAACAATTTCTCGACGAATGGATGGGACACATTCCCGAGCTCGGTCTGTCTGCTGAGCACGGAGCATTCATGCGACCACCGAACTCGAACAATTGGGAGAACTTGACCAAAACGCTGGACATGTCGTGGCAGGAAGATGTTATGAAGGTCTTCACTCGCTACTCGGAACAGACACAGGGAAGTTTCATCGAACGCAAGAAGATCGCGGTGACCTGGCACTACCGGCGTGCGGATCCAGAGCTTGGACCGTATCGCGCTCGGGAGTGCCAGAGGTATCTGCAGCAAACAGTGGCGAGGGAATACGAGGTCGAAGTCATGACCGGAAAAGCGAACTTGGAAGTGCGGCCTCGCTTTGTCAACAAGGGCGAGATTGCGAGGCGTCTGGTTATAGAGTACGGCATGGAACCATCAAAGGCTCCGGACTTCGTACTCTGTGCTGGGGACGACTTCACTGATGAAGGTAAGACATTCATCGTGATGCACACATGCAACAAGCGCAACTAACCTCATCCTAGATATGTTCCGCTCGCTCGGCCAGTCTCATTTGCCGCAAGATCATCGCTTCGCAGTCACCGTAGGTGCAAAGACCAAGCAGACGCTCGCATCATGGCATCTGCTCGAGCCTGCAGATGTCATCTCGTGCATCGCGTTGCTCAATGGCAGTGCCGACGGCGGAAATGTGGGAGCAGTGGCCGCTCTGGATGGTACGGTGCCGGAGTCCAGGCCTGTGCTATAGTGCGTATACGAGTCACAGGCGTTGATCGGTGGCATTCGTGGATGCATAGCAAGGCGTTCGAGGTGGTGCATCAAGCAGCGCAAACGGTTTACATGGGCTGAAAGGTTTTGGTGCTGTAATCACAGCGCCCAGATAGAGCTCGCTGGAGTGTAGCATAGTCCGCAGGCATAATGTGGTTGCGTTTCTCCAACACTTTCGCGAGTACTGTTTGATACGGTTTGCCAAGACGGGAGCTCTGCCCCGTCTCGTGGCTTCGGCATTGCAGGTGAAGCTCGTTGCTGTGAGCAAGCACGAAGCTTCACAATAGTCCACAGCTTCCATCACCTCCATGCAATGCCATCGACTGGCACTGCGCGCCGTTTGCCGTGCGAGTAACGCTTACGACCCATCGCGAGCACTTCGCTCTGCTTTTGGAACCGCCACGCCACGAAGAGAACACAATGATCGCATTCCGTCTGCATGGGAGCCAACTGAATGGGAAGAATTGCCAGATACTGTGCGGCAGCAGGAAACTGCAGGTGTGAAAGATGCAGAGCCCAACACTGAACACGAAGACTCGCCGACAGCCTCCGCCGAGGCTACAAAGACGACATCGAAACAAGATGCGCGGGCAACAAGTGGGGAGCGCAAACACATGCAAATAGTGCGACGCATAAAGACGCGAGCACAGGGCAATGAAGCAGCAAAAACGGAGGTGACCTCTCTCCAACAATACGTGCGAGGGATATTGCGGCGCCAAGTTGCTCGAGCAGAGGCATTCCCGCCAAGCGGGCGAGGTGATGTACCATCCGCAGCCATGTCCGATGAACGGCTCTGGCTTCCACACCTGAACGGGAAATTGTTTGTTGGGGCGGATAAGTGGCAGCCCGAAATAGTCAATTTGGCCTTGCTTAATCGACGACTGCACGAGGACAAGCGTTACACAGAGGAATGGTCTCCTCACGAAAAAGGGCAAATTGGAGCCGCATTCGACTATCGGCCGAGGGTTGTGCAGCCTCGCACGCCTGTCATAGGAGAAGACGTATCACCTCCCGCGCCATGGGAGACAGCTCCAAAAGGGAGGCGAGAAGGGAATCTTCGTGGTATTGCGTATGCTGAACACGAGTTCGAGAAAGCGATCGCGCGGTTTGTCAACTATATGAAGCCCACTCCACTAGAAACATTCGCACGGAAGACTGCCGCCAAGGAGGTCATGTCTTTTATCCAGGAGACATTGCGCGGACACCAAAACATTGCAGCTGAGCTTCAAGGCTCCGAGAAAACCGGGTTGGCCATGCCAACCTCAGACATTGACATCCGAGTTTGGGAGCAGTCAGACGAAGAAGTCCCCTATAGGGCGAAACCATATGTCCTGGGCAAAAGGATATTGAAATCTATGAGACCACTCGAATACGCTTTGAGAAAACACCCAGAAAGATTCGTGCTGGTGACATTCCGTGACGGCCTCCACCCGATCATCAATTTCCAGCATCGACCATCTGGCCTCGATTTCCAGATTGTAGCAGGCAGGCCTTCATATCTCCAAGAAGATGCCGTCGCAAAGTATCTTTCAGAGATACCTCAGCTGCGTGCTCTATTTACTGTCGTCCGTACCTTTTTCGACGTCAGAGGCCTGCTGCCCGTGTATTCCGGCGGTATTGGCTCATACGGCTGTTTCGTCATGCTCATACCACCAATATTGCGCGCAAAAAAGACACTGTCGGCTCCTGTCCTCGGTTTACTGCGCCGCGTCTTCGCTTTTTACCGTCCGTGCAACGTGGTCGATCCCACCAATTACGGAGTATCCTGCTTTCCACGCCAGATCTTCAAGAAGCATGACCCGGACCATGTATACGACCTATTCGCGCGTTACGCCGAGCGAAGAGGGGATCCAATCCGAGCTGGACAATGGCGGATAGGCCAACGTAGAAAATACCTGCCATACCTGCTTACGTTGCAGGACCCAGCGAACCCAAATAATGATTTGGGTGCCCGCACGTATGCCATCAAACACATCCTAGCCACGTTCATGAGAGCGCGAAGGGATTTGCGGCGTTGGAAAGTGAGGATGGCACGCGATCCTCAGACACCATATGAGCCGTTCCTTGAACAGCTTGTTGGACGTCCGGATCTCCTGTATCGGGAGCAGCGGCAGGCACTCGAAGAGTATGGACGAGCGGTTAAGGATGGCAAAGAGCCCTCCTACTTGACTGAAGATGAGGCCGCCCAGCTTCTGCACGGTCACGGGTTTGGCGATGGTCATAAGGGCGCACTGATTAGGAAAGTGTGGGAGTGAAATTCAAATCGATACGGATGCAGCAGTGGGCGCCATTCTCAGGAGCAGGATCATACATTCTATGAGAAGAGCGGCATCAGATATAAGTAGCTTGGGATGTTTGCCCCGGGGAGCAGGCACGCAACAAGTCAGTCGGTCGAACACAAGACCGTGAAGTTTGGTCCTGTTTCGTTACTCCACAATTCGTCTGCCAGCCACCGTGTTTAGCCACGACGGACCAACCCCAAACTCCACCCAAACCTTTTATCTTCAAACGTCTGTCTGTCCCTTGAATGCCTGTGACACCAGAGGCTCACAGCACTCGGCCATCACCAAACTGTTCTGTCTGCATGACCAAGTACGACAATGGCACTAATTCCGGCCCTTCATGCCGCAGAGCATCTCCACGCAATCGTGGACATGGGCTCAAATGGGATTCGATTCAGTCTATCAAGTCTGCAACCACCGACACAACGCATAATGCCAACTCTATACCAGCACCGAGTAGGCATCTCACTTTACGATGCACAATATTCACAAACAGGCGAAAGAATCCCGATAGACGACAAGACCATCAAGGCCGTCACAGCAGCTTTCAAGCAATTCAAACGCACTTGTCAAGATTTCGGAGTACCAGAGCAGAATACTACAGTATTGGCAACAGAAGCTACGCGAACTGCTATTAATTCGGAACTTTTTCGCGCGGAGATCAAGAAGGCAGTTGGGTGGGAAGTGACGATGCTTGCTAAGGAAGAGGAAGGTAGGGTGGGTGCTATGGGTGTGGCATCTTCTTTACCTTCGTTGAGTGGGCTTGTTATGGATCTTGGAGGTGGGAGTACGCAGTTGAGTTGGATTGTGAAGAATGGGGCTAGTGATGGGGTGCGATTGCCGCCTTCTGGAGCTGTTAGTATGCCTTATGGCGCTGCTGCGATGGCGAGGCGGCTTGCTGAGGCGGAGAAGACTGGGACGACTGCGAAGCTGCGAGAGGAAGTCTACAGCGCAGTGAGAAATGCTTACGAGACTTTGCAAGTGCCGAAGGAATTGGAGAGAGCTGCGACAGAAGCGGGTGGATTCACGTTGTATCTTTCTGGAGGCGGGTTTCGTGGCTGGGGTTATGTGCTGATGAGCCAGCATCGTATTCAGCCATACCCGATACCTGTGATCAACGGCTTTCGTGTCAGCAGAAATGCTTTCCTGGAAATCGATCAAGTCAAGGCTGCAGCTGCGGATTCACTCGAACCCACTGGAGAAGGCGAGCTGTTCAGGATATCGGAACGTCGTGCTGGACAAGTACCAGCTGTTGCATTCCTTGTCAACGTCCTTGCTGAAGCGCTGCCACAAGTCAAGGAGGTTCGTTTTTGTCAAGGTGGTGTCCGGGAAGGTCATCTATTCTCATCGTTTCCAACGGAACTCAAAGCAGAGCTGCCTCTGGTTGTGGCTACCCGACCCTTCGCAAACACAGAATCTTCGAAGAAACTTGTCGCAATTCTCGAATCTGCATTTCCTGCAGGCTCAACATCTGGTGCTGCGGATGACTACAAGAGCATCTTTATCCCGGACTTGCTCGAAGCGTTCGCGAATCTGATATACTACCACTCCAGCCATTCCAAAGACCTCCAGGCTTCAGCAGCACTCCGTAGCACCACAGCAGGCGTCCTCGCCAGCGTTCACGGCATCACTCACGAAGCCAGAACGCTCATAGCATTACTGCTTTGTGCAAGATGGGGAGGAAGCATACCTCCAAGCGACCAAGTCTTTAAGCGCAACCTTGAACAACTGATCGAATCACCTTGGACACTATGGTGGATCAACTATCTCGGCGCAGTGGCTTCCTTGATCGCAAGTATCTACCCTGCAGGGCCACTGGTAGGACATGAGCGACTCCGCCTCAAAGCCGCATGGGACAGAGATGAAAAGCAGCGAGCGCTTTTGGTCTTGGAAGTCGGTGTCTCCGGCGATGTGGATGAAGAAGTTGTCGAACACGAGGCGCACGAGGTAGAGAAGGTTGGTAAGCGGAAACGCTGGATTGGTGGGCGAGACGGCATCGGTCATCGATTATCTGTCAAGGTCCATTCTATCAGATCTTGATACAATAATGACATGAAGCAGACTGTCATCAAGATGTCGTGTTTGGTCGAATTCGTGCGGCTAAGGCTAAGAATCCTTCTGGCTTCAAGCGGCATTTGAAATCTGCTTCGATCCCAAGGAGGCTAAGTTAGCTGTGGACAGCAAAACGTAAAGTCGCATTTAACGACAATCGTTGCTCTCTTGTCGCAGCCCCAATAATGCGCCCAGCTCGCTTCGCAAGACCTAGTGCCTTGAGCACGCTCCAGGAAACGGAGGTATGAGGAGTAATGAAGTACTTGAGTCCGTGAAAGAAGTACACAATTTTTATCATGGGCTTCCGTTTTGCTTTCCGGCAGGAGGGAGGATGTCGGCCACTATATTGTCCAGGTCTTGCCTTCAGATCATCGAAGTGTGGTGCATAGGAGGGAGACAGGCTTAATTCGGAGAGCATGTGTGGGCCGTATGGCAGTGTGCGACGCATACCGACCACGCGATTGTTGGCTCTTACTGTCGCTCGGGTCGGCAGTAGACCACTTTCGGTACCGTTGAAGGGGTTTTGATATTGAGGTCTGCCGATAGTGCTTCAGACGTGATGAACAACGCCCTTGAATTGGCAATCAGTGCATTCGAACCGCACCATATTGCAGACTGACTCCAAAGATCTGTGCACGTGCAGCGGTCAGAGTCCGATGCCTCGGACGCGTAGATGGGTAGTTCACAGTTAGAAGCAGCAGCCCAGGTAGCCGACCAACCAGATGCCGATAGCATGTTCAGCAGAAGCCGATGTATAGCCTGCGATATTGCACAGTCGCTTATGAAAATAAGTTCACGCCTCTGCACTTGGAAATGTCTTGGACTTTGGACTTGTGATGGAAAGAGGATGCCGCCAACTTCACTTCGCAGGGATACCAGACAGATCCCGTCAAATGCCGATTCCCCATGCGAGGAGTTCGCGCATGCCGATCTGCCAAGAAACGCGGAGAGTGTGTCGCATCTGCAGATCAGTGATGTGATGCGCGGTGTTGGAGTGGCGGCCGACGACTTCATCTACCGCTCGCGCCTCCCATCTCTTCTAGACCGGTTCCAAAAGCCGGACATCTCAGGAGTTCTGGTATATAGTCCTCGTCGAGGCACCATCGGCAGGGATCCATCATCCCAGCAGCTTTGACCGAGAACATGGCTGATACCAAGACTGCCGTTGACATGATTGAGGACCACGAGCCGCGAAAGGGTAGCATCACAGTGAATGCAGATGCTGCTCTACATGGAGACAGAGCGCTGGCGATGATTGGTGATGAAAGAGTTAGATTGACAGAAGAGGATGTATGTGACTCTGATGGAAGGAACTCCCCTTCACGCACGGACCAAGCTGATACAGAACCGCAGAACAAACGCATACGACGGAAGACGAACAAAGTCATCTTGACTATCCTGATCTGGGTGTACTTTCTTCAAATCGTAAGTCCCAACGCTTACCTCGACTCTGAAAATCAACGCTCACCACCTACCTTTCCAGCTGGACAAATCAGTGCTTGGATATGGAGCGACTTTCGGAATGAAAGAATCTACTGGCCTCGTGGGTAACCAATACTCTCTGGTCGGCAGTATCGCACCTATCGCACAGCTCGCTTGGCAGCCATTCTCATCCTATTTGATCGTCCGAGTTCCCCACCGGATTCTGATGCCCGCTCTGGTTCTGGGTTGGGGCATTGCTCAGACGTGTATGGCATTCGCCTTCAACTACGAAGGACTACTTGCTGCACGCTTCTTTCTGGGACTCTTCGAGGGTGGCTGCTTGCCCCTCTTCAGCATCATTACCTCGCAATGGTACCGCCGAGCAGAGCAACCCATCATCGTAGCTGCATGGTACAGCACGAATGGTCTTGCAACGATCGCTGCTAGTGCATTGAGCTTTGGTCTTGGTCATATCAACTCTTCTGTGCTGGAGAGCTGGCAAATCATCTTCCTGTTCGTCGGTCTGGTGACGGTCATTACAGCACCTGTTGTATATTGGAAGCTTGACAACGACATTCCATCAGCACGATTCTTAATTGAGGAGGAGAAACCGCAAGCTATTGAGCGTCTGAGAGCCAATCAAACCGGTACCGGAAGCCGCGAATTCAAGTGGGGCCATATAACGGAGCTGGCCCTCGATACCAAGACATACCTATGGATTGCTCTATCATTACTCCTCAACGTTGGCGCAAGCGTGACAAACGTATTTGGACCGACGATCATCAGTGGCTTTGGATACGACAAGTTTATCACTTCACTTTTGAATATGCCGTTCGGGGCGCTGCAATTTATCATGATTCTGTTCGCTTCATGGGCTGCACAGAAGTTCAAAATCAAGTCACTTATCCTCGTGGCACTTGTTTTACCTGTTGTCGCTGGTCTGGCCATGCTGTACACCATCTCACATACGGATTCGAACCAAGGAGCTCTGATGGCAGGCTATTACCTTTTGGCCTTCTTATTCGGTGGCAATCCCTTGATCGTGTCCTGGGTCGTCGGAAACACCGCAGGCACAACCAAAAAGAGCGCCGTGATGTCCGTATACAACGCTGCTTCGAGCAGCGGAAATATCATCGGGCCATTATTGTTCAATTCTCGAGACGCTCCGACATATCGACCAGGTCTGAGAGCCGTGCTCGGTATCTTTGTGGCCTTTGGAGCGTGTGTGCTACTTCAGGGCGCTAATTTGATGTTCATGAACAAACTCCAAGAGCGCAAGAGAGTCGCAAATGGCAAGCCAGCGAAGATCAAGGATCTTAGTATGTCGAATGAATACCAGGATGTGGACGATGCCGTGGACTCGGAAGCGGGAGAACAGCACGCGAGAATCGGAGACCAGGCGTTCCTTGATTTGACAGATTTGAAGAACGATGAGTTTGTGTTCATTTATTGAAGCGGATCCTTCGAACAGAAGCGTGATAGCATTTAGCAGTGAATTTGACGAACTTGGCAAAACAAGCCCCATGAACAGCGAAATCTCTCCGCAACGCCGAAAAGCAGAACAGAGACTAGAATTGAGACTCCGTGAAACTCGAGTGCTCTTTCGATACTCGTATCTCAACCTTACACAGTGCAGCGAAGGCGCTTTGGCTCCACAAGCGAGGCGAGCTCAGGATCAAGTCCGTGAGAGCGATCGCAAAACTGTCCATTCTCACATTGTAAACGGCGAACCCATCACCAGGATTACCTTTGAACGCAATTACCTCCGAGTGCAAGCGCCTCACTGGATGGACTCTCGATTCATGAATTGCTTCGCTGATCGGCTTAGCGACCTGCGCTTGCACCCAGAGGTAGTTGCTCCCAGAGATAGTCGCATTCACAGGTAGCCACGACCAAACCAGCCACAAAGCAGAACCTCTTATCACCAAGCGAAGCACATGAATGAAGAAGCTCTCTATCTCTGACCGCTTCGCTCGCATCCATCTCGGCCGCCAAGTCGGCAACCCCATCCCAACCACGGCATTCCGGCAAACAGCAGCAGGATTCCGGACCCGATTTTGTCTCGGCTGCACAATATCTGCAAGAACAGTCACAAACCGGGGGACCGAATTACTGGTACAAGCTCCCGACTGGAAGATTGTCCTTGTCGACCTAGTGGGAGACTGCATTGGTCGGCATTGGCGGATATTATAGACTCGGCTTGGTTTCAGGCATGCGCATTGTGCTGGTATGTATGCTATCTCCCCGCGGGACTGTACGCGAGAAGGAGAGGAAAGGGTGTGGATGCTTGGTGGAGGATTGGGGATGTATTGCGTGTTTTCGATTGATACTGCAGTGTTACTGTCTTCTTTCTGCCAGGTGAATCAAGCGATGACTGTGTGCATTGCAGTGTAAGAGACACCGACGACAGGATGCAGTGACGCGATCACGGAGAGATTCAGTATGTTTTTGTATCCATGCACGACAGATGGCATGTACCACAAGACTGCTGGGCAGGGTCGTCGGGCATGTGGAAAGTTCGCTCTCTGACAACGTAATGCATGCTGTTCCAAACTGATTCAAGCTGTGTGACTCTGTGCTATAAGTACAATAGGTATTTCCCGATGCCTTGACGCCTCGCTGAAAGCAGATCCCTCATTTTCTTCAACCTGAACCGTGATTACAAATGCCAAAGCGACATCTGCACCTTGATGAAATATTGATGATAGCACGAATGCATGTTGTCTAAGGATCTCTTCCTCCCATGACCTTCGCTGCTTGCACAGCCTGCATCTTGTTCTGCCACGCAGCTGCAGGCTGGAACTTCTTGACTGTTCTAGCCTCCTCCAAACTGTAGCCTGGAATACGGATCCCATACTTGCGCTCGAGCACGATTTGAATATCACGAATGTCGAGTGTCTGGTTGGGTCGCATCTTTGCGAGCTTGCAAGCGTCTCCGAGCACACTATCCGTGAAGTCGTCGGCGAGCTCCAGCATGACCTCCTCCACCTCGGGGCTAAGAACGTTGGATGATTCGCTATCCGAGGCTGCTGGCGCAGCGCCAGTCACTTGCCGCACGAGCTCGTCCAGTTTGCGCTTGCTCAGCACACGGTCGCCTTCGCCCTCCAGAGTGAAGGGCGGCGGGCGCTGTATGCCAGGTTGCTGCATCATGCCGGCATTGTTGTATGTTGGGCGCGCAGGCGGGCCAGGCACGGGCTGCTGAGTCTGTGGTCCGAGTTGAAGGGTTTTCGGGATCGGGAACTTGGTGTTGGCGCTGCTTTGCTGTGTTGTCTGCAGATTTGGGTAGGTGGGCGTATTCTGCTGCGACGTATTGTTCGGCTGCGTGCTGAATGGGAGCCCGTTGGGCATCTGAGGAGCCTGCGGCCCCTGTTGCTGAGGCTGGTTTTCGCGATGATAGGACTCGGCAGCGGACGCCATAGCAGCTTGATGAGTAAGAGGCTGTGGCTGCCGACCATTCTGTCCCGCACTGTTGGGCATCGCCGTCTGCGGCGCGCCGGACTGCTGACCAGTGGCAGCCTGGTTCGGGATGCTCGTGTTGATCTGCGGTGGCCGTTGCTGCTGCATCTGCGAGCCCATGTTATTCTGCTGTGGAAAATTTTGCTGCTGCTGCGGTTGCTGCTGCGGTTGACCCGAGCTCTGCGCCATCTGCTGTTGATTTGCGGCTTGCGGCGGTTGCGCGTTCTGTTGGTTTTGAGAAGCGCCTTGTTGATTCTGCTGGAAGCCAGCTTGTGGCTGTGGGGGAGAAGGCAATCCATTTGTAGGCTTGGCGTCCGGCTGTTGCTGTTGCGACGTAGCATTCACTGCGCCCTGCTGAGTTGCGGGACGGGCTTGCTGAGCACCATCGGCTCTGCCTTCGCCACGTGCCTTCCAATTGTTCCAGTTCTGGTTCACAGTAGCGACCGCCTGCTTTGCGGCCTCAAAATTCTTCCGCATGTTTTCCGGTACTGGCTGTTGTGATTGCTGATATCTACTGAGCTGGCTCTGTACGCTGCGCGCCTGGTTCAAAATCTGATCGCGCTTGGCGAGGATGGAGTGGGCTTGGTTGCGCCAGGCTTGCTGTTGCTCTGCAGGAATCGTCAATACGACATTGTCGAGATCTTCTTGCGATTTTGGCATGAGCTGAGGAAGTTGTTGTTGGTTTCCCATCGCATTGCCGCCCTGTCCTCCTTGACCTTGCTGTCGCGCGCGAGCAGCCGCTTGAGCCTGCGCCATTTGCTGCTGGGTCATTTGACCAGCCTGCTGGCCGGGCTGTTGTCCCTGCTGTTGCTGCGACATCTGCTGTGGCTGCCCGCCCTGCTGTGCCGGTCGCGGCTGCTGGTTCTGTTGCCCAGGCTGGCCCTGCGCTGAGTTTGGGCGATTCCTGTTCGCAAGCTGAGCCATGAGTCGACTGCTTGCGGTACGAATCTTTGTCTCTGCCTCTTTGCGCTGGTCACTGCCTTCCGGGCTGTTGTTGAACTGATTCCATATCTGCGTCAATCCTTGCTTATACTGGAGCTTCGAGGGAGCGTCAAGGAATGGCAGCTGGTCGATCTGCTCTGGCCGAATCATGACCGGGTTCCCAGAGCTCGGAGGTTGCGCCATGGTCACGTCGGCTGAGCTGATATGGATGGTCGGCGAGGGTGTGTGATCGCTCTATGGCGTAACGGTTGGTGGGACGGACGGAAGATGGGCGGGCGACAGCGCGGTCACGATTGAGAAGGCCAGTCGCACCGATCGCCGGGCGCACAAGCACAGCTCCGTGAACGATAGACGACCGATTTCGAGGAATGTTCGATCAGTTGCAGATCGTGGCGTCGTGAAGAAAGCGGCAGACTGTTCCTTCTGTGAAAGCGGTCGCGTGTTTGATGCACGGCTACGTGAGGTCTGAAGTGAGGCCTTGATCCACGCCAAGATGCACCGTCACGAGGCTCACATCGCGGCTCACGCCTACGAGTGTCAACGACACATGCGACTTCACGGTCGCTGAATCTTGTGAAAATCGTGCCGAATGTGCTAGTGGAGGCAGTGACATGAAATGAGTTCGGCGGGCTTGGGGATACAATTCACATTTTGAAAAGTCAATGAAAGTCATGTTTCGAAGAAGGACAAAGCACTTGCTGCTCATCACACGCTATTAGAACAGCGGCTTGCTGTATTAGACGAATTGTTGCAATGGTCTATTCTCTGTTGGTACATTCGGACGCCTCTGCCGATGCCAAATCTCGGACAGACGCCTGGCTCCAACGTTACAGTAGCTCTGACCCATCTGCGTAGCTGCGTGCCGCATAGAATTGCAAAATAAGCCATAAAGAGCCTTTAACCCCAATGGAAATCAATTTCGATCGAGTTTCCTGCTGGTGCTGAGCGAGCTCGTAATATGCAGCAGTAGATGTATTGCTTGCCCTGTACCACGGAATACTGCCAACCTTAATTACTGATCGTGGCAGTCCTTTCAAGACGGCGAGTTCCAGCAGGAGTCGACTGCGGCAAAGCAAAACAGAAACCAGGACTGAGACTCCGTGCTCCTCTGCCATGGAACTCGAGTGGCCTTTCGATCCTCGTATCTCTCCCTAGTGCAGCGTAGCTAAGGCGCTCTGTCTCGACAAGCACGGCAGCTGCGGAGCCCAATTCGCGAGAGAGATCGCGAAGTAAGCGTATTTCACAATTTACGGTTTGCCGTCCGCATCCAGGGAGCGCCGCTTTTTGCACCTTTGGCAGTCAAATGTTCTGATTGTGCGCCAAGTGATAGCTAGTCGACTCTCGTGTTTGAAGGTGTGACATCAGGAGAAATCGCAAAGACTTCATCCTCCAGCCATTCTCGTACTTCGTCCCATGGAGCCTTTCTCATCCAGAAATCGATCAGTTTTGTGCTTGCATGTACAGCATCAGTGCACCCATCCATGTCTTCGTACACTGAGATATCAGAGACGTTGACATTGTCGAACTCTTTGTCTCCAAAATCGTACTTCTGATGCTCCTCCGCATTCTGGCCTCGAAAAGAGTGGAAATTCACGATCCTTCCATAACGTCTAGGGATGCTGTCAGAGAGCAATTCGCGATGGCAATGGCCGCGAGCATATGAGTCCTGAATGAGGTGCAAGCAACTCCCCAATGCACGGCGATCATGCATCACTTTTCGATACGTGCCGTTCGTTGTGAGCAGCGTGTTGACCGTGTCATTCTCATTCGGTATTGTTCCCTCATCAAAAAGGTCGCGTAGCGGGTACGTCGTCTCAGTTCCATCACCTATGGTCTTGATGTCGCGAAGCTTCACTTCGTTGGTGATCTCGCCCAGAGCAACCCGATACATGATCTGGAGCCACATCATGATCTTCCGTTTCGTCTCTTCGGGGGCTTCTCCTGGAGCATCGGCCATGCTGTGTAGGAATTGCAAATCCCCGAAATGTGATCGCGCGATGAGATTCTTGTGCCCTAGCCATCCATCCTTCGTGCAGTCGGCATCAAAGATAGCGCCATCGGCGAACTGCACTGCCCAGTCTTTCCCGATGCCACGACTGTAGTTCTCATTGCTCGGATTGAACCACCCTTGGTTGTTGAACAGCAGATTTGAAGGATCATCGTTCCAAACAATCCCGCGCAGGAACTCCAAAATATCGGCTTGTTTTTCAAGAATCAGATTGAGGTATGTTGTCGCTGGATCGAGCTTGAACTCGGAGTGTATCAATGCTGCCAGCGTGATTGTCTCATGGACAGGAGGATGCCTGAACGGCCCCAGGCCGCCGCCAATGTACATTGTGCTCAAGACAAGTCTCGAGGCTGATCAACGTATGGTGACGAGCTCATAGCGAATGACGAAAGTTTTGTGAAATTGTTTCGGGAACGTCCGGCTAGGATATTGCTGGGCTGAAGTCGGGTAACAGATCCATGATAAGGAGATTTGGCTTCGACCCAGTGGCCCTAGATGGGTGAGTCAACGAGGGCTATATACTTCTCAATAGTTTGCAATCGCTTCACTGCCAATCAATATCGATTATCCTACCATGTGCGCCAAGGTTGCCAGCCGCGCTCTGAGTACGCTGCGTCTGTCCATCTACGCTGGCACAAAACACAGCGGACCTCAGTAGAGGAGGTGATAAAGCTTCTTGCAGAGTCTGGTGCTTGTCGAAACGCCTGTGCCAGACTGTAGACATGGCTTGTGACATGCGGCGTTCCGAGACTGCTCGCGCGTGTTTGACCATCGTGAATACAGGTAGGAGAAGCAACACCTGGCGCATGCGCACAAGTAGCGTGACCGTGACTCTGACACTGGCGCAGAGCACGCCCTCGCCAATACTCCTAGCTGTTGGCGCGAGCCCACATGATGATGCAGTGAGAACGTGTTGGTGTTGGTCGCGGTAGCGGCAGTCACGTTTTCGGCGAGCGGAGATCGGCGCTAGTGGGCCCGGTCCGCCGGCTTTGTCAGTTCTCCGCAAGCGCTCCTTCTTCACTGCGCCTCCATCCTCGCTTCTTCCACCTCCTCTCCACCGACCACCATTACCGACAACTTCTCTTCTTCATCAAAACCTCCGTCGCCATCATCCGACAGCCACCGCGCTGCGGCGACACACCAACTCGCACATCAGCGACCGCAAGACTGCAAGCACTGAGATCCACCGGACGCCGCGGCTGTCTGACGCATCAGGCGCTGATTCATCAGGGTAAGCTAGCGAGACATATTGGCGAGCGGCAGGCAGAGGAATATCAGAAAGACGTTGGGTTCGAGTTTGAGACAACACTGTCGACCACAGACAGCCTCCTTTTTGCTTTCGCATACTCGTGCGGTGCACTCGAGGTCGCACTGCGCCCCGGGTGTCATTCAGCCGTTTTTCAAAAGACAGCCAGCGCGCCTGGTGTACCTGTCGCAGGCAGTTGCTATTGAATACAAATCCACCTTCCACGGTCGTGCATTTCTGAGCTAGTCGGCAAAGCCTTCTGTTCACTTGTACACCACAATTCCCTCAGTTCTGCTGCATCGTGTAAATTGCGCCCGCGCAAGGAACTACTTTTCTCACACAAAACCGACAGCGCGAAATCTTCGCTTCTGGCCCTTTGGCTCTGGTCATCGCACCTCATCAAATCGCCACCATGTCTTCGTCCATCTTCTTCAAGTTCCGCAATCAGAAGGACCTCACGCCAATCGCTTTCGATGGCAGTAGTCTTTCTGTGTTCGAAGTGAAGCGCGAGATCATGAAGATTGCTCGACTCGGTGATGGCAAAGACTTTGACCTGGACATCTCGACTTCTGACACCAACGAGCGTGAGTCTCTATACCGCCATCCTATCTCACGTGACTTTTCACTGACTTTGTACACAGTTTATGATGATGATACGACCCAAATCCCGCGGTCGACCACAGTCATCGCGAGACGTATGCCCGCAGCTAAGAATGGTGCTGGCCGGGCAGCTCGATACGTGACTGGCTCCATGCCCCTTCACGCGAAGAACTCACATCGCACCGAGTCGAACTTGAGAGGTGGCGTTGGCAAGAATGCTTCTGCAGCGAATGGTGTCAAGGACATGAGCTCGATGACGGAGGAGGAGAAGTTGGCAGCTGTAATGAATGCTAGCAATACCCAGTTCCAAGCAGATCTTCAGTCATCTGCGAGTATACCAACGAAGCGCAATGCTTTCAAGCCAGCTGCTGTACCCGACAAGCCGCTGCCTCCGGGATATGTCTGCTATCGCTGTCGCAAGAAGGGACATTGGATCCAAGCATGTCCTACTAACAATGATCCCACCTTCGATGGCAAGAAGCCAAAGCGCACCACAGGTATTCCGCGTTCTATGCTTGAAAAGGTCGAGGAGCCCGACACCGACAAGGAGCTTCCTCAAGGTGTCTTCATGAATCAGGATGGTGATTACGTCCGCGTCAAGACCGACGACGCCACCTGGCAGAAGATTCAGGAACAGCAGAAGGCTGCTGCTGAGAAGGCCAAAGAAGCGGCGGCAGTTGATCAGGAATTGATCGACCGTGGTCTTCTTTGCACTCTGGACAACCGTCCGTTCACTGTACCCGTGAAGACGCCGTGCTGTGGCACCACATACTGCAATGATTGCATCGAGAACGCACTGGCCGACAACGACCTCATCTGCCCAAATTGTGGTGAACAGGCACTGCTTGACGACCTCAAACCAGACGAGGAAGCGCTCAACAAGCTTACAGAGTACGACGCTGAGAAGAAAGCTGGCAAGTTGCAGAAGGAGAAGGAAGCGTCCAAGAGTCCCAAGCCTGAGGATGCTGCAGCACCAGGATCACCAGATGCCAAATCGCCAGCGTCTGCGGCTTCAGCCTCAAAGAAGCGAAAGGCAGATGACGAGCTCGACAACACGCGTCGCCCAAGCAACCCAGCCAACACGACTACGAGCTCGTCCCAGCAAGGCACGCCTGCGACCGCTGCTCAGACGAATCCGACACAGCCACAGCCGCCAACGGCACCAAAGAACATGACCGAGTTCGTCAACCAAATGAACGCCATCTCCGGTACTATGGGAGGTGGCCAAAATGGTATGAACTCATTTGTCAACCCAATGATGAACCAAATGATGCCAATGAATGGCATGGGCTTTGGCATGGGAATACCTCCGATGATGAATCCGATGGCTATGATGAATGGCTTCAACCCTATGAACATGAATGGAATGCCATTCAATGCCATGAACGGCATGGGAGGCTTCAATAACGGCATGAACGGCGGCATGAATGGAGGCATGAACGGTGGCATGAATGGCATGAACAACGCTCAGCAGCCATGGATGAATGGACCTAACCGCAACGGAGGAGTACCCACGGGACCCGCTGCTGACAATGGCGGAGCCTACTTCCGCCAGCCTGTCAACCCGCATCGCCACAACAACCGCAATCGAAGACAGAGGAGCGTAGACTATAGAGAGATGTAAAGCGGTCAGCTTACACCTCGATCGACACGAAGGACGAGGACAGCGTGCGAGAGAACAGATGATATCTGTCCGCAGGAACGAACATCGTGTTACACTCGGACCTAGTCAGCACACAAACCCCCTTGCGGTCTGAACGCAGACGGAGACAAGGAAAGCCGGCGGCTTACCACAACCACTGGCCTGAACAAATCATAACGACAAGGATTGAATCGAAAAGGAGAGAAAAAAACATTTCTGATTGCGTTTTAGCGAAGGCGTTGGGGGACAACTCAGAAGCTCAGCAATGGCTAGGAGCTTTTTGCATGAATGATATGATGGGCACCACAAACGAATGGGTTAACAGCACGACTCTCTACTACGACAGCTCAAGGGCGGACTGCATGGTCGTGCACTTGGTGCGCGAAGAATGCAGGTCGCTACCTGCTAGAAGGCGGCTTAGCTAGCTGCTGAAGCAGGTAATTTCACATATATCCTGCTCAATGAACAAAATCACATAAATGCATTTCCCTCTTCATTTTCCTCGCCCGTGTGATCGTCTGCCGCCTTGTCTGCTACTGAATGCCGTCGGCGGGATGTGTTCAAGTTCAGCATGCTTTGTACGTGTCTCACGTGTGGTTTGCTGGAAACGTTCATGCTATCACAAACCGTTGGTCTGTATCGCTGTTCATGTCATGCTCTTGATATCGGGCGAATGCAATTTATCATCACAAGCCCAGTATAAGTACAAACGTACGCATCTCATGCGTACATCACCACGAGTGCCTGTCCTCCCTCCACGCCTCCGTCTAGTCCAAGTTCGCCGTAACGTTGGAGAACTCGCCCTTCTCCAACTTCGTCTTCCAGAAAATGGGGTTCGTGTCCATGAAACCGTGCTTCACCCAGCCCTCTTCCTTGACATGGTACAAATTGATGAAACCACCAGAGAAAGCATCTCTGTGCGTCGCAGCCAAAATACTTCTCTTGCCCAATTCCAACGCCTCCTCATCTTCGAGATCGTACTTGTACTCTGCGTCTAGCACACCGTAGGCGAATGTCTGACCGGATCCCACACAGAACAGGTTTCCTGCTAATCGTGTTCCGTCGCTGTCGATGTAGTAGAGCGCGGGACCTTCGCTGGGTGTTACGCCGGCGCACATGGTTCCCATGCTCAGACCCATGCCTTTGTAGCTGTAGACGAGGTTGGCGAGGATTTTCGATGCGGCGGCGACGGAGATGCGACGCTTGTGGCGGAGCTCGTGGAGTCGACATTGCATTCCGAGGTAGGCGAGCCAGTATTGACAGTCCTGTGTGCGGTTTGTGTTAGCAGCTAGCTTCTTGGTGTCTGTCACGTTGAGCTGGGTCTTACAGCAGCTCCTCCTGCCATGGTTCCCAACAGCACGGGGTTGATCTCGATGACCTTCTTCACGGTCTGACTGGCGATCCAGTTTCCTGCTGTTGCTCTCGAATCTGTGGCGACGATGATGCCGCCCTTGAAGCGGAAGGCAAGTGTCGTTGTTCCGTGGGCGATCTTAATGGGGCATTGTGGATTGGTGTGGTCGTCGGTCATGGCACGCAGCCAGGCGGCATTGTTTGCGACGGGCGGCAGGGCGAAGTTCAGCGATAGTTGCGGTTGAAGATCGAGTGCAAGCTGTTGCTGGTCTTCCTCGCTGTAACCCTCGTTCTGGAATGCCGGCCGGCTGTACTGAGCCACCAGCGCGTCCATGGTGGAGTGTGTGGGTGTGATGGGGCAGTAGAGCTGGTGATTTGTTTGCGGTGGTCAAGCTCCAGCTGTGGTGTCTGATGGAAGAGGCGGACGTTGATGTCAAGGTGTTCGCTGCGATTGTCCAGCGCTGGAGCTCTCAAGGCCGCAGGCGCGACGCATCACCGCGCTTGTGCACGGGCCATGCCATGTCTTGAGCACCAGCCAATAGCCACTTCTGGCGGCCAATCTTTCACTGCAAAACATGATGTTTCTGCTGTTGTCAATAATGCTGACTGCTTCAAAAGCGTCTACAGGGTGTTTGGTGGATGCAAGAAACGGCCAGCAACATGGCTGAAGACTGGCGCAAGACCATCTCCTTCAGCGATCGACTGCAGTGCACTACTGAAATGCAAGTGAGTATCCTTCCGACTGGGGCGGTAGACAGAGGCTGACTTGCTTTAGTACATCCGCATACAAGACAGCAAATCCAGGATGTCATCAGTCGGAGGCTTCAACCCAAGCTAAGGCGCGAGAGGAACTTGCTCGAAGAACAGCACGATCGCTGGTACGTTGTGCTGTTCCTTTGATCAAAACTGTACAAAGTTGACCTGCTCTAGGAGGAGTACCACCAATTGATTTCTCGTAGTGTACAAGAGTTGCTGGTCTCCGGCGCACCTACTCCAGCAGGAGATCTCCACCTCAACGAGCATCATTTTCCAAACCTGCCAGCAAGTGGTGCCACAATTGGAAGATACACGAACGCCGAGCACTTCAGCGATGGACTGTTCTCAGAAGTCTACCGCGCTCTGGATCCAGACCTGCCCTCAGAGAGTGGAAAATTGAGGATGGTGGCGCTCAAGGTCACCAATCCGTCGGCCATGCAACCACCGCACGACTCCATCCGTGAAGCTCGTATCCTGGAGAAGGCCACCAGCGAACACATCATTCTGCTCATCGAGACGTTTCGCCAGTCAGACGGTACCTTCGTTCTCGCCTTCCCGTACATGCCTTTCAGCTTGGACACACTGTTGCGCGAAAGGCGTCTCGATCCCCGGAGTTGCAAGACTATCATGCGAGATGTCTTCTCTGGCCTTGCTTACGTACATGGTATGGATATCATTCACCGCGATGTCAAGCCTTCCAACATTCTGTTGGCTACACCGAATGGCCCAGCGTATCTAGCAGACTTTGGAATAGCTTGGTCCGCCAACGACAGCGCATCAGAGCGCTCGTCCGAAAAGATTCTGGATGTCGGGACTACTTGCTACAGGCCGCCCGAGCTTCTGTTCGGTCACTCGGCTTATGGGACGAAGCTTGACATATGGGCCGCTGGATGTGTCGCAGCGCAAGTCTTTTGTTTGCAAGACAAAACTCTGTTTGATGCTGGAGATCTTGGGAGCGAACTTGCATTGATCAAGAGCATGTTCCAGGCTTTAGGCACGCCAGACCTCACTACATGGCCTGGAGCAGAAGAAATGCCAGATTGGGGCAAGATGAACTTCACCAAGTATCCAGCCAAGTCTTGGGATGAAATACTGCCAGGCGCGGATGCACAGGCCAGAGATCTCGTCAAGCAGCTGGTCCAGTTCGAGACCACATGGCGACCGACCGCTGATGAGGTGGGCTCAAAACACAATTAAGTCTCACCTTTGCATAGCTAACTGGTTGCAGACGCTACAGCATGCGGCACTGACCTGAACAAGCTGTATTCATGCACCTCTTTCACGTGGTTCCTGTGCCGCAAGTCATCACACCCCGATCAGCAGAAACGATGGACATCGCTCAGCGGCATATACCCTCCGCCTCCGGGCATCGTCGATCAATACTCTCTGCTACAGCTCCTGGTATTCTTCCGTACGCTGATCCACGCCACTTCTTCCTTCAAGGTCCCCAAAAGGCACCCTATACTGTCTTGGCACAGGCATCGCCTTGAACTCAAATTCGAAGCCAAGCTACAGTAAGCTATAAGAAGCGAATCTGCATGAAGCAGAGCTCGTACTTCATGTCGGTCTCCGAACGACAGATGCGACGATGTATCATCACATACAAGCAAGTAGCTTAGAATGAATATAATAACTGAACTGAGTTGCCATCCCATCGCTGCTTGCAAAGCAGCTACCCTTTCAGACTACTGACTCGCCCGACGAAAGATCACGGAACAAAATGCTCTTCACCACTCTCTTCCTGCTTACCCTTCCATGGCTCTCTCAGACCCTTCCCGTCGACGACCCCTCTTCGGTTGAGATCCGAGCAGCGGGAGGTTGTGGTGAAGGCATGCATGCTTGTGGTGGAGGCTGTATTCCTTATTTCGTCAAATGCGGACAGCAGTAAGTCGTTGTCTGCGTTTCGATTTCAGTCTACTTGGACTCAGAAAATCGTGCTCATGCGAGTTTTGGCAGTATCTCCGACGAGAAACGCTCTACCTACGCAGCTGAAGAGGAACTCGCCCCTAGAGATGCTGCGGGAGGATGTGGAGAGGGGATGCATGCTTGCAATGGAGGTTGTCTTCCGTATTTTGTTGGTTGCAAGTAAGTCTCTTTTCAATGCTCTTCGTCTCTGATATCAGCATATACACTACAATATCGGCCGTTCATCTTGTCAGTTCTGTTCAGTAAACTCTATCTGACAAGCGTGTCTACAGCTCCTCCGGGAAAAGAGACATCTCTGAAAGCGAGACTGAAGAACTTGCACCAAGGGCTACTGGAGGTGGCGGCGGTTGCGGAGAGGGGATGCATCCGTGCAATGGAGGATGTATTCCTTACTTTGTGGGTTGTGGTTGAGGGGAATCGTGAAAATCGCTGAGGGACTTGAGTGAGACTGTGCCAAACAAAATCATCGTGGAATCGACGTAAACCGATTAAAAAGAACCAGAACACATCATCTACTTCTCGAGCCAAAGATTAAGTCATCTATGCAGGACTGCCACCTTTGTCTGTCGTCGTCACAAATCAAAAGACACCTACGTCGCTAGAAGAAGCTGGATTCCTCCACAATCATCGTCTCATGAACGGCGCTCCGAAACGCCTCACCATTAGCCCGTACCCGTACAAAGCCCTGTTGAAAAGGCTGATCCGTCATCAATTACAATCTGATAAGTTGCTCAATCGTCTTCGTCCAGTTCTCCTCTCTGCCCATCTTACCAACCAAAGCGACAAGCTCATCAAGTGCTGTTTCGGCTTCACGCAAGCTCAAATGCTCGGCATCCCAGCTGAAGCTCAGTGCCACGCTGCGCTTGTCGTCAAGCAGGAAACCAGTAATCGTGAGACCGTTGTCCATGCGTGTCAACATCTGCTGAAACTGCAGTCCTTTTGGATTCTGCGCAGTGGGAGCAGTAGGCAGCCAGTTGAAACTTTGGCGGCGAATCAAAGGTAGTAATGATTCGGCGTCGCGTTCGCGCTCGGCGAATGTTCGAGTATCATCTTCGGAAAGATGGTCTCGTAGACGGTCCACAATGCGGAAGAAGGGAGTGTGGGCGTATGCGCTGTTTCGTTCCTCATCCTTGGTGACTTGTTGCATGAAGGACAAAACAGACTTGGAGCGTCCGACTGGGATACGGTCGAGGACGTACTCAGTGGTGCAACCGGAAACGTCAAGAGGATTCCCAGTGTATGCCTCTCGCTCAAGCGCGCTGTAGTCGGAGCTGAAAGGCCAGGTGCGGGCCGCGTTGATTGTGCCAAAGATGGCTTCTTTACCTTGTGTCTTCGCCACATTCATCACGGCGATCGCAGCCTTGACGAGCATGAACACGGGGACGTTGTGCTCTGCCTTCAGACGAGTAATGTCTTCGACCTTGACCATTCGGCGGACACCCTGTTGCGCTCGCACTTTGTCCGCTTGACTGACAGAACGCTCTCCTTTGCGCGCTTTTGTCCCGTTCCATCGAGTCCAGCCCAAGTCACTGCCCTTGAACCACTCGGGTGCACGCTGGGGAGGCCATAGAGATGATTCAGGAGTCGTTGAGATGCCTTGATGCTTCTCCGACCAGTACTTGATCCCACTGTCGGCCTCTGCGCCGTCGCGATGGTCGAAAAAAGCAGTTGCGTAGTCTTTGAACTGTGCATGGGGGACGATCTCGCCTTCGTTGGTAAGCAGAGTGACCACATCCTCCAACCAGAGCTTGGTCATGCTCATGTCATTGACAGCATGCGAGACGACCATCACTAGACCGGAAGTGCCATCGCTTCGTATCTTCGCAATGTGGAACTTGACTAGTGGACCTGGCGCACTGGCGTTGTCATGGACTGGATGATCCAGCAAGAGTTTGTTCAAATCATCCTTGGTATCGACTTCCCAGCCAGTAGTCATTGATGCTTTCAGCCACTCTTCGGTAGGTCGAACAGTGGCCAACAGCATGTCTTCTCCCAATGGAAAACCCATCGATCGCATAGTTGGATGGACTTCAAGAGAGGTCTTGATTGCGCGTTCCAGCGTGATCGCGTCAACCGGGGCAAAGTAGCTGAATCGCAAGTTCCATGAGCATGGCCGAGCCCGGTTGAGGAAAATGGCATCCCAATCAGGAAGTGGTATCACGTCTTCTACATCAGCCCACCTCATGCCATGAGGCGCAAGGACACATTCGGCTGCGTAGACGGTTCCCCAGAAGACATCCTCGTCTTCCCGGCAATGTGGCATATCGTGTATTGATGGCGGCCCCTCGCGCTTGGGCTGCACGGCCACGGCACTCTTCAGTGGCCGCGTGTCGATCAGATTGGCTTGATCCTGAATGGACTCACAGTTCTTGAAGTCTTCGACAGTGATATCCCGGCCGAGTTCCTTCTTGACAAGGCTGGACAGCTGCATCATCATCAATGAGTCCGCGAAAGCATCAATGAGCGTCGATGGCATCAACCCATCAGTGCCGCTGATCATTTTCCAGATGTTGATCAACTGGTCGACAGTCGAGCCAGACTTGTCGACGCCCTTTTCTGCCTCTGCCTTGAGATAATCGCGGACTACCTTGGCGAGTTCCACTTTTCTGATCTTGCCTGATGCCGTGGTCGGCCAAGCGCTCAAGCCAATATCACTCAAGCGCAGAACAAGCTTCGGCGCAAAAGCTGCACCGAGATCACGTTGCGTGTCATTCTTCAGCTCTGCCAAGTTGGCTTTCTCACCCTCGGGTTCGATGAGTACCGCAATGGGAACCTCGCCAGCCATGTCGTCGGGAGCGCCGACAACTTGGACTTGGAATACGCCTGGCTTTTTGCTGAGGTAGTCTTCGATGCTAGCTGGGGAAATGTTCTCGCCGCCGCGGATAATCATATCCTTGTACCGGCCAGTGATTCGAACAGCGCCATCTTCATCCATGATAGCTTGATCGCCAGTGATGATCCATCTGGTTCCTTCCTCATCCACATAGAAGTCCTTCTTTGAGACACGCGGGTCCATGTAGTGCGGAATGACCTGAGGGCCGCCGTTGTGTAACTCTCCGTATTGACCTCGAGGAAGAATGTCCCGAGTGCCTGGTTCACAGACCTTGACACAGGTCGCCCGCACAGGTCGTCCAGACATCACCTCGTTGTTTCGCAGCACTGAGCCTTCATCGACCGACCAGGCCATCGTTCCAGGAGATTCAGTCATACCATAGCTTGTACTTGACGGGACTTTAAGTGTCGACGCACAGGCCTCAATTAGGCTTGGCAGCACGCCAGCTCCACTGATATCGATGCTAACCAACGTACTGAGATCGGTCTGAGAGAAAGCAGGATGTGAGAGAATCGCCTGGGCAGTCGTTGGTACCAGACCCATGTGCGTTGCTTGGAATTGGTCGAAACACTCGAGTGTGGCTTGTGCTTCGAAAGAATCAGAGGGATAAATGACCATGGCTCCGCGAAGCCAGAACCCAAGAGACCAGCCAATGCCATACGAGTGGAATCCTGGAAGGTGTTGCACAAAACGATGGCCACTCTCAACCTTCTGAGCATCCATGTAGCCCAAGGCTGCATTGAGGCATTGGAAACTGGTCAATGCGCAAGGTTTCGGCAGAGAAGTCGTGCCGCTGGTGAAGAGAATGACGATCGTGTCATTTGCTCCGATGACATCTGGAGTGTGTGGGGGCGTCAGCTCTCCCGACATCACGTCTGAGAGCAAACGCCATTCTCGCTGAGTTGCGCCGACAGGATTGGACAAAGTGATGCGTGTGCCGATGGAGGACATCAACTTCTCGGTGAGATTGTGCTCAAGCTGATTCGCAATGATGAGGTCAGCAGTGACTATCACCACAGGCGCCACCAGCTCGAGCATGTGATTGATCTCATCCGTTCGTGTTGCCGTTTTCGGGTTGATAGGCACGAAGGGAGAATGCAGGTAGGCGCAAGCCCAATAGAATAGGGCCCATTCTGCTTGATTGTTGATGAGCGCCGCAATGGGTCTTCGTTCAATCGGGGTGATGCTGTTCAATGTTGTCGCCAATCGCCTGGCTCCGCGGTCAAGGTCGGCGAAGGTCCATTGAATGTAGTTCTTGTCGGTGTTCTGGCTGCCAACCCAGCGGAATGTGGTGGGCGTTTGATGCTTCGCGATCAGTGCCGTTGCATGAGGCCTTGCGCTAACTGTCTCTTGAAAGAGCTGCAAATGAGAGACGGATTGATCATCGACGCGCGGGCCATACTCGAGTGAAAGTGGTGTCCCGCCCATGGTTGCTCAAGCACACGAATTGCGTTTCACACCGCGACAGTAGCAGGCGATTTTGGGCTCGAAGTGCAGAAGGGAAAGGAGGACAGAATATGTACCTTGCGGGTTACTGCTCATGACCGCTGTCAGTCTCCGCCCACACGTGCGCCGCGGCCGTGCTGGGAGGAAGGGCCGTCATGATGCATATTAGCCTCGCCCGACTAGCGAAAGGGCTAAACATAGAGGTATCTCATAGATACGTACGCGACGCGGCCAGGAGGCGCTGTTCGAAAGAGAATCCTCAAAACTCGCCAAGGCGCTCGTTCCGGCAGCCATTCCATGTCCGTTGCACAAAGAGCCACAGGACATTCAAGGGCTGAATTCCGACGATCCAGCACGCGGACTAGCCGCTTCAGAGCTACGCTGCATCTCCTTCTGGAATGTCGCCAGGTTCTGTCTGCACCCTTCAAGCAATTTTTCAATCAGAAACTGCTGCAATGCGGCCGATAGGCCTGTCGTTTGGGTGTTCGTCTACTTGGTGGAGCAAACGAGACCCGCAATATGGCAGGCCCCTTAATAATAGTGCCGTCCATGCTGCTCGGAGCTGTTTGCTACGGATATCTGCGCCACCTCGGCGATTGCGTACAGTCGGACGCAGTGATGCTTGCGATTGCTTGTTCAGGCAGCTGCCTGGCAGAGGGTGTATTGAGATCTCGGAGAGATGCAAAGGCGCTGTCAGATGTCATGTGTGGTAACCGAGAAAAACAGAACACGAGGTTGAGAATGGCATGATAAGGTGATGGTCCGCACGTTCCGGCGGCGCGGACCGAAGCCAACCAACAGACTTCGATTTGTGATGTGTCCTGCACCTCGTCAGAACACCTCTGCTCTCGTCAATTCTCACGTCTGTCTTCAAAATCATCATGTATCTGCGACCGAACCCCTTGCACAGCTCGCGTACCTCCAAAATGCAACCCCAGAACGCAAGATACTTTGTGCAACGAGCGTACAGAGCGTGGAGGGTGCGACGAGGGCGACAGGGGCCTGGGTGTCTCCAATAGATTTCTTGCTGTTTGGCCCACCCTCATATTGACGCTATCGTTTATCATGTATCACATCTCGCGCTAGAAGACGAGTTGCCCACGATGTTGCTAAATGTGTCTTCCAGTGGTGGGCTCTCTGCACGCGCTCGTGTATTGCGCCTTGCAATCCCAGGCTCCGACAGGCTCTTCAAGAAAAGCTCGCACTTCGCAAACACGGCATGTTGCAGATCTTTCGCCATGTGGGCAGAAGTCCACAAGCGTGCCTTTCTCGTCCTGCTTGACCTGGCATGACGATCCTTTGGCCTCAACTTATTCCTCATCCCCGTCCGATAATTGCCCATCTCAAGTGCTGAAGTCGTTCGTCCAGCATATACTGGCCCATCACACCATTTCAAAGATCCTTCGCCTCCTCAGCGACTTCTCATCCTCGGTAGGCCCTGCAGTTGAACGGGTCTATCGGGTCGTATTTCAACCCGAGAGCTTGACGTTTGTGCAAAACTGGGCACGGTTGGTGCAGTCCACGTGTCGATCGCACCCACTGTTCGAATTCGTTAAGCCGCAGGCAGAATTTAGAAAGAAACGGGACCTTGCTTTGCGCAGGTGCACGCTTCCACTCCATCGGTGCTCGGGGCGTTTCGTCTGCGAACCGGCGGAGCTTTGCGCAAACAGCAACTCGTTTGTCTGATACCTCTGCTCACTGGAAGCATTGGCCTTGCTTCCGAGCTGTCAGGTAGAAAGACATTGTAGCAGAGAGTCCTCACATCATTGGACTTCTGCTTTACCATGGCACATGCACGCGATGACTCCTTTCATTCCCCTACGCGGGGGACGCCTTTCCATTCGCGAGGTCCGTCGACAGCATCTGATTGGAATGGAAATTTCGAACGACCGACTACCTCAGATACGAACAGACCTTACAATGTATCAGACTTTGCAGAGTCCAGGCGAGGGCTAATTCTGCCTGGCGTCAACGAGGGCTATCGACCTGCCGCGACGAGGCGGTATGACGACGAATGGCGACCCAGCCCGACGCAAGGCTCTTTCAGCAACTTGGTTTCTCCCACACGGCAAGCATTCCTACCAGATGGCACCACACCTCCGGCATCCCCAGGTTTTCACCCCGGATTCCCGCGGCCAGAGACACCGGGCTCGCCGTACGACCCTCCCTCACAAGGATCACTGGGCTCGCCACTCGCGGTGCCAGCCAATGTTGCTCACTCTCGGAATCAGAGCGATTTCAATGACAAAACGTCTTACGATGAGCGCTTCAGAGCAATTCCGCAAGACGAAGGTTCATTGCCACCTAAAGCAATGGCCAAACCACCTGGTCCTCCTGGCGGCCCACCTCCTGATGGCGGCACAACAGCATGGCTTCAAGTCCTGGGTGGCTATTTCCTCTTCTTCAACACGTGGGGTCTCATCAACGCCTTTGGTGTAAGCATGTGGTTCATCAGCCAAGTTATCAAGTCCCAACTGACACTCGGCACAGGTCTTCCAAACGTACTACAAAGGCACACTTCTCACATCAAACTCAAACTCCTCAATTTCATGGATCGGAACGCTGACTTCCTTTTTCCTCTGTGCGTCACCAATAAGCTGGGGACCAGTCTTTGACGTTGGCAATCCTCGAGTATTGGTTCTGTTTGGCTCATGCTCTGTCGTCTTCGGCATCATGATGACCTCGCTGTGTACAGAGTACTGGCAGCTCATTCTCGCCCAAGGTATTTGCTGCGGTATAGGCGGAGGCTGTCTATTTATCACAGCAACCTCGATCCTGCCCAGCTACTTCTCATCCAAAAGAGCGCTCGTCATGGGCATCTCCGCGTCTGGCTCATCACTGGGAGGAGTGGTCTACCCAATCATTTTCACCTACGTTCAACCTACTAGCCTAGGATTTGGATGGGCAGTACGAATCATCGGCTTCATCGCAATCATAACTCTAGCGATTCCCTGCATCGTCATCAAACCCCGCGTACGACCTCCTGGACGCCGCAAAATCTTCGATGCCTCAATCCTCAAAGAAGTGCCCTTCCAAATCATGAACCTAGCAACTTTCTTCGGCTTCGTAGGACAATACATCCCCTACTTCTTCATCGAACAATTCGCCGCAACGCACGATCTCGGACTGGAGTTCTGGATGCTCATCTTCCTCAACATCGGTTCCATCCCCGGCCGGATCGTCCCATCTTACATTGGAGACAAATATTTCCATCCATTGAAGGTCCTAGCCACGACGACAGCTTCAGCTACAATTCTCGCTTTCTGCTGGATAGCGATCAAAGATAGCACAGCGGGCTTGATCGTCTGGTGTTTCTTGTATGGCTTCTTTTCTGGTGCTTTTGTGTCGCTTCAGGGCGCGGCTGTGGCTAGTATGACCAAAGACCTTCGCACGATAGGGACTCGATTCGGGATCAATATGTTCGCGGGAGCATTGGGAATCCTCATAGGAAGTCCTGTTGGCGGAGCAATCTTTCCAAGCTCGTGGCCAGGCGCACAGAGTTTCTGTGGTGCGACGCTGGCCTGTGCGACAGCTTGTATCGTTGCATGCTGGTTTGCGTGGCAGGCGCAGCTGAAGAGTGAAGCTGCGACGGGTGAAAAGCTTGAGATGCGGTAATGTATCTCGAAAGAGATAATGTTTCTGTTTTAATGTTTGAGTTGTTGGTGTTCCTGAGCTTCCATCAGGAGGTGGTGTCAGCTCTGCAATCGGCAGGATCATCAAGCTTTTCTGGTTCCTGAATATCATATTTTCGGTTCAGCTGTGCAGAGAGCGTTTCGGAGGACATGTTTGGGACGGTTATGAATAATTTGGAAAGAACGACAAACGGCTCGTATCCGAAAGTGGAAGGCGCAGTGCGAGAGACAGCCCCACTACTCTGCATTTGATACAGTACTTGTAGTATACGCGTGCGGCTCTGGCATTCAATGCCGATGCCTAATATTAGAAAACTGCAAAAACACGATGACAGGGATATCTTTATAACTCTGCTGCTCCTCAAATTCCGCGAGTATGATCATCGCAGTGGAATGACTAGCGCAGCCTTTGACTGCTGTAAGAGCAGCCTACAGTTGAAGCAAGATCATGGCAGCTGGAGTTCGGCTAGACAGGCTAGTAATAAGCAGGTACGGAAGCTTTCATCCTGGGTGGCAGCGACTGTTTTCTTTTCGTTGACTACTACATAAGACTATCCCGCATGGACCCGCAAACGAAAATCAACAAAATCAACAACAGGTATGTAGTGCCTTCCGACCCAATCTGGCGTTGCCTTTCGACACGATCCTTCATGAACTACTTTTCCCTTGCACTATTTTTTAGTAAGTATATACCAAATGATAACAGTAGTCTGATAATATAATCTCTCGAAGCGCAATTGCGGGGGTTTATTGTGATGGGCCGTGCGAATCGGCGTGTGGTGGAGGGCGTAGCGATTGGTTTTAGAGTAGTATAGAGTATCACCAAAGCCCGGATAGAAGGTCCACTTGACTTCGGGCCCAGTTCGCCGATTGTGATCTGGGACCGTCTCCGCGATACTATAGAGGAATTCAGTTTCCGCAGGTGTAAACGCGATTTCTCCGACCCAGTGTGTAACTCCGCCTGCCACATAAGACTCGGAAGTCCCTTGTACAACGTCGCACGACGCGAAGGTGCCAGGTCTAATACCAAAGAAATTGAACGCATTGAATTCGTGACATTCGGTTCGTCGAGGGCAAACAGTGTTCCTTTGGACATGGTAAACTCCCGTTCGTCCTCCCTCAGTCCATCTAGGTGGCCCATATTCGTTTGGAAGTCTGCAGAAGTATTTGATCCTGTTACCACGCAGGCAAGTAGCGCTCGCGGCGCGGTAGAATGAGATGTAGCCTGAAGTATTTACGATGTGAGGACTGTGATCCGGCTGCGGCACTTGTCGAGCGCACATATCATGTAGAAAGAGGATACGATTGTTCGTTTCCTCGTCGTTGCGATCTTCGCGCCGGAAAGGAGGGGCAGGGTATGGCAAATCATCTCGTCGATGAATTGCAGAGCTTGTGTTCTTGTCGGGATCGACCTCGGATTGGACCATAGGTATTTCTGGTTCCGTGGTAATCCTTATAGCCTGGACCTGCGACCGGATGTCGTCCGTTGATACCTGGTGTATTTCGGCAATGGATTGGACCCATTGTTGCATCTTCTCGGACTCTAGTCCTTGTTGGAGCTCCTCGTTACTAAGGGCTTGTTGTTCGCCGTGCGTGTGATAGACCAGAATCAGAAACGCCCATACTGATCGCATACTGTGCTTGAATCTCGTAGTGTTTTCAATTGTCAGAAGTACTTGCTGTTACTTGCTGCTTCATATTCTTGAAAGACCGTAGGACGTAGTAGGCTATCTTATACAAAGGCGTTCAGCGGCACTTGGCGAGTTCCAGAGACCGATAGCATAGCAGAAAGTCTAACGGTGCAGTGAGAACGGCTTCGTATTGGTGGTGGTGGTGGTGTTGGTGTTGGTCATGGTCACAAAAGAGGCAAATGCTCAGAAGTCGATATATTTCCTGCGATCCGTTTCCCGGATGCATAGGACAAAGTGTAGTCGTCGATGTAATCATCGCTTTCCGATGAAGCTCGGACCCTTCCCTAGCGCTCTCTCGTGCACGACAAAATGGGGCGTACAGGACAGGATATGAAGTCAAAGAAACTTCGAAAAGCCCAATGCCCAGGTTCCGCGCTGTACAACGCCATGATCCGGCAGTTGACACTTCTCATGCGGGGTCGAGTTCGTCAGGAAACAAAAGGCCCGGTCTGGGAAATACAAGAAGGACATTGTCGCGTGCTTGTGTGCTCATTACGAGGCCAATCCTTGCTGGTCGCTCGACTCCGCCACCCTATCGACCATTTAGGCGAGTCATGTGGGGAAAAAGTTGTGTAGGTGATTGGTGATCCAACAATTGCTCAGCTCTGTCTCGCGTTGCTTGAACACGGGAAAGGATGGCTCGACGACTGACTTCCAACAGGCGTGGCAGCTGTCCCGCCTACGGCTGATCTGACGAAGGAGAGTGACTAATTCCAGCTAGGGAGAGTGACTTGGATCAATGCTGGATCAATGCTGTGTCAAAGTACATCGAGGTGTACTGCCGCCTCTCCCGATACTCGCCTTCGGCTTGGTCTCGTTCGTTGCCTAATAGAAATAATGCTATCCTTTTTAGGGGCCTATGCCTTACGCGCTCGGCTATCGTACGTCGTGCTCGCCTCGCTTGTCCAAAGTACATTCGGGAGTATCGTCAAAGTGCCGTCAAATTGCCTTCGAAGTTGACTCTCCGCAGCTTAGATTAGTCATCCTCCTGACCCAGGTCGGCCTGCGGCCGGTATGGCACGCATAATGTAGACGCAGGCGACCGAATTATTTGAACCTACTAGGCGAACTGCGGATGGAGCTCGTGTTGGTCTTGATCTTCGCCGTTGCTTGAGCCGTACGCCACACCTATGTGCTCCGAAAACTTCTGGATCCAGGCATTCGACCATGTGAAACTCGGAGCGAGTCTTGAGCACTGGCATATCGTGAGCTGCTGGAAAAATGGCCAACCCTCTCGCGAGGTTCCTGTTGTACTGACACATCCTCAGAGCTAGCTGAGGTGTCTCTACTCCCATGCCCCGTTTAGGACAGGAGGGAATCCTACTCGAATGACTTTCGCGGCATCTGACGCACTGTTGCACATTTCCGCAGAAAAGGAAAACATACCTGCGCTCTGCATCGTGAGTGCATGATTCTCATCGAGAGTCATCCAGTGACGATCGAACACATGACCCTAGCTGCAGCGCGGCTGCCCATTGTCCTCTCTGTGCGTGATGTATTCCATCCCTCATGCCCAGTCGCTTCCCCATGCTAACAAAAACGCCGTCACTGTGTCCTGTCCATGATCCCGTCAATCTGTGCACATTATGCTCGAATCGATCGATGACTGCAACCTAGATGTCGGAATAATCTCCTCGCCTGTGGTGCAGAGCGTAAGCGAATGATCGTTGGTCGGGAATTCCTCTCCTTCGCAGCCACTGCGATCATCTGCGGAGATGCTGCATCAGTGCCTGCTGCAGTGTGGTGATTCTGACAGTCTCATGGCGCAGCCTCCTTCCAGGCTTGACAACGGGGATGATCTTCTGCTCAAAGGTCTCGGGTTCGGCTAGGAGTAAACTGACCTGTAGCCTTGACTGCCTCGTCTGGTCTTCCGCCTGGGAGGCGGCACACCGATGCTCGAATGCTCTTCGATAACCTCCACGATATCGTCGCCTTCGACTCTTCGCTCTGGCATGAGGCCCTCGTCCACAATGACAGTCTCTCTCATGCGACTCGGCTCTCGGGGAGGCGGGATGTCGCGCACTATCCGCTCCTGTCGGATCACTCGTTCCCTCCTCGGCGATCTGCTGGTCATCTCGGTGCGCCGACTTCGTCTCGTTCCTCTGCTTCGACTCCTCCGTCGGACCACCACATCTTCTTCGTTTAGTGTCGTTGCGCGAATGAAGCCGGAGCCACTGCTGGCCACCCATAGCAGCCAGATTAAGAGGAGAAAGCCGGCCACGCTGCCGAGGACAATGCCGGCGACGGCACCGGGCGCTGGGCCGGAGTTGAGGCCCTCATATTGGGCGGGTATGGCAATCACAACGCCATTGGCGTTTTGTCGGGTCCGCAGCGAGCGTTTGACGTGGTCCACGGCCTGGATGACGGTGCGCGCGTAGGTGTACGCGGCGTCGCGTATCTGTGGAGGAAAGCGAGCGTCGGTGGTGGACAGTGGGATGACGGGCATGATTGCGCTGGGACGAGGTCGAGTCCCGAAGGCCCGGCGCTCTGTTGGCGTGTACAGTCGCTCCTCTTGTACGGTGCGTGGAGTTGGGCAGTGCGGGTTGGGCGGGCAGCGGAGAGATGCGGCGCGGCGGAGTGGAGTGGAGTCGGGGTGTGGTGTTTGCGACAGTGAGTGATGGTTTACAACTAACAATGCATTGCTCCGCACGTCGAATATGGTAGGCTACACAACGAGCGACAGAAGAGCGCTCCAGAAGCAGAGACAGAGACGGCGTGTGGAGGGTGTGATGTGCGAGGTGAGCTGAGGCGTCGATCGCTCCCGCCATTCGGATTTTGCAACCGCCAGCCACTTCCGTTGCATCAAAACAAGGCTATCGTAACGTCGCCGTCACCACCCATCCCGGCATCAATAATAACAACAACTGCTCGCTACCGTCGCGACCTTGGCCGTTGCGCTGTTCGGCGTCGGCGACATGCCGTTGCCGCTGCCACCACCGCTCCTCGCACTGCCCGCTGAACTACGCATCGCGGTGTACGACATGGTCGTCGCCGATGATCTCCGCCACTTCGCCCACTCCTTCTCTCTGCCCGCCCTCCTTCGAACGTGCCGGCAAGTCCGGAACGAGTATGTCGATGTCTTCTGCAGCGACGCGCATCTCACCATCAACGCCTACTACAGTGAGACAGGCATGTGGTCCGCCGTCACTGGTGCAACGGCAAAGCTGGCTGTCATCGTCCGCTGCTCTGCCACCCATCTCGTCCGCTACAGCTCGTTAGCAAGTGCTCAGAGAGACTGCGAGCGAGTATGCTACAGCAAACCCGAGAGGCAGCGCGGAATACTTACAATTCTGGTTGAGGACGATGTCCTGCACTCGACCTCAGCCACTCGATGGTGGCAGTGGTCCATCGGCCGTTGACAGCGCAAGTGGTACGCTCCCAGCGAGACACGTCTGCTCGAGTTCCCATTCAAGTCAGGTCCGGTTTATCCCTTTGCCCCATTGCATGCCGCGCCATCAGCGAGATACTTGCTTGCCAAGTCGCCTACTGTTCCCGGGCCTGCTCAGCCCGACTCCGTCGTGGCGTCTCATCCTAGAGCGCTTCGGTAGCATGAGTTGCTCTTGATGCCGTTGCAGCACTCTCGTGTTCCAGACTTGATGACAAGGATTGTGCCTTCTTTGCGGGACTTGCTTCGACTCCCGCTGGAGATTGTGCTGACGCTCTGGTTTGAGTATTGCACTTCGCAGCAATCGCTGAAGTGGCAACAATCCGACATGGCGATGGTCGAATTCTTCTGGCTTTTGAGAGAAACAGCAGGCAGGATACCTAGTCCGGCCACCTGGACTGGATCATCCGTGTCCTCGCCCTTGGATGCCCAAGTCACCGCTGCGTCGAGCATATCCATTGAAACCATTCGATCACTTGTTGGAGCAGTTGTGGACAAAGTGAAGTCGTGTGTGATTGCTATGCAATCCATAGCATGAGCGTGTCGAAGGTGGACCTAGATCATTCTAATAACAAGAGCGCGACAGCTTCGTACTCTGGCGTAATTTCGCACAGGTACCCAGCATGGTCAAGGTAAACCGACCACCGTGGAGGAGCGTGAACCCCGGGTATAGAGCAACCTGTGACGATTTGATCCCCTGCAAAGGCCTGCTTGTTCCGAGAGCACTCGTGGACCTGGCCAGCACTTGCATTTTCGAAACCTTCCAAATCTCCTGCTGCTGGTATCTCATACCCTCGCACACGACGATCCCGCGGCTCGCAGGCCCCCGTTCCCGATCGAGCGAATGTGGTGTGCAAGATATCACGTGCAGAGGACCTGAAGTCCGCAACCAGCCGAGTACCGGACAGGTGTGTCGCTTCCCGCTACCAGAAAGATATCAAGGCTATCCAATGTTGGAGACCATGCGGAACGCTCATCCGATCACGATGCAAAAGCACCTCAATTGTTGATATCCGGGTTCTGGTAATCGCGAGCTGGATATAAGTAGGCTCGGACGAAAGCTTCCTCTTTGGGACGGATGGTGCGAACGTGGGAGCACAAGACCTGCGGCTCCGAAGCGGCTCATCCCCAGCTTTTATCCGGAGATATGCGATGCGGATAGTAGACCTGGTCACTTGGCTTCTCGGTAACCGGTGGTGTATGCTATTGATCCACGTTCGAGGTCAACGCGCCGAGTAACAATGCCAATGCAATGGACATGGGGAATCGTTTTAGGGGCGCTCCAATACGCCCAGATGCTACACAAGAGTCGATCACGACGTTCATGGTACAGGCGCAAAGCCCACAAATTCCTATTGAAGGCCATGGGAGTTGTCAATTGATGCACAAATAGCCGGCTACGTTTGCTGCATGTGGGATTCGTTCAGTACGGGTGTGGTCTCTACACCGCGTGCCAATACCACCGACCTGGGCCCCGAAGTAGCACGCAACATCACCCACGAGATCTGTCTCACGACGACGAATCCGAGCCATTCGGTACCCGACAGTAGCAAGGTTGCAGACTCAAGCTTCTTCTGCTGCATCACTTTCCCCCTTCTGGAAGCTGATGCTGTACCAGGGCCAAGTCGTTTGCGCAGGCGTTTGGAAAGACTTCGCGAAGGGAGCATCCATGGCAGGCATATAGGCTCGCACTCTAATGACGCGTGCCAATACTGTCAACCAAACCAACCAGATTGTCCCGGCCCGGTGCTGTGCAAGCTCAATCTCGGTCTTGGTCATTTGCAGGCTGTCATGCGGACTGGTCTAGTCCTCCAGTCCCCCAGAGACACATCTCATTCTCACCGCCTGTGATGAGGGCCTCAGACACTGTGCAGAGCTCAACCTCGACGTTTTCACAATGCTGTACTTTACAGAGCTGCCTGGCAAGTGAAGAGCGTCCAGCTTCGCTCGAAACAGCAGTTCCGGAGTGTCAACTCCGAATTTTACGGCACTCGTTCCGATGTGTATGGAAGCGACATCTTCATAGGGCTGAACGTGCGACAGACATCTGGCATTGACCACGGCAAGCCGAGACATGGGCTTTGAACTCTAATTCAAAGTCCCACCAACATCGTAGGGCACATGCCGCGGGCACTCGAATGTCAGCATGACAACTTTGCAGCAACACTGCCCGATATCACGATAAAGGATCAGCATCGCTCGCGCGGGACAGTATCCAAGTAGCCGGCCTTGTCTTGACCTGTCGATTGTCATTCTCAAGCTCTTGTGACGACTCGAACGGATGAGGCTTGACAACTTGCACACGACGCAGAGTCCGTCGATCTGATTTTGAGTTCTGACCATGTTGAGAAGCGTGGTTCATGAGCAGGGAGTCAAGGACAGCGCTGGTTCCTCCACCTCAGGGTCCCCCATGACTGTCAAACGATCCATGTCAGCACGCCGTGAAAAGTCAAAAACCGACAAGCCTCACTAGGATCTAATGTCCCTGGAGCCTGCTCAATGCACGCAATGCCAGACCCTCGTGGGTATTCCTTCACCCTGGGATTCTGACCATGCTGCTCGCTTCACCTTGTCCTCATGCCCCAGCATGGCTGACCAGGCCTCCTGGCTACGTCTCAGAGTCGCACAGAAAGCGTCCAGCGTCGAGTGCAGACTCGGGCACTTCTGAGTTACCCCCGGTCCTCAATTCGCGCCCTCATAGATCTGTGGATCTCGAATGCCAAAACCCTCCCTACCAAGGGATCGACCTTCCAGGGATAAGCGACCATGATCTCGCAAATGCGACGCTAGTTTACGAGGCGATCTCTTGAGTGTACGGAATTGGAAAATTGGAATTTGTCGAATTTCTGAATGTCGAACCTCTGACTGTCGAATCTCTTCATAATATGTCCATTGATATGGCTCTGGTAGAAGCGGTCACCTACAAAGGAAATCGGGGCGCAATTGGATTCTGTCGGACGATCCGATGCTTGAGATATTACAGGTCCGACTCTTGAACATGGCCCCGCTAAAGTACCATCAGGTACACGAGAAGCGCGGATAGCGGTGTGGTATCCTACAGATCTCACAACACCTGCACTGGCGTTGCTGTTCCCAGCAAAACGGAAGTAGTCCACCAAACAGTTGATCGGTCTCTTGCCCTCCCTCTTGTTTCGGAGCCGAAATCTTGTGCATGTTCCCAGGATGAATCTGTATGTTCTTGTCAACATGGATTTTATGGGCACCCTGCTCAGAAACGCGGTTGGTCTGGTGTTTGCCCAGAACGTAATGACATAAACAAAACATCCTGGAGCTTGTCGTTGTCCAAGTGACAGGTCTCGGCAGACGTTTGCAGTACCGGGGAGTGCTGACTACGATCTCCACGGAGAGACGTCATGACAAGACTTCAGGAGAGTCTCTGATACTAATGAAAGAAGTAGTAAAACGCTTTTCACGAGCTGCACAACGCTCTTCCCTCCGAGTATGATGACATGTCGCCACTTCGACGAGGTAAAAATGCCGCAGCAGCGTCATCAGTGACATTGAAATAGATCCGCGCAGAGGCGACTCGCCTATGATTACTGAGGACGGTCGTTTAGACCAGAAAATGACGTTTGGTGCGGAAAAGGGCTGGTATAGCGAGCGCTACCACTGCCGCACGCTCTCGTCATCAAATTCTTCACTGTGCAGGGGAGTAGCGGCAAAGGTCACGAAAAGGCAAGTGATCTTCAGTATCCGCTCAGTGATGAAGTCTTGCAGGTATAGTGAGACTTGCTCGCTGCGGGTTTGCACAGGTGTAGGCTAAACCGGACTTCTGAAGCTGACGACGCAGGTGTTGCACTTTGTGATGAGAACAACAACGAAACAACACATGGTTCCAGCATCTACTCCCAAGAGTACAATTCAAGACAAAACTGCGTACAACTTCTGCGGCAATGACGAGTCTCACATACTGTACCTTTTCCGCCAGTGGCTGAACGAGCTTCATGCTTGAGGAAGAACGCTGTCAGCAACACAAAACAAGACCTTCCACCTCAAAAAGCCAAAACTCAACAGACGATAGGAGTTCGCTCCGCACGTAATCGAACGAGAAGACATTCATGCTTTTGCTATCCTGCAAACACAATTCTCTCCGCGCCCGCATCTCCCACGGCTCCCACTTCTTCCACCTCTTACGCACGACTAGTGCACACGCCTCATTAGGCCAAACACATGACTTCATCAAGTGGCAACACACGATCCTCGATCCTCGCAAGAACAGCGGCCGGGCACAAGCAACATCCCGTGAAGAAAGAGCCGTAGTACAGCAATAATTGCCGTGAAGAAAAATCCACCGGCATGGAGTCCGTTGTCGGGCCATTTGTGATGAAGAATGAACAGCACACCACGCAAAGAACTCAGAAAAGTCCACAAATACAAATCTCCTTTTTCCCCCTTTCGTCCGAATATTGTATTGACGACGAGAACTTCGGCTTCTTGTCCCATTCTGAACCGGAGTAGCCCTCAGTCACATGTAGCGTCTGGGAACAAGCTTTTCGATAGAAGGGAGTTGGATCCGAGACAGAGAGAGAGTGAGAGAAAGATTAGGCGAATTTGCCGTTTGTGGTATGGAGTACGTATTGTAGTTAGGTACAGAGGTACAACAACAACATCCACAAGGAAAGACAGGGGTTGCGCAACGCGTCGTATCGCGATGTTTTGCAACTGGCTGGGAACAAGACCAAATTTCCCGTGGGATGATTAGATGTCTTGCTTGAGTCGCGCGATCTTTGGGAAGGGATAAGAATGATTCGTGTTGGATCTTGCGATTCTCGCGATTACTGAACATTGCGGCTTCGAAGTCATGAAAGTCATGTGTTCAATTATCCTTGACAACAACAAGCTTGGACAATGACCAAGGAAATAATTCGAGAGATAACATCAAAATCACAGAAGTCAAGAATGCCAATCTAAAATGTGTCGTTCTCGTATGCATGTCTGCCTAGAAAAAGAAAGGAAAAAATCCGTCCGTGTCCGTGACTCCATGCGCTCAACGGAAAGTGAAAATCTACATCTTTGCCCGCCCGCGCGCCCATTCCAATAACTCATTTGCACCGATTTCATGCCTGTGGTCGTAAAGGTATTCCGTAAAAACTCCGCATTGCTGCAATCCTGTGCAGCAGCCTATTCTATCGAGTAGGCCTCCGAGTGGACCTTCGAATATGCCATCCTGCTGCCCAGCCATATCTCGACTTTCTGGAGGGTCCTCGCTCGATTCTACGAGACAGTCGTCATGCTATATATCAACTGAGAATTCCCAGTTTCCTGAAAACTAGTCAGCAAAGGCACGGAGAAAAGGTTGAAAGGGCAATAGGTTACTCACCATCCTTCAAGTTCTTGGCAGTGTCGTCCAGCAGCACAATACGACGTTGGTTGCAATAACTCGTCTTGTCCATCATATCCACCTTCAGCTCCGAAAGCTGCTCCGTGGGCTTCTCGAACATCTCCGAAAGATTCTCGACAGCCATTTCCAAATCCTTTTGATTGTCCTCGAAAATCTCCGTTTGGTTGTTACGCTTGAGATAGTACGCGAAAGCATATGTCCACTTCAGGGTCTGTCGGCACATCTGAAGAGCGTGCGAAGCGTTCTCGAGAAATTGGACCTCGATCCATGACAAGCCGGATTGGTTCTGCAGAAGTTGCATCTTCTTCTCGGTCTTCTCGAAGATATTCTTGTCCAGCTTGGCAGACTGCTCGTGGTTGGCGTATCGATTGTAGTAGTGGAGATAGCGCTCGAGCGATTGTCGACTCTTGGCTTGAGCATCACGAGCGTCTAATCCAGACTTCTCTTCGTATCGATTGCAGTTGTACCAACTCGTGCCATGCTCGGACCAAACACCCATGCACATCCAGCAAAACTCATTCCGGCATTTGCGACAAGTCATGTGGTTGCAACCTCCATTCTTTTCGATCGTCGACTGGCACTTCGGACACTCCTTCGTGTTTGCGTTGATCCAGTTCGCGGTCTCGCTGTCGTCTTCGCATTTCTTGAGCCACAGTTTCACCAGCTTGCAAGGGCATGGTTGGTGATCCGCCAATGTGCAGCCGAAGCAAAAGCTGTGCTTGCGATCACAGATGACAGTCGGCACAATTCGATGCAAGTCTCGCTTCTTCACCCCGCACTCAATGGCGTAGATGCACTCGGGCGCAGGGCACCACTTCAGATTCTCTTTGTCATCCACATACGTTCGCATCAGCAGTTCATGGTACCGGTCTTTGAGCTCGGTTGGCACTAGTACTTCCAGCGATTTGGAATCCACAATCTTATTGCATCCATCGCCAGGGCACTTGATCCGCGCGGCCTCACCCTCATCTCTGATCTTTTGAACCAAGTAATGTCGATAGCAGTCGACGCAGTACCGATGTGCGCACTTCATGGCGAAGCTCTGCAGGCCTGGCTCGTCCTCGCAGCAGATGTCGCAAGCGAAACCATCTATCGTTTCGATCCGAGGTGGGTCTCTTTGTAGATCTTGACCAAGGCCTGCCTTCTCCAATGTCCCCTCCTGATCATCCATGTACTGCTCAATGACTCGCTCCTTGTTCCATCTGGCATATCGAAGTAGTATTGCTGTCGATTCGTGGGGCTGTTCGAGTAACGTGGCGACCTCGTTGATCTGTTGGTCCTGCTGTGCCTGGATGTCTGTGGGGCTGTAGGCCTTGAAGTCGACCTCGAACGCCTTCTTTTGCGGCTTCATAAGCTTGTCCTGCGATTGAAACATGGCTCCCTCGTCGTCGTCGTTGAAGTCGTCCATATCGCCGTCGGAGTCTATAAGTTTCAAAATGAGCATGTTTCCTTGACAAAACGTAGTTGCACCCTCTTCGCAGAGCAGGCTTCATGTGTTTGGCAAACAGCTTACCATCTGCACCGAAATCGACGCTGCTATCCTCATCGTCCATCATGCCGATATCCCCGCTGCTAGCCAAGCTCTGCACCTCATCGTCGCTATCCATGATGTCCTTGTCGCTCGCTAGCGTCTGCGGTGTAGCAGGCAGCGCCGCGTCCACGACAGGAACCTTGCAGTGTGCGGTCTTGGTAGCCTTTCGAGCCGCTGTTTCGAGGATAGGAGCGTTGCTAGCAATATTCTCTCGCTTTCTCTTGACGGAAGGCGTGGTGGGCCACCGAGTCGCAGCCGTCTCGCTTGGACGAGACAGCAGCGAAGTATTGAGGCCTGAGGAGTCCGAGGTGCTGACTGCTGCGGGTAAGTGGCGTTTATCTCCGTTCGCAGTCCGAATGCTCGAGTGAGGCTGAGTGGATGCTCGAGCGTGGAGGACAGAGGCGAGACCTCAAAGACGCATGCCTGTGCCTAGGCGGCGAGGGTGAAGGAGCGGTGCGAAGTGAAGGTGACGGCGGAAACGGGTTTGTCAGGTGCAAGTAGAAGGAATGACGCTGCTGGCAGCAGGCACGAGAGGCTCCTGCCGGAAGCGGGAGCGGCAAAGCACGTGCCTTCTAGAAGGCTACCAACACAAAGGATTGTCTGAGACCAGGTCCAAGAATCTCCGGAATCATCGATGTCATGAGCAGCGATCGTGCTGGTCGTCCTATCTATCTGGAAAGCGATACAAAGTTGTGTGCAAACGCAGGCGTCGAACGGAACTTCGCAGCGGAACTCGAAACACGAAGCGATAGTAGTCAATTGAGGGGTGGCGTGGAGGATCACCCGCTTATGGTCATTCGTACATATTGTCTGGTAACGTCTAGTCCTCATCACTGTCCTCCTCCTCGCTATCTTCGTCGTCGCTAGCACACAAAACCTCCACCAATTTCTCCGTGTCTTTGCGAACAGCCACCAATTCAGCTGAAGCTGAGCTCCTTGCATCATTCCACCACTTTTCAAACCCTTCTGGCTCAATGATATCCTGATGGGCCAAAGCATTGGACAGGAATAGCAAAATCTTGTCGCCTTGACCACGGTGTACCAGATCCGTTTGAAGGTAGAGCAACCAGGATGCTTGCTCCTCTTCCGAAGCAACGTAGGCAGTGATGATCTCCTTGTATGCAGGAATGAGCTCGTCGACTGCCTCCTTTGGCGACCTTCCACTGTCCACAATCTGTGCTGCGCGTTTCGAGAAGGCAGTCGCTGTGACCCGCACAATCTGTTGATCCTCTGCATTGACTCCAAGAATGAGCGCCTTGAACTCGGTCTTGATGTCGTCAGGTGTGTTGCCCTTCGCCATATCATCGACCATCGAGTTCACTGCTTCTTGGTGGAAGTCCTTCGCCTTCTGCCTCGACTCGCCGTCTTCTTCGGAGCCGGCTGATGCGAAGCTATCACTTCGGCCCGTGTCTCGCCTAGTGTGGTGCACTTCCATGTCCTCATCGTCGTCTTCTTCAGAGTCGAGGTTGCTGATCGCATCATCTTCGACTATGAGGTCGACGTCTTGTAGGCCGGAAAGTAGGCTGTCCAAAGCTTCCTCTTCATCATCGTCCAGTTCCAAATGGAAGCCTTCGCCTTCGGGACCAACCACTTTGGGGTCAGCAGCCACCTCCACGATCTCATCGTGCTCGTACCCTCGCTTTCGCTTCAGTCGAGATATTCGCTGTTTCCCGCTTACTGTCACTCCATCGGACACCTTGACACCATACGAGATCAGTGCGCCGTTCTCGATTGTACAGCCGTTGCCGATAACTGCGTCGTTAGCAATAACAGCATTGCCTATCACCGCATCGTCGCCAATCTTAGCGTCATCCCAGATGTATGCTCCATCGATCTTTGCCCGTGCTCCGATCACGCACCGCCTGCCAATTACACTGTTCGTGATGACGGTGCCATCCCCAACGCTAGTTGCTTTCCCAAGGATCACTCTCCGATTTACTCGACTGGATCGTGCCAACTGGACGCCCTCCTCGCGATAGACGTTGCCTTTGTAGAGTTGAAATGACTGGCCGGCGACCATGTTTGTATCGGGCGTCAGAGGGTAGCTCCATCGGGAGATGACATCCTTGCTGATAGAATCGAATGACCTCAGATTGAGAACCCTAGCTGCGTACCCCTCGCGAGCAATGTGCGTGTGTACAGTGTATTGGAAAGTTTCGAAGTCCTTCAGAGTGCCATGCAGGAAGCCGCGCCTCGGGAGTTGCCAGTCGAAATTGTCTGTATATTGGGCCAGTACTTCCGGTGTGCAAATATCAATGCCGCAATCAATAAGATCTTCGTGCACGTCAATCTCATCGTGGTCTTTGAAAACCTCGCCTGGAATTTCCACCATAGTGCTCTGTCCGGGCCTCAGCTGTTCATAGTGCACGCAGCGATGTGAGTTCGGGTCAATGACAAAGATGCGTCGCTGCTGCTGAGACTTCGTCCTATGTGAGCCTCCAGCTTCACGGAGCACCATGGTCATGAGAGCTTTCTTGTCTTTCTCGCGTCGAGCTTTGTGAGCAGCCAGTGCTGTATCAAGTGAGATGTTGGCAACGACATCAGCGTATACGGCGATAAAATCACCGACAATCAGTTGCTTCGCGTCCAGGTCTCTCATGCAGTCGCCTACAGATCTTGATGCCGACTTGATGACTTCAAGGGCGAAAGGCGAGGTGTCTTTGACCCATTTTGAGTGGCTGTTGCAATATCAGCTTCATCTTCGTGCGCTCGGCCAGAGGTGTAGCGCATCCTGCAATCGGGTTCATCGCGGTAGTGGTCGCCGCCTGGAGCAAGGGCTCTTACCTAAGATACTCTTCCACCGCATCAGTGTGATTGCCGCAGTACAGATAGACCTCTTCCACACCGGCACCAGCTAGGAACTCGAGCGTATACTCAATCAAGGGCGTGTTGGCCAGTGGAAGGAGGCATCTCGGCCGCTCGAGTGTGAAGGGATTAAATCTGGTTTCGAAAGAGTCCGCGAAGACGACAGCTTGCAAAGGTTCCTCGCGCTTCTCCTCGCCGCCTTTGTTGTCTTTCGTCGCACCTTTCTTCCCTTTGGGAGGCATGTCGCTGATATCTTGCTGTGGGGAGGATTGTCAGATATCGTTGGTGTTGACATGGCAAGACCGAAGGTCTGGAATTCTTTCATGACTCAGCGTTTGGGATGCGCCAAGACTCCCTCCAACCTCGCCTGCGGCCATGGTTCTGTTGTGGGTTGCAACGAGATCAGAACTACCACCTCGCGATTGCAAGTCGTTAGAGGTCTGAGAAGGAGATAGGAATATGCCCCCCGTATATTTATGTTTCAAGACGAGAATGCCCGAATGAGCGAAGTAGACGCTAAGAATTGCATATGATCGATCAGATCTGCCTTGGTATTGGCACGCAGCTACCTAAAGATAAGAATAATTCTCATTCACACTCTCTCCTCGTCGAACTCGGGACACTTCGCCATGCCCAGCGACGGCACTTCCTTTCCTAGCGGCTCCTTGAGCATCATTACCTGGAACAAATTTCCCTGTCCAGTGCCAACAAGCAAGCAACCAAGCGAGCAAGCAACAAGTCCAATTGCAACTGATGTCGCCTTTTCCAACGTCAAAGTTCCCCTCGGTTCACCACCAGAACCGCAGCCAGACTTCAAACCAAATCCTTTCTCCAGTGCTCCGCGCCGAGCCACATAACTTCCCCAGAGGCAAATCAGCAATGTCGCTGAACGTATCTACATATGTACAGGGTATCAGGCCAATCAGGACGCTGCGCGACCAGGATCACCGTGGCGGCCGTTGTTGCATCATGTGAGGTGCAGGTATTTGTCCCATGGAAGGATTAAACATCTGCTGGCGTTTCGCATCTATGCCCATGTCAGGCCCACCAGTGATGCTATCGATGGGTCTTCTTTGTGCCACTTGGTGCGGCAGCATTCCACTCGCTGCAGGCGCATACATCTGAGTCGATGGGGCGTGAAGTACGGGCTGCGCATACGGCGTGGACATGTTGTATGCATCGTCACCAAGATTGCTTCCAGATGGTGAGCCCGCTGTCAACTGGTTTGGCGAGTTCCAATTGCTATTCGTTGCGGGAGACGTGGCTGGCGACTCTTCGCTCTTCAGACTGCGGTTGGTGGCTTTCAAAGGAGGTGCCATCGGCTCCAGACCTTGGTTGTTCTTCTTTAGATGAGACAAGTGTTTCTCCAGCATCGCGAGCAGACCCTCCTTCGTGAAAGGCTTCGGAAGGACATCGTTCATCCCTGGAAAGATACTGTTAGCGCTGCATTCTGCTCCATTAGGGACGCATTCCACTTACCATGCTGGAAGTACATCGAGATATCGTCGCTTCTGATATTCGAAGTCATGGCGATGATTGGCGTCGCGTTATCGAACTGGCGAACCAAGTGCGTAGCAGAGACTCCGTCCAGGTTAGGCATAATGATATCCATCAAGACAAGGTCAAACTTCGCGCCGGAGTTGAGCCTATTGACTGCTTCCAGTCCATCGAGCGCAGTGTCAACTTTGCAGGCGAAAGAGTACAAGAACTTTCCACCAATGCGTCTGCACGTTCCATCGTCTTCAACCAGGAGAATGTGAGGCGTGCGCGTCCAACCTGGATCGAATTGGGCGCTCTTCTTGCGAATGTCAGGCTGCTGCGCTGGTTGGTGATAATTACCATCAGGCCCCTTCGCCGGCAGCGGATATGGAATGTTATTGACGTGGTCGCCGTACATTGGATCAATCCCTTGAGGATTTTGCCCGATTGGATATACCAGCGTGTCCAAATCATAGCCGTGGGAGCTCGATGAGGCTGCAGAGTGTGGTTGTGCGCCGCGACTGGATGAACGTGTGCCGCCATTTCGTGACAGATGGTCCGGAGGTGGTGTGGTGAGCGTTGCATTCATTCGTATCGCCGCCTCGTTCATCTGTTCCAGGTTCCGGGTATTCAGCATGTGGTCGGCATTCACCTGCTCGAGCAGTTTCGAGGCATGCTGTAACGGCGAAGCAGGCACGTCGTCTTCTGGAGGTGGTAGCGAATTGCTCGTGCTCCCAGGAGTGCCCCCGTTGACACCGTTTGCGTTCGCAAAAGGATTTGGATTGACGATCCGGCTTTCCCTCCGTCTTTGCGCATCGACAGTATTCAGAAAGTTCATGACATATTGCATCACGTGCTCGTGGTTGACGACAGTTTTCTGCACTCCAATTAATTCCTGCATCATGATCGTATGGTTCATGTTGAGGTCGTTGTATCTCTCCTGCAATTGTTGCAGTTGCTGCTGGGTCGCCACTAGTTGTGTGTTGATCATATCAACTTGCTGAGTGGGCAGCAGTTCACCATCATTACCCGTATTTGCTTTTCGTGGTGCTGGAGCTTTTCGCCGGATGTTGTCCAGCGCATCTTTATTGTTCATTTTGAAATCGGGATGCTTGAATTCCCATGCCTGCTTATATTTGAGCTCAACTCAATTCTTTTCTTTTGCTGCAACCTTACCCCAGGACCGTATGGCGATGCGCCGCCTTCTTCGTTGTTATGCCGTACTTTGTGGAAGTCATATTTGTTCAACTGCCGCACAAAACTGGCAAAGTTGCTGTGCTTGAAGTGTTTAGGCAGGATATGCTTGGTGAACTTCTCGTTCTGCGCGCGTTGTTAGCGCGTATTATGTCTGATTTTTCTTGTCCTTCCATACCTCCAATACCACGAAGCTGTCACCTTCATTGCCCCATCGAACGACGCTTTCATCCTGTGGTCTCTCAAGCATTCTGAAGAGTTCTTGTCAGTATAAGGTGCGGTGAAGCGGGTAGCGGTCGTGCCTACTTGTAAAGCTTGCGAACCTGCACTTCATGGTCAGCACGCTCGCCATTACACCCAAATGTCTCCTTTCTAGCCCCAACATACAAAGTCGCTGCTGTTGCTGGCCCCTTGGCCCGATTGACTGTCCATGATGGCGGTCTGTCTCTACGGCGGTCCGGTCGCAGCGCACAAAAGGGTCCTCCACATGCGCCCGCACGGCGTCGGTGGCCTCGTGGCAGAGAAAGCACAGCGTCGTCCGAATCCGGGCGGCTGCGTGCGTGCACTGCGCGACACCTCGGCCCTATGTCATTTGCGTCTGTCGCAACTCCAATCGCCCTGCGCCGGGTGTGGTGTGTGCAAGCGGAAGCGCGCAGAAGGCTCGCCCGGCGAGCTGGTACTCAGGAATGTGGAAAGGGTACAAAATCGGATGGTATGCTATGCAGAGGGCCAGACTCTGCGCAATAACGGAAGAGACTCGAGGGAGAGGCGGGCGCGCGCGGCGGTGGTAGCGACAAACGGAGATGCGCTTCTTGGAGACGAGGAAGAATCGAGCCGACTGCTCGTAGATTGGTGGCCGGGGACGGTGTCGATCAGCACACGGAAAGAGAAGCGCCTTCGGTGTGAACGGGTACGTCACCAATACACGGCGCAGCTGGTCAAGACAGCTCTGTGGGAAGAAGTACCAACGACTGCACAAGGCGGTCACAAAGGGTAGGTCATCAGAGTTGTACAGGGGCCAGTAGTATAGACTATAGGGCGAGTGGTGGAAGGTGGAGCACGTTGAAACAGGCCAGCAGTGCCTACAGCAGACCATTTCCGACCCCTCAATCTTCTGCTTCCGGCGCAGACAGCAGAGCAGCCGTGGGAGAAGGGTTTGTTGGTCTGCTGCTGGCAAGGCGGCAGGCTCTCGCGCTGCCACGATCCACGAACTGCCAGCTCTGCAAGTGGGCGCGCTTCGCTTCCTGCGTCCATTCGTGGCCATGGTCGACACATCTGATCTGCGCCTCCCGTCTGCCCGCCGCGCAGGTGATCTGGGAACAGTCGAACCCTGCAAATTACGGATGTCACGACCATGTGCCTGGGAGAGCAGCAATAATACCGCTGCCGTCGAGCGCTGCTGGAAGGATGGAGGGCGTTCTTGCGCACTCATGCCGCCACCGCAGCGCCCTGTCACGCCTGATGAGCCTCCGGCGTCAAAAGCAGTGCGAGATGATGAGGGCATGGCGTCTTTGGTCGGCTATCTTGACAGCAATAGGATGAAAGTCGTCCCGAGCGAGTGGTAGTCGAAGTCAATTGTGCTCGTGGTGGACGACTTCAGCTCATCTTCAGCTCACATCAATGGCGGCATTGTAGACCACATTGTGAGACGTTCTCCCATGGTGGATGATAGTAAAATGCTGTCTGCCTCCCGCAATCCTTGCCGCTCATGCACACAGCCCACGGCGAAAAGCAGCCGATGTGGACATTCGGCATCGTGGACCTCCAACGCGGGCGGGTTGACGTTGCTGCCAAAGTCAATCGAACCTCGGGTCTGCAAGAGCTTCGAGAGAGCTTCTACCTTCCCTCTGCACACTCACAGCAGCAGTAGCTATGTTCGCGGCCCGCCACTTCGCCTCTGCATCCTTCAAACAATTCTCCAAACCACTTCTCTCATCAACACGTCAATTCCACGCAACAGCCGCAATCATGGTCAAAGCCGGAGACTCCATCCCAAACGTCGAGCTCGTCGAGGGCGCTCCCGACAAGAAGGTCAACATCGCTAATGAGCTCTCTTCCGGAAAGGGTCTCATCATTGGCGTTCCTGCTGCCTTCAGTGAGTAGCGACACTCCACCTGCATTTGCTGCCGCATGTCTTGGCCGCGGGGGGCGTCTGCCACAGTGACAAGTGGTCTACTAATGATGCTGATCTTCACATCCACCCAGGCCCTACGTGCACAGCGAGGCACATTCCCGAGTATCTGAGCCACAAGAGCCTCAAAGGTATGGATGGTACACTAACTCCCTGTACTGTACTGGCAACGGTTATGCTGACGGGCCGGACAGATGCCGGCAAGGTCTTTGTCGTTGCCGTCAATGACCCATTCGTGTAAGCTGCTGCTTGCTGTCCCCGTACTGCCCAGCTTCGGCATACTCGTCGGCGACCTCTGCAGGTTCGAGACTAACACGATCTGGTGCAGCATGAAAGCATGGGCAGAGTCATTGGACCCAAGTGCAAAGTCTGGCGTAAGTAGCTGATCCATCCTCCTGGATCCGGGGATATTGGTGTCCAGATACTTCCGACCCGGATCATCACAGACGTTGTGCCGGCCGTTATGCTCACATGTGGCGCTGCAGATCCGCTTTTTGGGAGACCCTCACTCTGAACTTACCAAGGCCTGGGACCTGGAATTCGACTCCGCTAAGGTCTTTGGCCAGAACAGAGGCAAGCGTTGTGCCATCACCACCGAAAATGGAAAGGTGAAGTCGGTTCACATCGAGCCTGACAACACGGTATGCCTCGAATGATGTGTTCTTCACGCTATTTGATTTGCTGATTTGGTTCGCACCTCTAGGGCGTGAGCGAGTCTGCCGCCGAGAAGGTTCTGGCCGCACTCTAAGCCAACGCACATCACGAAATCATGGGGCACAACCTCCACAAGGCAAGTCTCATGCCAAGCATAGAGAAAGGAAAAATAGACGAGTACAACACGAGAAAATGACAATTGATCATGCATGCTTCGTATCAACCTATTTACAGAATCTCTGTCCAGTGCAAATGCTCAGCAAACTCCGATTCATGCAGACCCTGTCGCCCTGTATGGGGGACCCAACTCCGACATGACTAAAACAGTCTGATGCAGCCGTCGCCGCGGCCTTGCTTTCACAACCCCCCCTTTTCCCCCTTGAGCGCCGGCATGATGTTCACCGGGGTATCGAGCTATCGAATCACAACATAGCACATCGTACAACTTAATTCAGCAAAGCGGAATTCATGACAAACCAAGTAGTCCACCCTGTTGGGCGAATTTAAGCTGGTACTCCCGCAGGTCCGCCCAGGTTCGGAGTTCGGTGTCCTCGTCATCTGGGTTGCTGCTGCCATCAGCTTCGCTGTTGGCGGGGCTGGTACGCTCCAGCTTCATGAGAATCTTTAGGAATGCACTCAAGTATTCTTGAGCTTGCATGGCCAAAGGACCTTTACGCTGGTCAGGCGTTTCGAGAAGAGTGCTGGCAATTGAGCGGATCTTCATTGTCTGCGGGAATGTCAGTGACTTGCTCGGGGCACAACGGTCAGTGATAATAACTTACAAATGAGTCGGCGTTTGGCTCCATGTTGACCTGATCAATACTGCCAAGGACGGTGAGGAGGTCCTTCACGATGCTCTCACGCTCATCGTGCATCTCGTGTTCAATCATGTCGTAGTGACTGGTTGGCACTTGGGGCACCATGTTGTCGATGCCGGCAGCGGTGATGCCCGCACCAGGTGAGCTCGGCAGGGAGTGGGGCGATTGTCGGGATCGCTGATGTGCTTCGCAGAGGTTCCAGTATTTCTCCACCAAGTAGGACCTGGTCGCTAAGCTGGACGCGTAGATGTTGGCCTTCTGGATCTCATGTTGAGTGCGGCGTCGCTCTTCCGCGGTCTGCTCGGTCATCGTTCGGGATGAGGGGCTCATCAGTGACTGGGCTGGATCCCGACCAAGCTGAGGCTGTGCGGCGAAGGCTGGGTAGAAGCCTCCGTTCTGCTGGCTCGGCGTGCCGACATCCGTCCGGACAGTAAGCTCCGAGGGAAGGTTGCTCATCGATTCTTTGCAGCGACGCAGAGATTCGTATAAGACACGTTTCTGTCGATCCCAGTCGACGATGGCGTCAATGCCCCATGCCATTTCCATGGTGGCTACGGCGTTGTAGGAACAGTACACGCGGACGTTGGCATTGAAGCCAGCGATCGACGGAATCAAGCCCGCTGGCTGTTGCTCCGTGTGTGTTGGGTAGATGCAGAAGTCGTCTACCTCGGCTGGCAATGGAGGATATGGTTCAGTGTGGGTTGGAGGAGGGATGACCAGTTCGCCGAAGCTGGCGCCCAGCTGCTCCATTGACTTGACACTGACGAACATAGTCCAGAAAATGCGGCGACCCATCTCCAGTGTGATGTTGTCGACGCTCTTTTCGCTGCCGTGATCGATGCCATTTGTGCGACTGCCCATGGCCGCTGGGAGCGAGCCCAGCTGTGCGTAGCTTTGGGCCTTTGCCTTGTGCAAGCCAAGGGTCCGGAGGATGGTCAAGCATTCGCCGAAGTATAGCCGACCCAGACGCCATCTGAACGTGTAGACTCCCGTCAACGCCAGGAAGTAGCTGGTGGCAGCATCGTACACATTCAAATTGTCGCTCTCCAGATATCCAGGTCCACGCGCCGCAGCGCACACTTTTTGGCATCGTTGCACCAGACTCATGTGGTTGGGAAACATATTCTCGCGCTTCTGAGCTTTCAGGTGCAATCGTGGTTTTCGCGGAAACGACGCGACCAATGCGCCAATCATGGACGCAAGCAGTGCCAAGAAGGACTTGTTCGTAAGATCTTCTCTGCGCTTCCATGCCTCGCGGAAACTGGGCTCGTGAGGGAATGGACACAGCGGGTGGATGTAGGTGAAGAAGTCGTCGATGAGCAGATCCAGCGTCTCCACGGGACAAATCGACTCTGCTGACAGCGGCGATGATGAGAGCCCGACCAGAGCGTGCGCGGCGTTCGTGGGCGAAGCTGGCGATGAAATTCCTGAGCCCGGCGTGCTTGCATTGGCTTGCTCTTCGAGCCGCCTCCTCTTGATGGCCTCAGCATGGCGATTGGGAGGACCTCGTCGCCGGCTCGGTCGGTCGAATGTGCATGGGATGTCGAGTGCAGCACAAGCTCGGCAGGGGGGACCCGTCTCGTCGCACTGTTTCCATTAGAATTGCTCGACCTCAGGCATTGCCCGGACTGTCTCTCACATACCTTAACTTTGCGAATGGAGCACGAATCGCATGCTTTCCGTAATCGGTTCGTCTTCTGTGGCTGCTCTGGAGTGTTCGTCTGCGTTGGGGGAAGTGACAGGCCGGCTGCACTCGTCGGGTGGCTCGTCACCGGCGTGGGCTGCTGCAGCTGGTGCGAGACATGTGGCATATAGTGTCGTGACTGGTCGTCGGGCCCCGAATGGTGCTGGAGCTCGTGCGCGAGACTCTGGATGTGCTGGCTCGCGGGGCTGTTGTGGCCTGTGCCGGGCAGCGCCTCGACTTTGGGATAGATGGGCTGGTTCAGACTGCTGAACTGCAGCTGCTCCTGCTGGGCCGGTTCGAGCAGCTGCTGGGCGCCGCCGGGAGGTGGGTAGAGGGCGTTGCCGTAGTGCTGGTCCTGCTGCTGCTGTTGCTGCTGCTGCGGCGGCGGGGGCGGCGGCGGGTAGCCATTGGCGGCGGTGTTGCCGTTGTTCATTTGCGCCAGCATCCAGTTGTGCACCTGGAGCTGCGATGAGTAATAATTCGACATCACGGCGGCAGACATTCGGGACAATGGTGGGCGAGCTTTGGGTAGAGACCCAGAAGTGTAGCGCGAATCCGCGCGAAAGTGGGCGCGGTGTCGCCGGTAAATAGGTCGCTGGCAATGATACACAGAAGCGGTACTTACGGTGACGAGCAGTTCGATCGATGGGATGGACGCCAGACGCGACTGATAACTAACTGCACGGCGGCAAGTGGCGGCCGTCGACTGGGATCCCTCACTAGAGTCGCACGAGGGCCTGCTCCGACCAATTTGGCGAGGTCAGGTCACGCACACGCGCGAAGGCAGCATGGGCGAGCGAGAGTGCGTGCGTGCGTGCGCGAGCGTAGTCCGAAGACGACAACGCCAGACGTCGACGCAGGTGCGCTGCCAGAGCGGGCAGCGAAAAACACCAGGGCCTGCCGCAAGCTCAAACTCTATCTGCGCTGCGCAAGTCGCAACAAGGACCGGGCTAGCGCTGCACGCCCAGCCCAGCAGCAGCAGCGACCGGGGCAGGGCAGGCCAGGGCAGGGCGTGGGTGGCAGCAGGCGCAGGCATGGCTGGCATACTCACCTGCTCCACCGCGACGGTGTGTCGCAATCAAACGCTCGACTCGACCAGCCCGCTCCCAGCAGCGCGTGAGGTAATGCGCCGCCGGCCTCTCCCTGTCCGCGACGGAGAGCGATGCGTGCGCACGGGCGGCAGCAAGGTCGCATGGTATGGGAGCAGCATGTCTGCAGATAGCCACCAGAGCGACCAGACTGCTCCCGTCAGCAGCAGCAGTACAGGCACCGTGGTGGTACGGCCAGCGCGCAGTACCCTCATCAACCACGACGACACTACGTTTCCTAGCGCCCTTCACTGGCCCTACCCGTGCAGTAGCTGACCGCAGCCGCTCGAGAACGGGCGCTGCTGAAGACACTGCTGCTCTGCGCGGCCAGGGCTCCCAGACGAGCTTACCGCGCCCTCCAGGACCGTCGTCCGTCAAGCCTCTGCCTGCACCCGCCCATGCCATGCCTCGCCATGCCACCAGCCCGGGCGGTACAGTACCTCCAGACGTGAGGCTTGTACGGAGGTACCTGCCGCCCACCGTAATGCAATGGCTGCTTCCGCACACCCAGGAGCCGCATCACGCAGCAACATGCCTCCACGACACGAGCGTCATCGCCCAGCGTGCTTGCTCGCGGCCTATGGGTCTGGCAACCAGACCGTACCCACCGGCTTTCCGAAATCGCACGTCCAACACCCCTCTGCACCACTGAGACGAGGCGAGGCCCACACGCAAATTTCTCTAGACGCATGAGCTGCTGTCCTCCTGAGAGCCTAGCGCCTCTCGGCTGCTGGTAGGCGAGCGCTGCGTCGCCATCACAATCATCATCGCACAGATGGCCTCCAGGACCGGGTGTCAGGGCGCAAGTACCACCTCTTACTCAGGCGCCATGCTCTGCCTACTCGGGCCCGACTTCACCTTTTGGGAAATCCCTAGGATTGTGCGTCAGTCCGCGGGGGTTGCGCGCGAGCATCCCCACGTTCCAACAACACATCTACCTCTGTACTTGTGTCTGCCGCAACGAGCTATGTGCATTGCAGGACGATAGTGCTAGCGCTGGTGCTGGCGACTGAGTCGGTCATAGAGCTTGGCGAGCTTGAAATTCGTCGTGTTAGTGGTCGTTACCTGCAACGACTTGCTGCGGGAATCAGCCTGATTCGAAACAAGGTGCACTGTCACCCCGACACGTTCACAGCTACATGACGCACAGAGATACGACAAACTCAAAACCACACACCACATCCAATGGCGTTTCGACTCTTTCCCGCTCTTCTCTGACACTAAGCAGTGAGCATCCATCAACATCAGCGCGCTCTCGCAGCCTCATCCTCGCACAGCGAACGTCACCTTCACCGACTGTCGTTGCTTCGATCACAAGGCCAGAACGGTAAGGATGAAGAAGTCCGAGCTAACGCTACCCCCATGATTCCAGCAACGTTCACGCAAGATGACGAAAAAAAAATCGTGATTGCCACCTTTCGGAATTGCCTCGCGGACGACTCGTTGTCAATTGATTCAACGTCCCGTCCACTGAATCTTCTGAGGATATCCAAGTCAGGTCGACGGGCCTAGCGCCACAGAGCTTCTGCGCCTCGAAGCACAACCGGACGAAGTTCGGCAGCTCAAAGAGGGAATGCGGCAGAAGGAGAGAACCTTCGACGCTGAGGAAGAAAATCTCTACGCAAACCTTATTTCAGGGCAGGCGGGTCGGCCTCGAACCTTAATAGGAACGCCCAAATCTGCGAGCGTGCCTTATTGCCAATCATGCCAACAGTGACCGTCTTTTGCCTCGTTCAACAATCGCTGGCGGGCGGCAACATGGCGGAACGTTGAACACGATGCGGCCAACGGAATACATGATACATTGGATGAGGCGATGAATTAGAGGAGAGTCTTGACTCTCCGTTTCACACAGGCGGTAACAGGCGGGCCAGCACTCCAATTCTGAACTTCTGATACCGGATGGGTGCGGCGAGCGCACCGCTCTAGATTGAGAACAGACGCCACGTCCTGGTTGTCGACCCGCTTTCTGCACATTCGAGTCATGCGTCGAGACGGCAACGACTGGCCAGGCAATGCCGTGACCAGCGCACTGCGTTGGCTGAACTTTGGGCAGTTCCGATGTTTGTAGCCGACTCAGGAAATGGTGTTCCGTGAAAGCAATGAGCCGCAATCGACCCTTCCCCACGATGTTTGAACGACTCGCGATTGCTGAGGTACCTTTTGTTGCAGCTCATGTAACTTTCTATGTGGCATCCGCGGATAACCAGAGGTCAGATGAGCGGGCAGATGCAGCCATACCAGGCGCGTCGTCTGTTTCTACTTGATTGCGCGACGTGGGGTCGGTCAGAATGCTGAGATGTTCGACATCAGACAGGCTTGGTTGTTTCCAAGAGTGTTGAAACACCGGGCCGGCGCCATGGCTGATTCGTCCACGATAACGGCTGTGCAAACTTCATATGAAGTACACACGGCTGACAACGGCATGGCGATATGCAGCAGTGCTGAGCGGTGAAGAAGGCGAGGGATGTAGTGGGATATCGTCTAGAAGATGAGGCTACATCCAGCGTGCCATGAAGTTGGGAGACTGGGGACGATTGCAGTTTTCATAGCGGTATGCACGTAGTGTCGTCAGGTGCTTTGCCTTGTGATCATGCAAGCTTCGTTTTGACTTCTCGATCGATCACGGGTCTCTTTGCTACGTGGAATGATGGGAACTGGGCAATCCTGTTCACGTGGAGAACAATTGTAGGAGCAGGAAGCACTCAGGCTGTGTGCAAGTCACGAAGTGAAGTCGCTGTCGCCAGATCGAGCGCAAAGAAGGTTTCGCCCCACCACAACAGTGGCGACCGCAGAGCCGCAAAACTTCATCTTGGCGTGCCAACCATCGCTCCTACCCTTACAGACGCCGCTTCACGTACCGGACATAGTTGCGCTTCCAAGCGCCAGACGCGATAGCGCATCGGCAGCCTTGCAAATCCGTCGTCAGGAAGAGCGTCGCGGCCATTCATCGCTTCAAAGCCTGGCGACTGGTACCAGCAAACAACTGCCGACGAGCAAGGGTGGTCAGCCGAACCGCAAGAACGCATGCAATCGAATTCACAAGCAAAGGACTGCCCAGAACCCCAGTCTTGTGCGCCGCAGCGCGGTGAATATGGTCCTGCAGTGTCAGTAATGGCAAAGTCGCGAGCCAGAGGCGGTCTACGAAGACAACGACGGCACGACCAGTCCACTTTGCAACCAGCGCCAAGATGCCCTCTACTGGAACTTCCCGCAGAACTTCGGGAGATGATCTGGGTGCACGCAGTGACAGAGTGGGAGCCAGCTCCGAGCGGGTCAGGAAGCGACAATAGGAAAGCACTGATGAAGCGGCCGATCAGGATGGATCGCTTCAATCGACCTTGCCCTGCACCACTGACCCTGGTATGCCACCAGATACGCACGGAGACTCTGAAGTTGTACTACCAGCAGAACATCTGGGAGTGTTGGAGGCCTCTATTTTGGCTAAAGGACTGGAGCGAGAGCACACTCATCGACTGGCTTTGCAGCATTGGCCCCGAGCGAACGAAATGGCTTCGGGATATTGTCTTACTTTACAAACACGAAAACGAGCTGGAGCACGACATCAAGCAAGCACTCTGTGAAGCAGACTTCGAGCTGAGAGACTGCGATTTTCACGACAAGCAAGAGTTGAGCGAGTATGAAATGTGCTTCGAGTCCATGGGCTTACCGCGTCATTTTGGCCGGAAGCGAAGATGGGATCGCTGGATGGCCGGAAGTGTAGCGACTGCAGGTGGCAGCGGTTGAGAAGCAACTCAAGATGCTGACCGACAGTCGTGCGGCAGCAACACCCCTTGCCAACGATGCACGCACAATTTTCGACTTGATTGCACCTTACATTGCAATTTCTCTTACGTTGATAGGATGAGAATGAGGAGCAGCAAAAGCGCATCCCTTAGTGCACTGCCATCCTGTATCTAGTCTAGGCCGAATAGCTGGAGGATCGCCAGCTGGGTTGGGTACGATGCGCTCTGGTGGCGGACTACCAACCGGAGTATTCCGCGTCCAGCTTACTGCTCGTAAGTCGAGGACTTGACATGGCACCTCGCCAGCGCTAGTTCGAGATCAAAGCGCATCCGAGACCAGGAACCCGAACCATGGAGACTATGATCGACTCGTCGCCATGTCCCGCCATTTGCCTTTGCTTCCCTGATCAACAAAAGTAGCAACAGGCTCAAGCGAAGTGGTGTCCACATCCCACTCTACTTCGTGATGTGAAGCACAGGTCTTTCGGCCTGACTTCCGATAGCGGCGTATTTTTCATTCGCTCTTGCATGCAGAGACAACGCGAGACTGCAATGCAATGGACTTTGGTGCTGGAGAGCACACCTCCGGCAACATATCAGAAGCTGGGAACGAGGCCATCTCGGGCAAGCAATATTCGGTTATGCGGGAGAGTCCCATTGTGTCGAAAGATCTCAACACCGTTCAGCCAATGCTCTCTTCGCTGTTGTGTTGTTGTTGTCATCAACAAGCTTACTCTCCGCTGCTATTGGCCTGGGCGACTCGTGATCCCAGCATAGCAAGGTTCGGATACCATGGCAGGTTCCGACACGCGCCCCTCTCTGTCCAGACGTAATGCCAATGTTACAGCAGGATGCCGTCGCAAATCCCACGCTTCTGTCTACTGGCGCGAATACGTGGATGCAAAGAACCAGGAAGCAGTCAACCTGCCACTTCTTGGCCACATCAGTTCTACGCTCTGGCGGTGGGCCTCACCAGATGTCCTGGTAATCTCCTGCGTTTGACTTCATGGGGCATGCACAAATCGGTCTTGCAGATTTCATGAAACCTGTCAAGGTACGGTTCCGCGAGCAGTGGCACGATGGCTCTGCGAATGCGCTGGAGAGGAGTTCACCATAGAACATCCGCTTCCGTCGACGGAACCTCCCTTACTTCCGTCTCAGCGATTTGGGCACTCCTCTGTACAGACCGCACAAGTGAGCGCTCTTGCGTTGAGTCTCACGCTAATGAGAATCCCTTCTTGTCGCAATATGCAGCCCATTCCAAGTACGGTGCGTGGCTCCACGCAAGCTCGCTGCTCGTCCTAGAGAACATGCATCGTGCGTCTGGTTGGCATCGACAGCAAGTCGCGATACGATGGGGTATCCGATAAGCGGGAACGATGTCATCAATGTGTCACAGAAAGTCTGCGGCGTAGGAGCCACCGAACTGCAAACAGCCAAGCAGCTCCGGCTCGCAAAGCTGGCCCGATCTGGACATAATCACCCGAGTGGCGGACTAAGTCTTTGCACATATTCTCGCAGTTACATTCTATGTGACTACTGGCTAGTTGTGCTTTTGTCGGCCGTATTGCTGATGCGGAGAGCGGCTCTTGGGCTCGGTCTGCCGTGGTGTGCGGCAGCTGCCCTCATTCTGCCTCTGCTCTGAACATGGTTTACCTAGACGCAGCCCTTAGCCTGGAATTTTCCGGGCAGATTGCAAGACACTCCTTTGATACGGCATCATAGCTACCCGGTAGTGTCAGTATGCAACCAATTGCGCTTACTGCTTTTGTTGCCAGCATCGAGAAGAAATCCGACAAGCGCATGAGCATGGCCACCCCAGCCAGAACGCTTCCACGCCAAGAAGATTATCCTAGACCAACCACATTAGCGTCGACAAACCTCGTGCAGAACACGCTTGCAATTTGGTCATTTAGCCACGGATTACGCTGCGTCAGGAACTAACGGTCAGTTGCGTGCCCTACGATCGGCAGCCTGAGACGAAAAGTTCTCCATAGAGTCCATAGGGCACAGTATTGGGCCTGTCTGCTAGTGAGATCTGTAAGTCTATCTCCGTACCTCGACACGTTATTGCCGCGAATGGCTCCTCGTTCATTGATGATTGCGGTACGAGACGCACCGACCTTCTCTCTGCCTTTAGGCTATTCAAACACATCACTTGATGCGGTCACTACTAGTGTGAGACGCTCATGTTTCTCATCAGAAGAGCGGGAAAAGAACAATGAAACGGTGTTTGATCGCGCAGGTTGTTGCTTCCTCTGCGAAGCCTTTGCTACTAATCAGACGCGACCTTGATGACGTTCACCTACTGTAGGCATGTTTGTTGGCTTCTCATGTGCCTATCCCTGATACAAGCCTGTGCTTACGGATAAACCTGCCCGAAAGGCTGCTGCTCAATGAGGCAGTCTGGACGACAATGGCGATGAACTCTCCTGACTCGACACAAGAGGAGACATTTTGATTGATGAAGTACAGTATCATAACACAGGACTGGCGTGGTATATTCCCCACAACCAAACAAGAACTGCTTCAGCGACTTTCATTGTCAGGACTACCTTGTGGAACTTTAGTAGGTTCCTGCGTGATTTGCTAGGAAACCTCCATCGATGACCATGACATTTCCATTACAGTAGCCTCCAGCTCTGCTGACCAAGTACAGTAGGGTACCAGCGAACTCTTCTTCAACACCCATTCTTTGTCTCGGAACCAGAGCCCTAGGCAACACGCCATTCGTATGCTCCCACGATTTTACAACGCTGGTTGTCATATCTGTTGGGAACCAACCTGGCGCGATGACATTCGTTCGAATATCATGAGGCACGAGAAAATTGCCCAAGTTCTTCATCAAATGATGAACTGCCGCCTTGCTGGCGTTGTAGATGAAAGAGTCTGTGGCTCTGGTCAAGCCACCAACACTTCCGATGGCGATCACTTGACTGGTGGGCTTCGAAGCATCTCGACGCTTGTTGCCAGCGTCGAGCAATTCTAGGAATGCCATTGTTGTGGTGAATACTGCAGCGACATTCGTCTCCAAGGTATCTCGCCAAAGCTCTTGTGGTCGATAATTGAAGTAGTAGTCGCGAATTTCCTGGACGGAAGACTCTCCAGTGGGCTTTGGCCTCGCATCCGGACTGGAGTCAAAGGTTGTTTGACCTGCATTGCAGACCAGAAGATCGATGTATCCAGTCTCCTTGGTCACGAAATTCACTGCTCGTTGCACATCTTCACGGGACGTAGTACTCCCTTGTATCGGTATGATACCACCATGAGTCTGCGCATGGTGAGTCAAGATTTGCTCAACTTCTGTCAACACTGCCACTTACAGCTTGTTTTGCGGCTTCATCGAGTTTCTCCTGTCTGCGACCGGTGATGTAGACCTTTGCGCCTTGGCTCTCAAGAGTTTTGGCGATGATCAAACCTGTAATGGGAAATTATGTCATCAGAACTGAGACTCGCAATGGTTACTCGAAACGAATCCTACTCACCGAGACCAGTACCTCCTGCAAATACGCGTCAGCTACAACACTCTAGAGCACGGATGGGATCGGATCATTCTCACCCCCGGTGACTACGGCAACAAGTCCGGAAACGTCATTGAGAGACTTTGGATCATATGGCGAGGACTCGGTGTCGGCCATGTTGACTACAGTTTCGGACAGTCACTCTGTCGTTCTGTTTGCGAAGTCTGATCATACACTGTATGGATCTTCGGGATATAGAGAACATGTCGGGTTTCCGCTCGGGGACCATAGACGTCAACGGGAAACAGAAGTCCGGCTCTCCACAGAACCGGATCGCCACAATGCCAAGCCGTTCTAACATCACCTACTGGACTTGCGCTGCCAAGAATGATTCGACTGTCTGTTACTTCTCATTACAAACAATCGCACTTCGTGAATCGGCTCGATGTCACAAGACGAGGCTGAGCAAAGTGATCGAGAATCATGGAGCAGAGTGTCCTTGGCTTTCTCGATGTCGATCGCGGACGCCGTCCATCTGAACTGGCCGGACAACGTAACGTAAGACCGGAATGATCATTCCGCAATGCTCACGCTGCAGCATCATCGCATGTCAGAGTGTATACCTAGTTTGGCTTAGGTCTGGTACCAATTCCCGACTAGAAGTTCTTTGGAAAAAGGCAAAGCATGCAAGCAGACCAGGATAACCCCACCACGCGAGTCTCAGAAAGACACGGGGTATGTCCTCACACGTTCCAAAGTATAAATCGCCCACCCTCGTTGGAAAAAGTTACAAGGTCCACGCCAGTCTCTTCCATCCCTGGAAAGACGTTATTCAGGGAACGCCTTCTAGAAAACTTCGAGAAGAAGCTTCAGACGACACATGCCAGGGGGGAATGGACAAACTCTGTGGCAGAAAACGGCTACGATTGCAACTTCTGAGAGACGCGGAAGTGGTATCTGCTCATGCAGCCAACTACACACCGCTCAGTCAAGCCAATGACTGCTGCGACAAATCTTTCAACCCCGCCAAAGTCAGGACCGCCCATGCCGGTCGTCTGTCGCATCTCGATCTGTTTGCTCTGTGCACATGCGAGAGCATAGATCATCGAGTGCGGTCGTTCTGCCCCAGAACCCTATGAGCCAAATGGCTCTGTCTTGGCAATATCCACTGGCCAGTTTGCACAGCAAATGCCTGCCTTGGATATTTCTCGCCCGAGCGGCTCGGACTTGGCGACCGCCACGACAACCAGCAGAATCCGACCAACAACTCTCTCCATACAATGAAGCTTTGTCTCACACCTGATCGCCCCCGCCCAAAACGGTTCCTGCAGCGAAACGACATGCCATTCCATTCAGGAGAGGTCTAGACCATGGGTACAAGAGTATTGGGTTCTAGACAATGGGATTGAGCCGTTGCAATGCCGATCTTCACGCTGTTGCTCGCTCACTCGCTCACCATGCTGAAGGATGTTTTGAACGATATCGTGCTCCAACCTGATCCAGCAATGAAGTACCTCCCTCTGTCACGGACACAAAAGCCTTGCCCTAGACTGCTCGGCCGAAAGTCATTTTAGGATCTTCCCGCTCCTGCGAAGCTTTTCAAACGAGACATGGACCTGTGCAGGACAACCTGTTGGCGAAAGCTTCGTGTTTCCGGTAAACACACGCAACAGTCCTGTGAGTTACACTCTCTCTTGTTTCATCCTTTGGAGTCGCCAAAAGAAACAATTCCGAGGAGGAAAAGCCGTGCGTTCCGCTCACGGCTCGGAAATTCCGCAAAATATGCTCAAAACAACGGCTGATCGGGAAGCCGAGAGCAGCGACTCGTAGAAGTGAGGACCCCGAGCGGTGAAAGCTGAAACGTACATCAACTGCATGTCATGAAAGAACGTCTCTTTTTTTCCTGTACCCCAGTCCATGTTCAAATGCTGCTCGATGTCCCTCGCTGAGAAAAGGCTAATAATGAGAACTCGACGAGTCGCGAGTGAACCATATGTGCGTGAACGTTAAGAGTCAGACAGAAGTAACATGACACAAGAGACTCCCGTCGCAGAACGAGACCAAAGCATTCGAACGACAAAGAGTCAGGTGGAAAAAGAGGGACCAAAAACATGAAACGAAACCATTCCGACTTCCGTGAAGAAAAAGCCACAAGGAAATGCGGTTGAGAATCTGTTTCATCGGCGCGGACGACACTTGACACTGCTTGAGCGCGCTTTAGCGCTCCAAACGTTTGGAAGTACCGGTTCAAGCGATCCAGTGTGTTCTGTCAGGTCTGTCACTGTGCCAGAACTGCAACTCTCGAGGAGAAATCACAGGAAAGGCGGCTGAAAGATGTTTCAAGTGGACTGCACGTTCGGAGCGCATTTTAGTGTTCCAACAAGTTGGGTCCGCATTGTAAAGTGCCCTATGTGGTGTTTCGGCGTTCTCAATCTGTACACGAGTCCGATGTTCTGGACTCTCTTTTCGACAGAGGCGTGATGAGGCTGTAACACTTGAAGTTTGCTTGAGCGGCTGAGGGCTTCAACTTCACTCTGTTTGCCACTGAAGCAAGGGTCGTCTGGTTGGCAAGAACTCGACCATCCAAGACATCATGGTCCTCCTGGTGTTGATGTGAGAGCCCGGCATCCGCTTTCAAGTGTTGTGTATGCCGTGGTGAACCTGGATACTTCAGAAATGCAAAGTGAAGTGAATCATTTCCAGAGTGTGATGGCTCTCGCCGCAGCGTGTATCAGACATTGAAGCCATTGAGCCCCCGTTCTCCAAGGAAACACAATCGATGGCTTTCTTGCACGTCATTCTGGCGTCCCTGGAATTGGACGGAGAATCGCACAGTCACTGAAAATGCAGCGAATCAACTTCTCTTCTATGGAGAACGTGCTGTTTAGTCAACATGTTGATTCCTAGAAACAGGTCAGTATCATTTGCAGAAAATCCTCGAAATTCACATCACCAGGTCGTTAATATTCGCCAGTCGACTGAGCCTTGAATCCGTAAAACAAAATTTTGATAGCAGTGCACATGCAATCTAGGCCTTGGGTCAAGGTTGGAATTCATGTTTTCTGGTGTCATATCTGGCGTTGAAGTGATGTGGAGGTCGTGACCTCACCTCTTCTTACTCCCCTTGCCACCACGTCCACCCTTCCCACCTCTCGCAGGCCCGCCTTTACTCTTTCCTGCATCCGCGGCGTTCGACATCATGACCCTCACGCTCTTCACGGGAATGATGCCAATAACCTCAGCTTCCCTCCAGCCTTTCACGAGCTCGGCCTCCCGGGGCCAAATTCTCTCCGTGTCCTTCGAGCTACGGTCGAGCTTCCTCTCATCAGCAGCATCTCTCGACCATTTGGTCAGAATTTCCCGCGTAGCTTTTCCCTTCTTTTGCTGGCCAGGTTGCATTTTCACCTTGTACTTGTACCGTGCCAGTGCAGCCCAAGGAGCAACAGTGGGAATGGCTTCTAGTAGTTCATCCCCAGGCAGAGGTTGTCCAATGAGAGACTCAAGAAGTCCCGCAGTCTCAGCTTCAACACCAGCATCGTCTTCGATGCCTTCGTCAAGATTAAGCTTCCTCATCTCCTCGGCTTCGAGACCTTTCTGCTGTGCTCGTTCATGCTGGGCCTTTCGTCGCGCCCGAGCTTCTTCCTCGGTCTCCTTTTTCTTTGCGCTGGTTGCAGCTTCTGCTGCTCGCCGTTCATCAGCCGCTTTGCTGCCGAGGATCTGCATGGCCAGAGCGCGATCTTCCTCATCTTGATTAGCGTATTTGGTGGCGATCTTCTTCTTCTTTCCCCTTTGCCCACGCATAGGCTTCTGACTGGGGAGAGAAGGTTGCGCAGGCTTGCCTTTCTGGATCCTCGCCAATTCCTTGCGCTGCTTATTGGACAGTTGTGGCTCCGACGCTTCATCTTCCTTCTCAGACGAAGCTCCCTCTTCGTTGATCGAAGCGGCCACGTCCTGGTCTGGCCCTCGTGATACCTGTGGTCCGGCCACATCATCTTTGCTAGGGTCGGTCTCCGATTCATCTCCATCGCTGTCGCTTCCCGCATCAGATTGCTTTTGAGTTGTATCAGGCGCAAGACTTGGCCCTCCGGATTGCAGAGGATTACCAGCATGTGCGCGTGCTCCCTGCTCGCGCTCTTCATCCTCTTCGTCGTCTTCGTCATGCGCACCGTACGTTCGTCTCCGCTGTTCGTTGTGAGTCTCGTCATCTGAGCTGTCGTTGCCGTTATGAGAAACATCCGGGAACTCGTCGTCATCATCCTCCTCAATTCTAGGCTCGGGTGCTGCGGCATCTGGAAAGTCGTCATCGTCAGAGGCTGAGCCGCCTGCAGCAGAAGAATCCGCAGCAGTCTCGGCTTCTGTCAACTCAGGCGTCGCTAGATAGCTGTTCTGACGAGGCAGCTCCAGGCGATGTTTGACGTGTTGTGCTTTGCTGTCCTCGCTAATTTGAAACGTGACACCGAAGCCCAGTAGCAGCTTGGCAGGAGGCAGGAAGTTCTTCTTGCCACGAACCACAAAGCCTCCAGAAGCGAGATATTCTCCCGTTGGGGCAGTCTTCGAGACTTGATCGGCGTTGACCCACCAAGCAGACATGACAGCCTTGCTGTCCCAGGCGCTTGATGTGCACACTGCAAGATCGCCTGCTTGCGCCAGGGTAGAAGGTGGAATTGGGTCTTCCGGACTCAGCTTGTTCTTGACGATGACACTTGCAGCGCCGTCGAGGTCAGCATGAATGTAGACATCACCCTTCTTCAGATAGCGTCGGTATAGAATCTCGTTCTGCTGGGCATCTTTTCCGGCAAGCACAAGATAGCCGTCTGAGGACACGAACCAAACGAACTTTTCAAACCAGAACTGCTTCCGTACAGGCCTCAGCACATCCTTTTCTTGCTTGAGGTCTTTCTTGAGCTGCGCCTGGACTTTTTGCTCTGTTGACTTGATGGCCTTCTTGGATGCTTGTATGGTCTTCTCCTGCTTGACAGCTGCCGTGCGCTTCTGGTCGTAGTATTGTCGTGCATTCACCCACGCGGATTGAGCGAGATCAATGTCGATAGTGAGTCTCTTGTCCTCAGATTTAGATACCGTCTCCTTCTTGCCCTCGTCTTCACTATCGGAAAGCTCGCTGTCAGTCTCATCGGCATCGTCGTCCTCGTCTTCCGCGCCCAGCTCGGAAAGCAGCAGCGTCATGGTATTCTCATGCAGTTTTAGAGGTAGCTTGATCAGCTCAGCAACAGGATTGTGCCTCTTCTGTTCCTGTTCGATCAAACGTCCGATGTCCTCCCAGTCCATTCCTTGAGCTATCAGACCGTTCACTGCCGCTGCAGCCTCTTCGACCCGTTCCACATTGGCTTCAATGGCCTGAGCTCTGCGCACATGCAACTCAGCCGTCTGCTGAAGGCCATTGATACGCTGCTCTTGCTCCTTCTTCGCATGTTCTATCCGCTGCTTCGCATTCTCCTCCTTCTCAGCCAATTTCGACTCCAACTTCTGACCTTCGATCGAGGAGAAAAATTCGTCTACAGCTGCATTGAAACCATCGTGCTCAAGGAAGACGTTGGAAGGATCTTCGACAAGCTGAGCTGGCTTGAAGGGATGAAAATCCTCATACATAAGGCCTCTCGTGCTGTCTGCATTATCGTCACCCTCTTTCTCCTGCGCCGGGGTCTTTCTTTGAGCGAGAATGTAGCCTTTCGCCACAGGCTGGCTCGTGATATCTTGGATGACACTTTCAGCAACTTTCAGAGCTTGCATCACTTGATCGAGCAGCTCATCACTGTCCACAACCAGCTGCGGCTCTAGCTCACGATCAACCTTCGACACATGGATAGCATGATCGAGTAGTACAGGCGGGAATTGAGTTGTAGTCACAGCCAATGCCTTTCTCAGCGCATCCCCTGCCTTCTTCTTGATCTTCTTGCCCGGCTTGCTGGCCTGCTCTGCTTGCTTCTGCGCCGTCTTCTGCAGAGCTTCCTTCAGCCATTCTTTCGTCAAATCTGGAATTCCGTCCGCATTCTGCCTTAGCGACAAATTGTATTTCAAGCCCGCACGATATTGCTCATGCTCCGCGCCCTCGCTGACACTCCTCAGCAGAGCCAGTGTGGTGTACTCGTTGTCAGTAAGGATGACGTTGCCGCCAGCGTAGAATTCCAGAAACAGCCGGTAGACGCCATCAGCGTGGCCAAAGGTGAGCTCGATGACTCGATCGGTGCCGATCTGCCTGACACCTGTACATCGCCGAGTCCGGAGATACTTGCGGAGTCGCGATACAAAGGGCGAAGGAGCGGTGGCAGTGGCGCGAGAATAGTTGGACAAGTGACAGCGGAATCCAGAGTCGACGATCAGCTGTTGGCGCTGCTCCGGCTTGTGGAATTTGAGAAGGAAGATGCGGGATGATAGATCGTAGACATTGGCCAGGCGAAGGGAGGTCAAGCTGTTGTTGAGCTCGTGAGCAATGACTCGCACGTCCAATGACGAGAATCGCTGCTTCATCTTGAGCCGATACAAGTTCCAGAGAAGTTGAAGTGAGAATTGTGAAGACGATGAAATGCCACTCAAACAATGCCGTCATGGCTGCTTCAATGTCGCGACACGAGCCCAGAGAAGCCTCGATGCGGGGCAACGTTCACTATGGTCTTTCTCTACTGCCCTCGCCCCTGTTCCAATCACTGTCTATGGACATTCCACCCACGAGTCCGTTGCCATCATAGGATGATATCACTGGTGGTGTTCCGTCAACGACGACATTGTGCGCCAGTATGGGTATCCGCCTGTGGCGGTCAGGAGACGATCCTGCTGTCGGGACATCAGACACAATTGTTCGGTCTTGCAGATCATTTATGCTCCTGTGTGCTGTGGGAAAAGTTCGAAGCTCGAAAAAGTCCTAGGCCAGCGACTGAGCACGATTGGTATCAAAGAGGCAATATTAACAGAAGCTCATTCAACGTTTGCAAACAGTCAGCATGTTCTGCCCTTTGCGCCTGCACGAACACTTTTGTAGTCACACTCCATATTCGAGGCACTTTTCCTGGTTCCTTGCAGTGAACCACGCCCTAGCAAAGGGAAGGGCAAGGCCATCAAGGAAGTGTCATTCAAGGAGCCAGTCGATAATGGTGACAGCCAATCAGAAATCCGACTCTGATGATGACAGCCAATCTGATCGTACCACCGACAGCAACAGCGGCAGCGACCGCGACGATGAGAAATTTGCCTTTGCTAGCAGCAAGGAGATAGGCCGAGCATGTGCTGTACACGAGACCTTGTCCACTCTTGTACGAATGGTCACGAGCTTCGATGATCGGATCGAAATATCGAAGGCACGTTTTGCTCGACATTGGTGACAATGGCCCTGTGCAGCCAGTGCGTCAAGCTCGATCAGAGGAAAAGAGTCGTCAACATTAAGTGTCCTCGTTTCTACAGTCAAAAGTAGTGAGCAGTGTGCTTGAGAGCTGTTCTAGCAAGGTTTACCTTGCAAGGGTTGTGATTGCACAAAACTTTGCTTCTACTCAACACGTTCTTAAAGAGCAGCTCTGTACATCCCATATCAAGCTCCTGCGCGCTTATTATTGTTGTACTTCTGCAATCATCGACGAGACGAAGCTCACGGCCGTGGACGCAGTTGTCGTGTGTCGAGCGTTTTCGGCGAAGGAAGGCACAACACGACCATAGATGAGGACGACATAAAATGCCGATAGACCGGGCCATTTCGCTTCCTCGATCTGGCACGCGAGCTGCGCAACATGGTCTACTGTAAGCTGCTATGTATCCCGGTAGCATCGAGCAGCTACGAGCTGATGCACAAAACTTGCTGCTATCCCGCAATACTAAGGACTAATAAGCAAATCGAGGTTGAAGGCAAGGGGATCTTGTATGGAGAGACTACGAGAGAAATCGCCATCTATTGCTCAAACACTTACAAGCAAAAGTGCCGGAAGAAGAGGGTCGTAATAAACAACGTAGGCGAGAACTATGTACGTTAGGACAGGGCGACCAAGCTGCACACCTGGGCGCTGCTTTAGGAGGTTGACAAGCAGATCGCCATGTTTAAGAAAGTTCGAGTTCATCTCACACTAGACAACTCTGTAGTCTCAAGATTCGAAACTCGAATAGAACGCTTTAAGAGAGTTTGTGTAGCTGTGAATTAGCATCTCTACTACATAGTGTCCAACCTCGCTAACAGCTTAGGTTTAAAGGCTATAGAAGTTATCGTGGACGCGTCGGAGTTCAGAACCCCGGATAACATGTCCGCGTCTACCGCCGAAAGTATATTGCAGCGAGCGCTGTAGCCATTAACGTTTCTCGGAGAGCGCAGGTTACTTCGCCTTACTAAGGTTCCTTCGAATGTCGAGCGGTATATTACATTTAACCTCGAGACAATACTAATCCTATAGAGCGGAGGTCTGTTCAGTACAGGAAACCACGCTATCGCTAAGTGCAAGAAAATCCAAAAGTATATAAAGATCTTCGAGCACTAAGTATCGTTTAAGCATAAAGGACTCGCGCGCTATACAGCAATCTGGAGATATCCGGCGCGCTTGCTTTACGGGCACTCTACGTTTATCGATTATAGCTTCGTAGACGGCTTAGCGCAGGGGGTCCGCGATATAGAAGCGTACCTTAATAACCCTAGTATTATTAAATTAAATCGCAGATGGACTAAGTAGATAAGCTCGCGTCAAACTCGCGGATGTAAGAACGCGGCAGTAGAGGGCAAGTTAAGGTAGTAGAGACCAGTAGTTATCGTCGACGAGCTCTGATCGGCTGCCTGTCGCAAGGCTATCTAATAAATAGATGCCATTAGGTTTGGAGCCTCCGAGCAGCTAGGGATAGGCTAGGTATAGCTTAAATATCTCTGCGGTTCGAGGCGTTTGCGAGCCACGAGATGTCGCAGCAGTCCAATACGCCGTCTTAAACACATTCCAGAAGCATTGCGATAATACGTTTTATGCTTCCATGAGATGGCTGCCAAGAATGCCACTGCTTCCGCAGACCAGTCTGTCTACCAGAAGTAGGGCTCGATGGTCAACTACTCGCCCGGGAAGTTCACTTGCTGCTGCGATTTACAAGCGGCAGGTTCTGTCATTCTAGATGATCGAAGTTGTCGAGCGCTTGGAACTCCGGTATCCAGGTAGGACTACTCAAACGACATTCGAGGTACTTCGGACTATGGTCAGTTATTGAGAGCTGTTTGGTCACAGCACTGATGCAAATGGACAATTCCGATCGACATAATGCAGAACAACATTCTGCACAAAGCTATGCTTGTTGAAGGAAGGAAAGCCCGAAGACTGCATGAGGTCGAAGTGGCCGCTTGGCGGGGAATCCGGAGACAATTGCGCATTCATTTTCTCCGAAAGCATCAGTTTCCTTGCCGCTCCAGATGGTTGTGCTATTGTACGCCGCCTCAATCGATCAATTTATTAGGAGTGCCTTGTTGTCGTGCTGTGAAGACAAGTCTCGGCGCCGTCGGCCTCGCGGGCCAACTGCCCAGACGACGCGTCGGCAGCACCTTCCCAAAGCAGGAAAGTCGGCGCGTGTGCGGGGTCCTCGCTGGCTGAGACGAAGATGCACTCTTCCTTCTGGTACTACGCAACGCGGCGGCGGACTGACGGCGAAGATAGCTGTCTCAATGGAGCAGTTGGATACTACGCTCGAGATTTATCCTTTGAAAAGCTGTGCCGCCCTCAGACGTAGCGACTGTCAGACGGGCAAGACCGCGCCAACTTGTTCACCCGAGCCCCACTCCAGGCCTTCGAGGCACTCTACTCGGCAATCTTTATATGGTCCGCTAGCTTTGTAGTCTGTTCTTATCTCGACGACCTTTTGCACTTTCCTCTTAACTATCCTCTCTTCTCTTCATCCTCGCCCATTCTCTTCCAACACCTGCTCAGAGTGCTGGAGAAAAAGTAAAAGTGACAGACTCGGAAGCCCAAGGGTTATTTTCAGCGGCCCATCATGGCTACCCAATCGGTGGCGAACTCACTTCCTGTGAGAACTGCCAAGCAGAACAACCTTCATCCATTGGCCCCTCTCGATCGCAACGAGATCAACAACGCTGTATCGCTCGTACGAGCACAATGGCCAGAAGGAACAGACCTCCACTTCAAGACTATCATGCTACAAGAACCGGCCAAGGCAGAGATGGTGCCATACTTCGAAGCTGAATCCCAGGGATCTCACCTACCGACTATCGATCGAAGGGCGTTCGTCACCTACTATTTACGCATGACGGTAGGCACTGGCGGAAGATTTTGAACTGGTACATATGCTGACATCGACATAGAACAAGTTCCACGAGGCTGTGGCAAATCTTAGCACACAGACCATCGAGTTCAACGCCCGTCTTGGACCTAACATGCATGCCCCCGGCGATGGTGAAGAAATTCTCGCCCTTGAACGAATTGCTCTTGAGGATGAGGGCGTTCAAGCTGAGCTGGCTAAACTCCAATTACCAGAAGGCGCGAAAATTGTGGTCGACCCCTGGATCTACGGCTCAGATGGTGTCGACGATGACGAGAGAATGTGGCAATGCTGGCTCTACATGCGTGACCCCAACAACTCCGATGAGGCCGATTCCTGCCACTACGCCTTCCCTCTTACACCGGCTCCTGTCATTTCCACAGTCACCATGAAGGTCATTCGGATCGATATAATGCCAACTGGCAAGGACGCTACTCCGACCGGACCGAAGCCTTACAAGCCCGTGCCACCGAATGAGTATCTTCCAGAATACCAGAAGCTGAGGACAGACCTCAAGCCTCTCCAGGTCGTCCAGCCTGAAGGTGCTAGCTTTTCAGTCGAGGAGCATGGCACGAGCAGCATCGTCCGGTGGCAGAAATGGGAGATGCGGGTCGGTTTCAATCAGCGTGAAGGCATGGTGGTGCACAACGTTCAGTACGAAGGCCGCCAGCTATTTTATCGCCTTGCACTTTCGGATATGAACATCCCTTACGCGGATCCTCGAGCGCCGTTCCACCGAAAGTCGGCATTTGATCTTGGAGACGCAGGAGCTGGTATCATGGCCAACGATCTTAAGCTTGGCTGCGACTGTCTTGGAAGCATCCACTACCTGTCAGCAGTACTCGCGGACGACAAGGGCAACCCACTCGATATGCCAAACGTGGTCTGCATCCATGAGCAAGATGGTGGAATTGGCTGGAAGCACACCAACTACCGAACTGGCCGTGCTGCCATCGTGCGTAACAGAGAGCTTGTCCTGCAATCGATCATCACAGTCGCCAACTATGAATACATCATGGCATTCATGTTCAACCAAGCTGGCGAAATGAGCTACGAAGTCCGTGCAACCGGCATTCTGTCAACGCAGCCGATCGACGAAGGCATCGAAGTGCCATGGGGAACAGTCGTTCACCCGGGCGTACTTGCAGCTCACCACCAACACATCTTCTCCCTCCGCGTAGACCCCATGATCGACGGCCACCGCAACCGCCTCGTCTACGACGAAGCCCACCCCCTCCCCCGCAGCGACCTCAACCCACACGGAACAGGCTACATCTCCACCGAAACCATCGTCGAAGCCAGCGGAGGCTACGACGTAGACTACACCTCCAACCGAATCTTCAAAATCCAAAACGCCAACAAACGTAACCCCATCAATGGTAAACCCTTGGCCTACAAAATCCACGCCCCACCATTCCAGAAGATCCTGGCCGATACCGAGTCTTTCAATTACAAGCGTGCAGAGTTCTCCGATCATGATATCTATGCTACCAAGTACCGTGACGATGAACTCTATGCGGGCGGAAAGTATACGAATCAAAGTCGCGGCGGCACCGGTGTGAGATCTTGGGCTAATCGAAAGGATAATATTGTGGATGAGGATCTTGTGGTTTTTGTGCAGTTTGGTATTAACCATGTGAGTTCTGACTTCCCCGCCTTCTTTCCATATCTCTTTGACATATCACTAACGGGAGATGTTATTAGATACCTCGCATTGAAGACTTCCCTGTCATGCCTTGCGAAGTCATTAAAGTGGCGTTCAAGCCTGTGAACTTCTTCGATAAGAACCCGGCTTTGGACGTGCCTCCCAGCACGCAGGACACTAACAAGAGTGTCCTGTTGAGTGGGAATGCAAGCAAGACCGAGGCGCAATCGAATGCTTGCTGCGCCGTTGACGGGAAGAGTAGTAGCAAGTTGTAACGCACATGATATGCATATGTATGACCAAAGTATGAGAAAGCCACAGATTTCAGAATGCGTGCCTTTCTCCGGAGTGATGGAATCTTCTTTGCCTGATAACTCATCAGCACCGCACGAAGTCGAGCTGCGGAGATTTGTGTGAGATACTACTGCCTTGCGTTGAAGCGCACGTGAGATAGTGGCTGTCTTCGATGAAAGAGTGCAGCCTCTGCTACTCAGCCCAAGGAAGGAAGAAAGAAAAAGGCAAAACGGCGCTGCAGAGCACCGCCTGAGAAATGGCCACATGCACCTCCCGGCGACGGAATGCCCTCTTTCAGCAATCCGTGAACTTCCTACAATATATCCCACGTCCTCTATCAATCGACCTTGACTGCCGGAAGCTTGATGCCATTGTGACGTGCGGGAAGGGAAGCATGCGGTGCTATGTATGCACGCCATCGGCTTACACACGAGAGTTTCAATAACAACCCATTCGATATGCATACTGCGCAGGTACGTACAACGCAGCAAGCAAGAAAGGCACGGGATAGGAGTCTCCACGCTGGGTGCCGCATGATGATGTTGAGAGGCGGACCTGAGAGCAGTATGTCCACGTGAAAGCAACATAGTTGGCCACACCAAAAAGCGGTAAGCGTAACATAGCCAAGTTATTGGACGCCACCGAGCTGCACGATCTTGACCTTTTGCATTGTTTAGCTTTAACTTTACCGCACACCTTGAGAAAGGTGAATGATCGCCCCGAGGCTTCGTTAGGTATTGGATATCACTCGCTCGGTTCACGGCTACGAGCTACGAACTCGTGGGGAGGAGGGTGATCGCGGAGCCTCTGGCTCAATTCGCTTCTGTTTCGGAGAATTCTACCGACTGGTTCGTTTATTGCTATATGGACGACCATAGGTCGCACTACTTTGATGATCGCCAAGGGCAGTTCGTCTTTCCTTTGCCGGCCGGTGCTTCTTGCTTTTCGATGACCAGGTGGTCGGTAAGTTTGCATCTGCCGTCTGTTCTAAGGCATAATGACAGACGCGGTGAGGTTCAGGACACGTTGGTTTGCTTGGGCGAAGTATGCTCATGGTATCGGGTTTCGAAGGCATCCTCTTTTCACTTCGTAGTTTCGATGTCGGTAGTGTGCTCGATGCCGAAAGTCGAGTCAGTCAAGCGCGGTGCCCTCGTTTCCTCCCGTTCTGAACGATGCGTATACTTTCTGTCAGGCAGCTCTCGGAGAAAGGCGTTTGAGCGAAAGTGGTAATAATGCGTGGGATAGATGGTGGTTTGCGAGTCATTGACCACGCGCTTGAAATCGGCTGAGATGGCGAGCCCCGGCTGATGCGAGCAATCCTGCTTATATTTGAAAGTGCTTGCGAGAAGCAGGAATTGGGCTGACACACTTCGCACTCCAAATGAGTGGCGCACCAGCTCACATGATGGGCAATGTGGTCAGTCGCGATGACGGTTCCTGCAGGGCTGTGAGTGTCTGTGATCTGCGGAATCTCGATGCCATTCGCCTCCTCCAGCGATGGACCTGGTTGTGGTGCCTCGCAGTTGGGCTTCCGCGTGGCCTGGCCAATCGTGGCTGCCCTTCGCGTGCCCTCCGTCCCTTGGAGTGTCTCACTGACCTGCCCATATTTTGTGCTTAGCCTGGAGTACTTGATACAGATCGTTTCAGAATTTGGACCGCGCCTGGCCGCTCGGTTGTTGATATCCGTATCATGAGGGCTCGAAGTGCGGATTGATCACGTCGCATCATGGCGACGCGTCGGTGATGGGCTGAGGTCGAGCGGCAGTGGACCTGCATGTTATTGTACGAACCGAGCGCGCTGCATGTCCCGCCGAATGTGTATCGATCGGACGCGTTAGCGTCACCGGTGGTGTTCATGTCACTGCACCTGCCGTCCGTCAAGCATGCTGTGGCACGTGTAACATTTGGCGCTGCATTGGCTGTGTCTACGCGATGCCGACAATGAGCCTCCAGCAGCAGTCGGGCGGCCTGGAGGCGTTTCAAGAAGTGCTGGAGGGCATGTTGGCTGCGGCCAGTCGCGAGGTGGTGCGCATCATGAGGGCCAAAGGTTATGCACGACATCGCCCTGTCACAGCGGAGCGTGATTACTGAGCACGAATCGGGCTTAGGGCTGCTCGGCGACCACCAAGAGGAGAACGTGAACCTTGCGCGGAGCATCGAACCAGGACACTGTGGGGACGAAAGCGTGGGATGTCTGCTGGCGGCTTCTCTCATCACCACCAGCAGCAGCAACTGGCGCATCGCATCGGCGCTCAGCCCGCGAGCGCGAGAGCTGCGAGCTGCGCTGGCCGAGTCCATCGGCATCATGCCGCCTGATGACATGCCGCAGATGCCGAAACCGATGGCCAGGTCGAGCTCGCCGCCGCGATGATGGCCAGCAGCAGCAGCGGCGCGGCGGCGTGCAGCTGTCTGTCGCCTGCTCGACGATCCACCACCCATTGAGCGACGAGCCTCCAACGTTCGTCTGCATTCGCAGGGGTGCTGCACCGGGTCATGGCCTCAGAGTTGTGCTTCTCTCCCAAGCAGTACGACCCCGGCACGCGGAGCAACATGTGCTGACCACACACCACAACAGCAACCACCGCGACCATCAGCGCCACCCGTCTAAGCGGGAGGAAGAACGAAGCACGCGCACGGCACCATTGCGGCCTGCCACCGCCATAGGGTTGCCATTCCTCCACGACTTCACCGTCGTTCTTAGCGGCCTGGCGAGCACTGGCGATCGCCCATTGCTCTGCTTCCCATTCTGAGCTCAGCCTTGACTCGCGAAACGACCCCGGTCGACGATTCTCCACTTCCAGCTCCATGTGGTACATGCTCTATTTCCCACATTCGTGCTAACGCCTGTGCCTCTTCTTATTGCCTGCAACCGTGGACCCTGCGAGCGATACCTGCGCGTTTCGCACTCTCTCTTCGACTGCAGACCTCGCTCCGACAGCTCTTCCCATCGTAGCCGTCTAGGAGTTGGCGCCGCTCAGCACGGGATACATGCTCGGTCTCATTGGCGCCTCCATGCTTCACCTTTGCCGTCATCTTGCCTCCCGCCCACGATCTACCTCGCAAAGTCTAATCCTCGCCGTATAGAGTGTCGTCTCGAGGCCGTCGGTGGGAGGGCAGGATTCTGCATGGGACCAGTATCATATCTACGATCTGGGAGGAACCCGCCGCGAATTCATCCAGTTCCTGTCGCTACCCATATACCCATACCATCCGCCCTCCGGCATTCAACCTTCGCCTAAGCCATGGCCGTAACCGCATTCACACCACCGCCGGAGCCGCCAGTCACCTTCACATCGAATCGTGAAGCCAAGGGAAGCATTGTGTCCTGTTCAGACAGGTCAACATATTCGACATCCAGCTCGTGGCCGGAGCTCACCAGTCCAATTTTCTCAACTTCCGCCAAGGCCTTCATCGTTACACCCGAAAGCCTCAACGACTCACCATGTGCCATTGTACCCAAGGTGGAAGAGCTCGATGACGGCGCGAGTTCATTGAACAAAGTCCAGGATATCGTCGAGGCTAAACTCTATCACGCGGAGGAAGGTCCTCGAAAGCGCGGACGGCCGCGAAAATATCCTGTTGTCGAGCAAAAGAAGTCGACGCACATTAGATCGAAAACAGGATGCAAGACTTGCAGAAGAAGGAAGAAGAAATGCGACGAAGGGCGACCTTCTTGCCAGAATTGCGAGAAGAACAATGTTCTCTGCGAAGGCTACGAAGATAAGAAGGCTTGGCGGAGTGGCAAGCAGAAGGCTCTGGAGCAGGATCCTTCGGTCGAGCAGAAAGCTCAGGTGCAATCAGCGTCCTTGGACCCGGCCGTTGTGAAGCAAAATTCCCCGGTCGAAATGAGGACAGTCGTCGCTCGCCCCATGCCCGTCCAACAGGCCTGGGCTTCTGAGGATGACTATATGACCCAGCGTTTTTGGTGGCACTATAAGGAGACACTCAGTGGAGTGCTATCTGTCAACGACCACTACAACCCATTCTACAAGCTGGTACTACCCATGGCAATTCAGCATGAAGGCGTCAGGGCCAGTGTGCTCTATCTATCAGCAAGCTCGCTGATGGCAAATGCGACAACCGTGGACGAGTTAATGTTGGCGCGGCAAGCAGACGCTTGCACCAACGCGGTCACCTCGCTCAATGAACAAATCAGCAACCTTAGACTCGGCGACGCTGGCAGTAACGAGCACGCCGCGGCATCTGTGAGTGACCCTCTCATTGCACAGACGCTATTGCTCTGTTTGCAAACAATATGCAGCGGCGACCTGGAGGGGAAATGGCAGGGCCACATTCAAGCCTTGAAGTACATGCTCTCACAGACGCCGCTAGCATGTGCCGATACGCAATTCCGGCAATTTGTCTTGGAATTCCTGGTATACCACGACTACTCCAGCGCGATCACCTCATTCGAGAATCCGCTCAACGATCAAAGCTCGCAACTAATGGAGAGTTTTGGATTGCCAGCCATTGCGCAATCTCACGCTGCCACATTACTCGGTGTCACGGATGGCTTGTTTGGATATATCGCACGGATCCGAAAACTAAGAGACGAGCTTCGATACGAAAGCAATCACGGAGTCATACCAGCGACCAGTTACGCGGAAGCGCATAGCTTGCACGAGGAGCTTGCAAATTGGGTCTGCCCCTACGCAGAAGACACACCACGATATTGGGCCAGTCTGCTATACCGACAATGCGTCTGCCTTTACCTCCACCGCACCACGATGCCATCGAAACCATGCACCGCCTTCAAAGTGGGCGTTGACGACGGACTGGAGTACCTGCGCCGCCTCCCTCGCGAAGGAGACGACAGCGCGACTCAGAGCATCCTTCTCATGCCGCTTTTCCTGCTCGGCTGCTCTGCCTTTGAGCTTGCACAACGCCTGGAGATCGCCGAGGCTTTCGACCGACTACAAAACTGGAGCTCGCTGGGAAATATCAAGTACGCGCGGGAGATCGTGCAGGAGATTTGGCAGATGATGGACGATGGAAGAGCAGAAGAGACGTGGTACTGGGAAGGTGTTATCCAAAGACGAGGCTGGAATTTTCTGATCACATGAGCAAGGATTTTTACACTGCTCTCACCGGAGCCCGCTTCTCCTTCGACAAAGCCACGGCCGGCCTGTCAGTAACACGGACGACACTTGACGACATGCCGTGCGGTCAATACTGGACAACAGTACCAGGTACCTTCACCACTGGATACGCAGGCGCAGCTGAAAACGAACAACATTTTAACATGTCTATTTCTCGGATTTGTTTCACGGTTTGGGGACAGGAGGACTTCTGGCATCACGAAATTTTCGATTCATGAAAAGTACGACAGTGCCAACAACGCTCACGAGAGACCAAGACGAACAGAGCCGGATCTCAGAGTAGGAGGGCGCACTACGACGGAAAACAGAAGTCGGCGCAAAAAAGAGTGCGCAACAACAGGAGCATATGCGACGCAGAGGAAGGGACGGGCATGACTTGATGGAAGCATTTGGTATGGAGTTGTTTCTTTGGGACGAATTCCTCTTGGGTTTTTGTATTGATATGACTTATGTTTGCATTGGATTGGTTAACGAGATGGGAGGGAATGGGACTGATCTAGAAATTTGAGCGTGGGAGGAGGTGTGGCTTCGAGAGTCCTCTATTGCACCAGCTCGAAAGGCTTCTGAGCACGGGGTGGCAGCGCTGTTTCGGCAGCAGGAGGAGGCTGATTTCGGTATTCTTTCGTGTATAAAGCTATTCATTTATGAAAGAGCAATGAGCTCTGATATGCTTACTTCAATGGTACTTACCACTCTCACATCCAAACACTTAGCTTTTAGCAGCTCACGTTTAGGAGCCACTTGTCTGACTGTGCAGAGAAGGTGCTGTTCGGTGATGGTCGCTGTCAGTGCCACGTACGGCAAGTGTCATGTACGATACCAGGCACTCCCTGACTCGAAAGACACACTACGAGATGAATTCTGTCTGCCATTGGGCTGCAGAGCAACACCAACTTACGCCTTTGGCATCATCGGGCAGCAAGCAGCGCGACGGAGTTTGAAAAATTGCATGCAGGATTTGCCTTGTCTCTACAGAAGCTCGAGAGAAGGTCGCAAATGTTTCGAGTTGTTAGCGAGGCAACATCTACCTCCTACGCTTTTGTACGACATTGCGGGTGAGGATAGTCCGGAGATGATGGGAATTTCTCCGGAGAATGGGGCGTATGCAGTTGCTGCTGTTGTGTCTCTCGTCATCGTCGCATATTTGAATCTGTGTGTGCGAGCCGACTGCAGACAGGCATGCTTTCCTTGCTTGATGTCTGCGCAGATCCGGTTGTTTGCATGTTCGCCCGAGTGCAGCCGGTGGATCCTGGTGTAGCAAGGATGATGGCTTGCTGCAGTTTTGTTCCTCGGAGCTCCAGGCCCGGCCGGGGACAGATTTGTTGAGAGGTGCAGTAGATGAGCAATGAGAGTGTGGTTTGGGGAGGGAGCAAAATGAGTGAGGGATAAGGTGAAGATCTAGATGAGTCGACTGAGGCCTTGACTCGAGTTTGGTGTTCGACTGGCTTCGACGAGCGTGCAGTAGAAATGTGATGGCGGCTGGGGTGGTGAGGATGATGATGGAAGGTCGCGCTGCGGAGATGACGTAGGTTGCAGATTGCACATGGACGGCTGGGAAGGTCCCCCTCAGCTGCACTCTGCAGTGACTCTCTGCATTGCGACTGCACTCTTTGGCTCTTGGACCGACCTCAGCGACGGCAGCTGCGAACCACAAGCAACCGCGGTGCGTGTGCGATCACATTCACCCACACCGGCGACCTCTTCTTCGCGAGCAACTCATCATCGCTCGCTCCATCTCGCAGCCACACGCTGCAGCTTGCTGGGTCAGCTGAGGCGCAGTGCAGAGTCCGGTGTGTGTTTGTCGCACCCTCCATCGCAGCCTGATCCGCCCTATACTGCGCGCGACCGACGCAGAGAAACGCTTCGCTCCGACTACGACAACGACCTGAGAACGACCATCGTATCCCCTTCCGCGGCCTAGCAGGGCCCGAAAACCTGCCATCATGTCCGTCCGTGGTACTCGCACAGTCTACCGCGAGACCGACGTCGAGCGCGAGAACGAACCCAGAGGCTCCTATACCACCATCAAGCGCTACAAGGTCCCCGAGTCAATCACTCGCTCCGTCTACGACAATCAAGATGAGACCGTGGACAAGAAGATTGTGATCCGGCGCACCGAACGTCGCGACTCCTCTCCCTCTTCGCACTCGACCCACACCCACAGGACTCACCGTACCCACCACGATCACCACCATGATCACTACGATGATACGGAGTGGAAGATCAAGGAGACCGTCCGCGAGACCCGAGCGCCGAGCACTCACAGTCATCACACTCATCGCACCCACCACCACGAGCACGAGCACGACGATGTGGACATTCGCTTCACAAAGACAACCACTGAGCGTGAGCGGGATCCATCGCCGCGCAGAGTGACGAGAGTCGTCTACCGCGACTATTCTCCTGAACGCGAGCGATCGCGGAGTGAATTCAAGGTGGTAGAACGTGAGACTGAAGTGACACGTGCTCCTTCACCACCATCTCCAGAGCGCACGCAGACACGAACTTGGCGCTTCGAGCGTGAGCGCTCCTTCTCCCCACCTCAGCGTGAACGTGAGCGGCCATACGACATTGAGCGTTACAGCAAGAGCACTGAATACTTTCAACCAGCGCCGCAACCAATCGTCATTCGAGAGTCGACCCCGCAACCACCAGTGATCATTCGCGAAGAGCGCCGGGATCCCGCACCTATCATTATTCGCGAGGAGCGGCGGGAACCGCAGAGAATTATAATTAAGCGAGAGGAGCCGCAGTATGAGTTCGTGGAGCGTGAAGAAGTGCGTGACGAGACCAAATCCCTGGTCAAGACCGAGGAGCCACCACCGCCAGCTGTGATACCGGAGCCAGAACCTGAGAAGAAGCCTGAGGAAGATTACTTCTATGAACGCAGAGTCATTGAGCGTAGGAGACGGAGCGACAGCTATGACCGTAAGTCGGAAATTCGGCCTCGCGACAGTGCATCCCAAGGATATCACAGTGACGACAGCTACGAATACGTCCGACACGAGACGAGATATGAGTCCGATGATGACAAAGGCAGTCGGAGACGCAACCTCGCAGGAGGAGCCATTGCAGGCATTGGCGCCGCAGAGATCCTCCGGCACCATCGAAAGCGCCAGGGTGAAGAAGTAGGTGGCAGACTTGGCAACGTTGCTGGCGGTGCCGCGCTCGGTGCTGTAGGTGCTGAGGCTATCAAACGGTTCCGCAGCAAGTCGCGGCGCCGACATTCTGGAAGTCGGTCGCGAAGTGGAGAGCGTCATCACGGAGAGCGACGACACAGAAGGCATCGATCGAGGTCGCGATCTGAGGACCGTGGCTTTTCGTTTGACAACTTGTCCAATGGCCAGAAGGCATTGGGTGGTTTGGCTGCGATAGCTGCTGCCGCTGCTGCAGGATATGCCATCAAGAATCGCAACAAGGAGACTGTCATTGTAAACGATCGCATCCACCACCGCAGTAGGTCGCGGAGACGCCGTCATAGTGCTGACGAGTATATTGGCGACGACATTGCTGAGCATCGGGACCCTGGCCACCGAAATCGACGCATTGCGCAAGCTGGTCTGGCTTCCGCTGCAGCTGCTGGCATTCTGGAAAAGGTCCGATCCCGTAGCAAGGGCGGCCGCGAACGTAGCAAGTCGCGAATCCGAACTGGTGTACCAATTGCTGCAGCTGGTCTCGGTGGAGCAGCCTTAGCTGGCCTCTACGAAAAGAACAAAGCCAACAAGGAGGCCAAGAAGGAGGCGGTCATTGAGGACGAACTGAACAGAGGCAGACACAGAAGCCGCTCTAGGAGTCGTTCTGTGCGCCACCCGGACATGATAGCATATGGCCACGAACCGATTCATCCTGAAGATCGTCCTTACTACAGCGATGAGGAGCCTGGCAGATACCGACGTCGCGGTGGCAGCCACAGCAGCAGCCCTGATACGCGACGCCGCAGTAAGAGTCGGAGACGCCATCTTGCTGAAACTGGAGCTGCTGCTGGTGTCGCTGCTGTTGCGGCGCATGAGATTGGCAAGAGACGGGAACGTAACAGGTCGCGTGACAGTCGATCCAGGAGTCGCTCCCGATCGAGACCCGGTGCCAGGCGTACGTGAAGACCTCCACATAACCGAGTGTGCATTGCTAACATGGAGCCGCAGGAGATGACGATTACTACGATGACAGGCGCGATGACCCATACGGGCCACCACCTATGGGACAATCTGACTACCCACCCTACCAGAACAACAATCCTTACCCACAAGGAGGACAAGCATATCCTTCGAGTCATTACTTCCCTCCTCCACCGAATGCCGACTATAATCACCCTCGTGGTAATATCGAGCCTCAACCAGAGTATGCGCACGCACCGTACAACCCCGCCGAGTATGCTGGTCAGCCAGCCACACAACAACCCTACGATAATCAGTATGCTGGTTACGGCGAGCAATACCCTGCAGATGCATATGCGGGCGATCAACGATATGCTCGCGACCCTCACCCCGACAGTGGGCGGAGAGGCAGAGATCCTGAGAATGTGAGTGCGCCACCGCCTAGCGTCGAAGAATATCAGCAAAACCCGCAAAATCAGCAAAATCAGCAACATGTACAATACGAGCGCGAATCTCAGGACGGCGGAGGAGGTGCGTCCTGAGAACCCGCCAATTTGGTTTTGTGTCTGACTTTAGCATAACTGACGAATTTCTTGTCACAGATGGTGTAAAGACTCCGCGTCCTCGCTCCACAAGTCGAGTGAGATTTGATCTCGAATCGAACATCGCCCATTCTCCCGATTCTTCCCGTCGTAAAGACGATGCGAAGCGTGACGATCCTTCCGAGCAGCGACACAGTGATACCGAGACCAGCGACGATCGCAAACACCGCCGTCGACATCGTCGAAAGGGCAAAGAACGCGAGCGCGATGACGATCGAGACCGGCATCGGCGCCACGATGGGGACGATGGTCGCGGCAGTCGTAAGCGTGACAGCACGGGTTTGATGCATGACAAGTATGATCGCGACCCAACGGACTCTGATAGTGTCATCGAACTTCCTGAGCGCTTCGACAAGCATGGCAATCCCAAGCCGGAAGACCCTCTCGCTGCTAAGATTAATGATCTGCTTAGTGGTCGTGGCGGCGGAGGGGATCTGTTCAAGACGCTGGCGGAGGGCTTTTTAGGTCGTGGTGGTGGTAGTGAGTCGCATGATGGCGGGGATGAAGAAGAAGGCCGTAGGAGGCGGAGACGTTCGGATCGGTGATCGGATTGATGTTGTTGCTGATGATGATGCTGATTGAATTGAAAAGAATGGGGAATTTGATTTGGGGTGCGGAGAAGATGGAAACGACAGCTCAGTGCTGATATTGGCTTGCTCGTTGCTTGGTGATTGGGTTTAGAGGTCCCCCTTTTTCCCTTCTTGATAACGATGCTACGACACGATTGACGATTCTTGTTATGAGAATGCTTTTATGAGAAAACATATGTATAGATGAGAACTTCGGGTCAATGACGAGAACAATTTTCCTACCAAATTTTCCGAGTCACTGTACTCACCGAGCGGTGCTGTTTCGTTCGGCTGTTACTCTCTTCCTTATAAGCATGGTGACACTGCCGGCATTGGGCGTAGACTTATTGTGCCAGCGGTTGCCTTTTGTGACGACCGCGATGGGGATATGGCTCCATGAAGGCTAGATTCGACGAAGCGAAGTGTTGAAACGGGATGGATGGGCTGTTAGCAGTTTCGAATGGCGGAATGCAAAGCTTGGTCAAAGCCCTCGGTTGCGCGCAGAAACAAGGAGAAGAGACAGGGAAGAGTGATAGCTGTCGACAGAGAAGAGTGTGCATATGTTCATGATCGTCTGTCTGGAGTTTCTCCGTCCTTTCGCTAGTTCTGTCGATCTGACTGTTTGCGATCGTTCTGAATTCGTTTCGTTCCGCATACATATGCAGGTTTTTGTTTTCTGTTTGCTTCCGTCGTAAAAGGAAAATAGCCACACCTGTTCGTGGCCTTGCCAAATATACAAAAGTTGTGTAAGAAGTGAAAAAGTGAAGTAGAATGTTAAAGCAGCGCAACAAGCATCCGGACATCGTAATCGAAAGTTCTTTCGCAAATGTAGCAAGAATCGATCGACTGGAAATGATGTGGATTGCTGTGAGCACACAGACTCACATCAAGCATCGCAAGCCATATTCCTGACCAACTCCCCATCGACTCCCGCAGCTTCCAGCCTCTGCACATCCAATTTCTCGCACAGCTTCTGCTTATATCCCTTCGCATTGCTCGAATGCACCAGGACATTTGCGAAACTCATACTCGTATACTTCTTGATCTGCTCCTTCCCATCTTCAACAGAAAGAGGTTCCCGAATCGAGCAAATCGTCTGGCTCACACAATCGGCATCGAAGAAAAGATCTCTATAATTTTGTCTATTCTTCTTGGATTTGGATGCTTGACAGAGGTCGCTGAGTTGCTCGGGAGAACTGGCTTGAGCGGCGTAGAGGTATGCGTAGAGTTTGGATTGCGCATCGTTGTATGCTGCGACGGCGGCTTTGTCAGGTTCGGCTCCGTCGGCGCTTTCGAAAGGTTTGGGAGAGAGTTCTTGGGTTGAGAGGTTGCAGGTTGCGTTGATGATGAGCATGTCGTTGAGAGAGAAGCCGGAGACTTGTTCGTAGCGGAGGTTTTCGCAGAGGTAGCCGTATGTTTCGGAATCGCCTGCAGAGAAGGCGTTCTCGAAGAGAGTCTTGACGGTATCGGTGTTTGCTGTTATGACTCGTGGAAGAGCATCGGAGGCTTTGGGGTTGATGGCGTTGCAGACTGGGGTCTGGAGTCGTTCGAGGGAGAGACCGATTTCTCCCCATTTCGATGCTTGATCGTTCGCGATCTTGCCGCAAGTTTCGTCAAGTGATGAGGCGTCGGAGGAGGTGCCGACCAATTGCCATCCAAAGGCAGTGGACTGGCCCTGCTTGATGGTAGTGGATGCACACGGGGGTGCTGGGTTTGTAGAGGCTATGAGGGTCTCGGTCAGACGGTAAGGTCAGGAGCGTAGAGTAGGATATCGGGTACCTGGAACAGGCACGGCGGCAGCAGTGAGGGCCATCGAGGCCGTAACGAAGAGACCGACGAAATGCATGTTTGCTGCAGCTGCGTCGTCCGAACCAGGCAAAGATTGCTGCTGCTGTGCAGTCGGGTCGAGACGGCCGGCGCTTAGAAGGAGAGACTGTACAGGCAACGAGCGACAGTGGTTAAACGAGTGACAAACAAACGAATGTAGAAGTGGTGGTGTGGTGAGAGCTGTACACCTGTCAAAGGTGCGATGGAGTTGCACGGCAACTGAGGAAAGTGCGCAGGGAGCGGTGGTGTAAAGATAGACAGACTCTGCACTGCACAAGTCAGGCGAGTGATGAGGATAGGCACGAACATGGTACTTAGCTTTCGCTGGTATGCATCAGTGTGGTTGTCCGAGCGCGAGAATTGAGTTCTGGTTAGGGGAAAGCGGCTTGGTTTCAGGACGAATTTCGCGTCCAACTCCTACCCGTTCCTTGGTGGCGCTTGCATGAAACTCCCATCTGGCGAATGGCGTCGCGACCTGCGCACTTCAGCAGTCACAACAGCACAGTGAGACCGCCTCTTGATCGAGAAGCTAACAGCTAAATGCAACGGACAGGCGAGCCGAGCTGCTGATTCGGAACTGAAATCTCTGGTCGGCTTCCCCATTGGTCCTCACATGTGGCTGACATGCTTGCTCCTCGTGTCCATGCATGCACTCCGGAAGTACTGTCGTGTGTGTGCAACAGGGCTTGCGTTCTTATACATATTTACATCGCTTCTAGAGCGCGCCATCCTTCCTCATTATCGTCTCGATGGCGGGTGGCTCCTCCAGTAGATTCGTTCGGCCTGCCGAGTTCTCACATGAAATGCGCTCGCTCAGAGGTCCAGGTGCCGGAATCTTTACGCCTTGGGCGGCGTAGCCGAGACCGCCCTGCTTGACTTGGTAGCCTGTTGTCTCGCCTGACACTTTGTCCTTGCCTGCATCGCCTGCGAGGCCTGGCGCCCAGCCGCTTGCGCCCGTCTTCTCTGCGGCCTCCCTCAAAGCTCGGAGGAGATCCTTGGTCTTCTCGGGAGTCAGGTCCTCGTAGTAATCGTCGTTAATCTGAACCATTGGTGCGTTTGCGCACGCACCCAAGCACTCGACCTCTGTGAAGGTGAAGAGCTTGTCTGGGGTTGTCTCGCCATGGTGAATGCCGAGTTCCTCCTCGATCGCCTTCATGATCACATCGCTGCCGACGCCACCGAGCTGGCATGGTGTCTGTCCCTAGTCAGCAATCTCAAGCTGCAGCTCATCGCTTGTATCCCACTCACAGTTGTGCAGCATTGAACATGGAATTTGCCCACAGGGTTCCTGTTGTACATGGTATAGAAAGTGGCCACCTCGTAGACACGCATTGGAGGCATCTCCAGTATCCGCGCAACCTCGTTCATCACGCTGATGCTGGTGAATCCGTGCTGTCGCTGGCCGAGATCGAGAAGGGGCATGACTGCGGCCTTCTTGTATTGTGAAGGGTATCGCGAGAGGACCTCCTTGATCAACTCCTCGTTGACCTTGTTGAACTTGAAGGGAATATCGGGGTTGTTCTCAGGCGTGTTGCGGTGCTGCGCGTACCATTAGTCCACTATGCCCTCTCCTCGCCCTTCCACCGGCCCTGTGCATACCACATTGAGAGATGCGCTCTGTGCTATCCGCGTTGTCTGGAATGTCCTCCTCTGCTCTTTCACCGCGCTTTGGAAAGCCCTCCGGCTCCCTCGGAGGAGCATTGGCGCGAGTTTGGAGGCCATGATGTGCTGTGTGTCGTGCGTCGCTGCGCAGTCGCAGGTGGATGTTCAAGCTGCTCTTGCCATTGCCTCTCAGTAAGCCTCGATCGGGATTGGTGGGTCCTTCCGCTGCTGCACGGACATCTCCTTCGTTGACGACATGGGCTTTGCTTTCGCTCCAACATGCTTCCAGCATACTCCAGCACGATTCCCAGATCTTCAACTGCCCGTCATGAGATCGGCCCTTCTATCGGAGCCTACTTGGAGGTTCCCAGAGCATTGGGACTATTGTGCCGAAGCTTCAACAGACCTATGTCCATTGCTAATAGAACAGCTCAATGCAAATTGCTTCAAGGACATATTCATGGCGATCGACTCACATTCCTCGAATAGACGCGACAGGACGCATAACTTTACATTGCAGTTGTCTCCTACTATAGAGTAGTGCTCTTCGCGCGGATACAGTGACCAGCTGCACTGCCAACAGCCGAGCTATCGCGTTGAGCGTAGCACTGCGAGTCTCCATGGAGCAGGTCCACTTCGCCGTACACTTCGTGCTTCCTACACCCTACGACCCATCTCAACAGTCAAGCACTGCCGCAAGTGTTGCGCATGTAGAATCTTGCTCTGTTCTTGATCAAGTGCTGAGTCTCATGTTCGGCGAAGGCTCGGTATGCTATGTGGCCTCGAGAATTTGCTCCTTCAAAGAGCATTGACAAGCATATAAATTGCTATCAACGCTTGTCGAGACGGTTCTCAGATCTGCTGTCCATTGGGTATCTTAAGCAAGTAAGTCGGGGACAACGCTTGGCTGCATGGCCGAGGAGCCGTGACAAGCAGCGTGCTACAGATTGCCATGAACGATTGGTTGCCATGAACGTAGAAAGCGCTGCCATGGAAGTCCGCTATTTCTGTATACCAGTTCTCGCTGTGTCAGGTTTCGCGAAAGCCAGTCTGTCCAACATCCTTGAGTGCACGCCAGCAAGTGGTTGTATCGCTCGTAGTGATCGTGGTGTGCCGATGAACGCCACAAGTGGCTGGCTTTTGCACGCATGAATAATCAGCAGCCACGACTAGCCACGACTACCCTGGAAACAGATAATCCGGCGAACATACGTTCATGCAAGGCAAACCAGTTCCTTCTGCGCCAGATCTGTCGCATTCATGGCGATGGCGTCTCACACATGACAATAATGTCGTGTCTCAAGAGGCGCAGCATTGGCACCTGGGCAGAGTTTCTTGCCGAGCCTCCACGTAATCACAAGACCCGGTCAACCGTCTTCACATCATTGAAGCTCTGTCCCTCCTGCACTTTGTTTGCTTCTGTTCCAAACATTCAAGGTCATCATCACTACTGATATCGCAAGCACATCAGAGCACAGGCCCATCCACATCGACATCCGACGCGCAAACACATACAGCACATAATGTCCAAATACGTAAGTGGCGCCATCAACCACAATCGCGACTCGCAAGGCATCAACTGATGATCGGTACGCGCATAGGATGGACCTCCGCCTCCGCCAGGCTACCCACAGCAACCTCAACAGGTGCATTACGATGCTGGCCCAGCGCCGATGGGCGGACCCTACGGACAGCCGCCGCAGGGTTACAACCAGGGATACGATCCGAACTACAATCAAGGCTACCCGCCTCAGGGAGGGATGCAGTATCAACAAGGGCCGCCGCCGATGGGATATCAACAATACCCACCCGGACAGTATCCGCCCGGTGGCTATCACGAAGAGCGCGGTGGCGGCAAAGGAGGAGGAATCTGCGCAGGTATTCTAGGTGCACTGGCGTGTTGCTGCTGTTTGGTAAGTTGCTGGTACTTGACATCCGATTCGCCCAGGAATGGTTACTGACGTGGGAATGCGCAGGACATACTCTTCTAAGCGAACGTAAACGGCATCGCCAGCGCGAACAACTTAAGATATGAGCATGGTGTAAGGGGGAAGAGACAGCACTGCGCGAGAAGCAGGCGGCTATGAACAGGGCAGGAAAGTCTCCCTACGGCAGAAACAATTTTTCTTCCCTTTATATGATACACGGCGCATCGGCAAGCATTCGCAGTGCAAGAGCGTGGAGCAGTCGTGACATTTGGGGTTTTGCGTAATGTCTTCTTACAAAGCTATGCATTTCGAATACCTTCAGAGTTTCTAGTGGACTTGCAGCTTCCTCGTACATGCGCTAGCCGCCGCCTGCGCAGACGTTGCCCGTGAAAGCGATATCGTTTCGAGCCTCCGGACATTCAAAACATGTACTGGACAGAGCGCCCTTGTCCGGCCGTACTGAGGGGATGATGATCAAATTGTCCGAGTCGTCGAAGCATCAGTGTACTAAGGAACTCGCACGGTCTGCTGGTCATTAACTACATGTACTGCTGTGAGAGTTACGAAGCTGCCTACTCTCAACTCGACAAGAGTACTACCGATGATTCGCCTTGCGCTTGCATGTAGTGTACACGTATTGTAAGAGAACACTGCGGGCCACCTTGCGCATGTCCCATGTGATGCCATTGAGAACGTTCCTATAACTCCCAGGCCCTGGTCGTTGATGGGATGAGGAACAACTCTACCCGTCATTCGTAAGCGAAGTCACATAGCCTGACATCGCGCATCTAGGATCTCCAAATCGGCGCCGATTGGCTTCAGGGTCCAGACGAGTTGCTCGTCAGCTGTACCAAGCAATGTAATGTGAAGTTTCGGACTGCTTCACTTCGGTGGCTCTCTGCTTGGACTTCGGTCGACACCTCGAAATTCGATGTGCCAGGGACCTATTCAACACATGGACCTAGCATGGATGAAGCTGATCCTGCGATTTTGACAGCTCCTAGCATGTGTTTGACTAATCGGCCTGTAGATGAGTATATGGTCAAGCTGATAGGCGTTCTTACCTGGCAGCGACCGCTGATTTCCAAGATGCTGACATCGACTGCCGGCATCGATAACGGGCGGCATGGTGACGCTGCTGCCTTACCTCTCTGAGCCCGTCATCCACTCCGATCCGCTTTGTAAAGCGATGCAAAGGGTCTCGCAGCTTGAATCGTGCGCAACGGCAATCGACAGTGCCACGGTGGCGTGTCTGCCCATGGTTTCAGCAACCGTCAACTGTTGGAGCCAGACCAGACCTGTCGTAGGTTACAAATGTGCCGCCTATGTCATCCGAGATATTGCACCTGGTCGCTGAGGCTGAGCTGGCTTTATCGCGCTGCTCAACACTCACAGTGTCTCTGTTCTACTCACGGAGAACAGAGGCTAGTAGGTGGATAGCGTGGCGCCGATGTTGGTGGATTCCCAGTATGCGAGGGTAGCGATCGTGCTTCGTGGGCGCAATCAGACTCCTGGATCCTGTCCATCGTGGTTGCTGCCTCGCGAGCCCCGCTACGCAAATGCTATGGGGCGCTCCTGTCGTACACATGCGAACTCGTACGGACAGCGGAAACGTGCAGTGCTCCAATGCACGCGTGGCACGGTCGAGTACATTGGAAAGAACTGTTCAACAAGAGAGATGTCGCTTCAACAGTGGATAGGCATCCCTTGGGACTAGTGCAATGTCGGAGGGTGGCCCGATCCACGATGCTTTCCGGAGTACTGAGCGATTGTTGATGCAGCACACGACTACGCCTGATAGGCAGTCTGTAAGTCGAGGCGCCTTCACCTTGCTGCTTGCGCTGGATGGAGGTAGGGAAACCGCGATGACAGCATTCGAACGTCCCTGCAGGCTTCCTGTTCACGCGCGCATCCCCGATGGCACGCATATGCCCACATTGTTCACTGTTCATGCAAACCAAATATTGCAGGATCGCAGTACTGCAGCGCTCGGCCAGGTGAATCTAGAGAGCTTCCCGCGGACGGGGCTTTCTGCGAAGCGAGGTCATTCCCAAAGAATATAACTGACGCCGGCGACGGACAACGTGGCCGCCGATCCAGGTGAGACACCATGAGCACGCGAGAGCATCCGAACCAGTGAATGGGGATGAGATGCATTTTGACGTCGCCATCGCGGTGGGAATCGAAAGTCAGCGTGAGGTCGGTCGTACCTGCAGAGCCGCATCGGCGATGGTTCACACAGTGACGGCAACGTGCCGCCCGTCAACCTCCTTTGTACGCCGGGAACAGGCTTGTGTATCGCATTCCTAGGGTCGAATCGAGCTTCGCTTTTTCTGAAGATGTTGCGGCTTTGGAGCTCATCGCTCGATCGAGGCCGCACTGGCAACACGGTGGGCTACTCCGCTGCTCGAGGAGCGGCCGTGAGTGGTTTGTCTGTGGAGATGGGGATGCGTTGCGACGACAGTAGGAATAGCACGCTGCTGCGCCTAACTAGTGCGTCTCTGCTGTCGGGAGGTGAGTGCAGCGTGCAGAGAACAGCACGGGAGTTCCAGGCAGGGCGTTATCGACGATGCCGCTGACGGTATTTCTGGCGGAGGTCTGGCCCGCCGTTGGCAGGCGCGCGTATTTGGTTCGGCAAGCACCTAAATTTCGACGCAGGAGCAGCTCTGGGCCTTGCACGTTTCCATGATCGTCACGACCTTCCAGTGTCTCTTGGCATCGACAGCACGCCTGGACGCATCGCTGCAGAAGTGCGGTTTCGCCGCGATCCGCTCGTCTCATCGCGATGGAAGAATCGCTGCGTCGGCCGTCGAGGTGCTGCGTCCCACGACGGCCGCCACCGATGTCCGATGTCCTACCAGACCTGAGATGCGCTCTGTGACGGCGCGGCCATGACAGAGGCGCTCTGATGGACAGTCGCCAGGCCTTTGCATTCGTCTGACCATCCAACCATCTGACGCATCGTGAATCGAGATCTCGCAGTGGATTGTGCTGCCCTCGAGTATCCACCGCACACCCTCCTGTACACCCACCTGGTTCCCTCGATAGCCCGCCCACTTGCACACCTCTGACACCGGCATACCTCCGGCACACAAAGGACCACACTACTGTCGACGACGAGAGCGAGCAATACACAAGTGCGTCGCTGTACTCATGGACACCAACATCACATAGGCTGCCATCACGACGATATCAATGGCGCCTAACCTACCGAATCCGAAGATCGTCATGACACCACCCACGCAACCTGGAGCCGCGACCTCGACGAACCCCCGACGACCGCCAGCACACCGATCGGTGTCATTGCGACACTCCCAGAGCCGGAAAAGTCCCAAGGAGAGCGATACTTCGAGCGATAATAGTGCCCCGGGAGCAACGGACGGGAAGAAGACCAACAGCAGTGGCTCGAAGAACAGTAATGGGTCTCCCTCGAGTTTGCAGCCGCTAGGTCGAGACAGCTCTGGAGAGAGTAGCAATGCTGAGCAGTGGTTTCAAAAGTCGAACAACGATGTGCACGGCAATAGTGCCTCGTTCGCTGATAATGATCCTCCATTCTTCATGCGGAATTCATCGTCGTCCGAGACACCGCCAGAAGCACATGCTCAACACATGAGAAATCTCCTCAACCCAAATGACGGCTCACACTCCTTGTCACTGCGGACAGGCCTACTTCACCTGGGAACCGATGGAAGCAGCACCGAAGATTTCCGCAGTGTCATCGACGACCTGACCATCGAGAACAAAACGTTGAAGAGACGGCTGAAGAAATATGAGAAATTGCACGATGCGCATTTGAAAGATGAGAAGCTGTTTGAAGTCCGGATACATGGACTCCCACCTCACAAGAAGCGCGAGCTGGAAGAGACGCTGAGGAAATTTGCGTCTAGCTTGGGCGCAGGTGGCTTCCCGGCTGCTGGCTATGAAGCCGTCGTACCCACGCTCAACGCCCAAAAAACTGCATCGTCTCAGACACAAGCATCAGACTCCGCGTATGCCTCCCTTTCGGCTTCGGGTCAGGGATCTTCAGCGCAATCTGGCGCGGAGAGTCGGCACAAGCAGATGGGATCAACATCAGCACTCCGCAAACAGAACATCCACACCTACCTGCATCATATTACAGAAGGTCTCTTGCCACAGGCTACCCCAACAAATATGTCGGAGCGCGCGAAGAAGAAGCTCGTTGTTCGGAGGTTGGAGCAAATCTTCGCGGGAAAGGGCGCCGTCGCCGGTCTGCATTCACATCCTATGCAGCAGCAGGAGGTCTCGCAGTCGGCAGCGCGTGCAGATCGAGCTGCGAATGAGGAACAAGGCTTACTTGCACGGCAAGAGGGTACTCGAGAAGCTCGTATTATGGTCCGGGATGGCAAGGGCGCGACGGCCGACAAAACCGATGCATCAACGGACACGTCTTCTACTAGCGACAAAAACACCAAAAGGAAAGCGTCAAGGCCTGCGCCCCCCACCCTCCCATCGGGAGACAGTGAACAAAGACCTACACGTCCACTTGATCTTGACCCACACCGTGCGCAAGTGCCCACCGAGAACATTCGGTACATGCGGCATCTGGGCTTTTCGCCACCTAACCCTGAAACGGAAGAGGCGCAGGACGGACATGGCTGGGTGTACCTAAACCTGTTGATCAACATGGCGCAGCTTCACACCATTAGCGTTACATCGGACTTTGTCCGCAAGGCGCTGGGTGAGTACAGCTCCAAGTTCGAGATCTCCAATGACGGCCGCAAAGTGCGCTGGAAAGGAGGAGCTTCTGTGACCCATACGAGCAGCAGTGGTGGTGGCTCGTCAATTGGTGTGGATACCCCGGACGGGCAAAGTCCACGCAAACGTCCCAAGCTCGTGCACCGCGAAAGCGACCGGTCGATAACCTCTGGTGCGCAACAAACTGGCTCCACATCGCGACGAGTACCGGACAGTAAGCTTGTCTACACGCCATTGTTCTTTCACAAGGACAGTACAGATGGCGATAGCTCGTCTGAGGAAGAAGATGACGATAATTCATCGCCTTTCCCCATGCCTCTGGCTGGGGACTCTTCCGGCATGACAAGCTCAGGAAGGCAGACCACCGCCACGAAGAAGCAGAAGAAGCGCGAAGATGGTCCAATCATCTTCTACAACAACGCGCGGTTTTGCACAGACTTGAGTGGTGATCGCAAAGCGAACGGCAATGCGAATGCACCGCCATACACCCCAGCAACGACCGAGCCGGTTGGCAAACCTTACTTGCCATCGGAGATGATGGCTTCTGAGAAGAGAGGCCCCCTGGCTGAGGCATCTGAGCTACCGGAGCCCATGGACCTTGGCGACAATCCAATTCCAGAGTCACTTGAACTTTCCTTCCCTCCAAGAAGTCCGGCGTATTCAGTCAAAAGCGAGCCCCTTCAACCCATCGACATGGCTGTCACTGGCATTGGCGGCGTCTGGCCATTCGATAACTTTGCTATCGAGGTGGAGAGTCGTCATGCACGACTGGAGGAGCCCCAAGCTTCGTCAGCTGTCCAAGGACATCAGTCCAGGTGTCTGCCCCCTAAGTTCGCGCGTATCTTCGATGAGGCCCACAAGAAACGTGAACCTGGAGCAGTGGTCGAGAAGAAGGTGATCGCAACCAAACGCAGAGATCTAATCCCCTCGCAATTGCCTGCTGCCCTGTGCTATATGCCCTATGGTGAAGACTCGACTGGAGACGATGCATCTGACATGGACGACGAAATGTCCGTTGCACCGGACTCTCCTGGCGCGTTTCCACCTGCAACAGCACCCCAGCCCGTGGAGCTGCACTACGCAACTACCGACTATGAGGAGGAAGGCGATGATGATGACAGCGAGGCAGAGTCGGATAGCTCGCTTGATTTGCTGGCTGCTGCACGACAAATTGATCCTGAAGCAATCAGGCAACAGGAGAGGGAGTACGATGCCCAATACGCAGAGCGTCTCGCGGAGGAGATCCCTGCTGGAAGTAGTGCAGCAACCGCAGGCGGTGGCAGTGGCTTCGCAAGCCCCAATGAAGAGATGAGCCGTGAGGACTATGAGAAAGCTGTAAGAGCCTCACGCAGGCGGCAGGCGGCCACCGCGTTGACGCGAAGGGAAACGTCAGACAGCATGCGAGCCCTTGATCCTCGCGAATCTTCGGAAGCAAAGGATGAAGACGAGGAGATGGGCGAAGATTAGGGTCCAATGATCTTGTACAGTCATGCAGCAGCGTAGATACTCCACAGAGCTCATCTTGATTCGAATATGTATTATTGAACACTGTTTCTGCTGATGCTGTGCTGTGCTGTGCTCCGCTAGTTCGATGCCTGGCGCAAGCTTGGCAAGAACCTTAAACGCTCGCGGCAGACTAACTTTGTACGACCGCACCGCACCTCGCAACTTCCACGCGCGACCGTCCATACAGTGCACACGAATCTTGCGTTCTCCGGAGCATTCGATGACTGTTCTGCACTGCGAAACTTGCAGCAGAATTCTGTCTTTACCTGGTACTGCCCCACCCGCGACCGTCCGGAGGAAGCAACTCCGCGTGGCGTGACGACGACCATTTGTCGGATATATCTCGTGGCCGAAACCCTCCACTCCACGAGACGATGGATCCGCAGCTCACAGGCGTGACGGGACTTGAGCAATATCCTGAACCTGTGCCCCCGCAGCAGGTGAGTCTCTCCCTGTGGATGATCGCTGAGCTTTGGAGCGACCGGACGCTGACGTTGAGCAGGAGGTCGACGAATTCCTGCGAAAGAAGCGCAAGGCGCGAGAGCACAAAGCCTGCTACCCATGCAGGCAGCGCAAAGTCAAGTAGGTCTCATCAGATTGCGAAACCTGGTGTACTGGGTCGAGCTCCTCGCGGATCTCAGAACGCTTTCCCCTCAAATCTTCACGAGCGCTCCACTGATAATTCAGATGTGACCTTTCGCGACCATGCCAAACATGCCGCGACCGAGATCATCCCGAATTGTGCTCATATCACCCTCCAAACAAGAGGCAGAATGTCGAGCCACATCCTCCCGCGGCAATCATGGGTGACGGCCATGCAGCACCATATCCACCGCAAGCACCAGCACCAGGCTATGTGAATGTTGCAACAAGTCAGCTTGATATGCTCTTCCGGCAACTGCACAATCTCGAGAATTCCATCGCGGAGCTTAGACGTGAGGTGCGACGAAATGCTGGCGATAATAACGGAACGCACGAAAGTGACGGCACCGAAAGCAGCAATGGCCATCGAGTGCAGACTCATACTGATATCCATGGGTTGCACACCAAAAATGAATCGGTAAGGCGGAGAAAGCACTGGTGATTCCTCGGTCCTCGTTAATGTATATCAAGGGCGAGATCGTGCATCTCGGAGGCGGTTCTGTTCCAGCCATGCTTTACGCCTTGAGTTCGGGGCAGACGCCCGGCGCCAAAGAGCAACAAGAATTACAAGAGTTCCTGGGGAAATCTGTCTTGCCAATGTTCGGACTGGATAACGAGTCTGCAACATACCCTTTCGTCGATCTCTGGGGCTTACCTCATGGGTCGCTGCAGCGTGCCCGAGAGCTTGCGCGAGCCTTACCAGGAGATAATCAGCTTATGAGTTTATTTGCTGGCTACCGCGACCTGGGATATATCATCTATCCCGGCATCGCAGACATCAAGCAACTCGAAGCAGATCTCACTGGTTTCTTGATCAGTCGATCATCCTATCAGAACCCGGACGAAGGAGTCACCGAAAACATGGTGTACGGCAAAAGTTTCTACTGGCTCGGCATGCTCTTTGCCGTGCTTGCGAGCGGTGCCCAGTGCAGTGCTCTAACTCGCAAAGAGCGAGAGCTCACGTCGCAAGTATACGGTGAGACATTAAGTAAGCTGTCACGCCACGACCAAGCTAACGATGTTAGTATGCTGCGCTTTCGAATGCTTACGATTCACAAACTTCTTATCACAACCACATGCAGAAAGCATACAAGCACTTTTGATCATTGGCAACGTTATGACCAATAACATGGTAGGCCTTCTCCTAGCTGCGCCATCCCATCAGCAGCAAAGTCCTAATCTTGTGCAGAACGCGGGCACTGCGTGGTCACTGCTTGGTCTGACCATTCGGCTTGCGCAAGGGCTTGGTCTGCATCAAGCATGTCCACCTCACATTGCGCACGATGTTGTTCTTCCTAGATCACGGATCTGGTGGGCCATCGTGTGGCAAGACAGTCTTCTGTCCATAACATACGACCGCAACGCGTCGCTGGATGTCAACACGATGCCGATGCCTCAGAACTTTGGAGCAGTCAGCTCTTATCACGCTTCTATGTATCGCATGTGCAAGGTCGGCCTGGACATTGTACGTGACCGTGCTAAAGCAGCGAGCTCCCGGGAGCATGTCGCACGTATCAATCAGCACCGCGAAGAGATTGCAAACATTATGAGAGATGCAATGGAACATCTGCGAGACTCCCGCCAGTGCAAATCTAGCCAGGAGACTCTGGAACACTGGGCTCTCTACTTGCATACCAGCTATGCCATGTCAGAGCTTTGCCGGCCCGCAATCAGCCCTCGAACATCAAGCGAGCTTGTCAAGGGGTTTAAGCAAGTCTGTGTTGAGAACCTGATCAATACCGTGGAAGCATTTCTGGGCCTGAACAACATCACGTTCTTTGCGCGCCAATCGTGGGCTGCTGTTCATCGAGCGCTGAGTTCAGCCCTGCTCATTGGCATCCTCGGCGAACATCGGTCTAACGAACGGGCTCGAAAGTTGATTGCCCGCTTTATCTCGTTGATGAGTGACATAACCTCGACTGTCGACCCTAGTGAGATATCTGCACCGGTGCAGCGAGGTGTCACTGCACTTCGCAAGCTCAATATCGAAGGGTCGCGAAGCGGTGGATATGGCGACTCTATCGCCTCGGGTTCGCCTGCCGATACTGGTGGCACTATCGTCGGAAGTGATGGCAGTTTGAAGATCGACCACAGCCAAATCTTCACCCCAGCAAATTCCGAGACTGCCGGCACGATCGAGGAAGAGAACTCTCCGTACTCAGTCTTGAACACGATACTGTGGGGCAACAATAGTGGCATGTTGGGTGAGAATCAGCCCGTCTAAGAAGCCACATGCGCCACCAGGGCCTGTGTTCAACACTTTCAATTCTCTGAGTACGCGACGAGGCCCAAGCTTGTTATTCACGACCCGCGGGTGCAGAACGATATCTGACATTCCGAACCTTCGCAATGACCACCCGAAGTCGAGATGCTGACACTCGACAATCGCTGAGGACCTGTTCACTACTTGATCACTTGGACATGAGTGCCGTCAGTCCAAGAACAAGTGTCGAGTAAGCAATATCGGTTTTGGCGGCAACGACTTCTGTGCAAGTACTTTAGCAGGGCTAAGTTCGAACATCGGCGCAACTCCGACTTGCATCAAGCATCTTCGGGCTTGGGTCTTGGCATGGAGCTACCTCGAACCCGGCTCACCGGCTCGCCCCCTATGGCCAGACCACATTATTGTCTCGTATGGCTAAACTTAGCCCAGTCTCTCTGCACTTCATCGGGTCAACCCAGAATTCAGGCGGATCATCTTCGTCGTAACGCGTGCAAGACTAGGTTACGAGCCATGGTTAAATAACAATTTCCGGATACGACCAAGATGGTTCCTGTAACAGCGCTATCGACCTTGTTGCCCCTACAGTGCCAGTGGTCAAGTTTTGGCTGAGCACGACAAAAGCAGGTCGTATCAGCATGGGGCCATTTCGCAAGACCAATCACAGAACGATGCACTACCGTACTGTGACTACTTCGCACATTAGATCTCCTGGTTGTCAATGCTGACGATCAATGCTGCCGGAGGCGGGAAGACTATAAGTAATCCAGTCGAGGCCACTGTGTTTCTCTCAACTTACTACAAGTCACTCTTTACACGTCAACACAGCGAATTCTCGTTGCCACACTCGTTCGACGCAATCACAATGAAGGCCACATTTTTTGCTGTCGCCGTCGCTGGCCTCGCTGCCGCACACGAGGGCCACGACGAGGCACCGCCAGCCTACAATGCACCACCGGCTTACGATGCGCCACAGCCCTCTGTCTCGCTCGGAGAGCCAAAGGTCTTTACTGCGACTCCAAGCGTTTCCCTAGGAGAACCTCTCACCTTCACTGCGACTCCAAGCGTTTCCCTAGGAGAACCTCTCACCTTCACTG